TCATCATATCTCCTTTGTGGCCCCTGGGGAGCAAACGGCTGCAATTACACATTTCCAGCGGACTCGTTTTTTTTTTTGGGCTGCACCCCCACTACTATTTAAAGAGTATCTACCAAATATGCATACATTATTTCCACTATATTCAAATAGTATCTACCAAATAAAAGTTTCCATTTCAAAACCTGACGGTCTATGGGGCAAGTGAAGTAGAGTTCACTTGTTTCTGTGACCTCGGCATATAAAGAGATAGTGTATCTACCAAATATGCATACATTATTTCCACTGTATTCAAATATTATCTACCAAATATGCATACATTATTTCCACTATATTCAAATATTATCAACCAAATATGCATACATTATTTGCCCTAAATATCCAAAATTATTTCTCCTTTATCAGTTCCTATGTCTAAACATTATTTCCCCTAATTTATAACATTATCTCCCCTACGTGCAATTTGCTTGCTTTCCCCCTTTTACTTTCCTTATATGGCCTACACACAAAAAAAACAGAACCAAAATTATTCCCACTCTGTTATAAAATTACCCCGCGACATCATTTAATTGGCGAGCTAACGAGCAGTTTAATGAAACGTCACTCACTCGAAAAAAAATTGATTTTTTTTTTTTCGTCTTTTCTTACTCCCAAACCCCCACCCATTTTAAGGCTTTTTAACCACAATTTTTAACGTTTTTAATTTCATTAATTTGTTTTAAAAGTTGAAATCATTATAAAAATATTTTGTAAAAATAAAAAATTAAAAATGGCAAGACTGTTTAAAAATCTGGCAACACAGTTTAAAAAAAAAACGTCAACGCGAGGTCACTTTGACTTTTCTCACATCCGCATTCCAATTCAAAGACTTCCCGCGTCTAAGATTTCCCGTCTGCTCACCAGCACAGATCTCCGCAGTGCCATGTCCAGTAAACTCGCCGGCCCGCTTCCTCCCCGGGTCTCCCCATATTTTTCCCACCACCAACATACATCGATTCCCGCAGACCTTCTGACCTATAGCTGTTTCTATGGCCTATTGTTTGCCCTTGCTAGTGCGGCACTTTATCAGACGCGAGCATGGCGGAAAACGTTTTTCCTGATGCCAATGGCTCTTGTAGACAATCAATAACCAACAGTTATTTTAGTGTAAGACTTTGGTTTGATGTCTGTCACAGTTTATTTATAAGACAGACAATCAATAACCAACAGTTATTTTAGTGTAAGACTTTGGTTTGATGTCTGTCACAGTTTATTTATAAGACAGATAATCAATAACCAACAGTTATTTTAGTGTAAGACTTCGGCTTGATGTCTGTTTATTTATAAGACAGACAATCAATAACCAACAGTTATTTTAGTGTAAGACTTTAGTTTCTTGTCTGCTTTAGTAAGACAGGAAACATTTATTGCAAGTTATTCTAATGTAAGACTTGATCGCGAGAAATGGTTGTATGTGTTGACCTGTGTCTTCTTCCACCCTACCAAGACCTTATCCTCCGCGCACCCCAATCTCATCTCTTGAAAAATGGTATTATCATAGTACTTTCTAGAAGAGTTGGGTAGGGGTAGGGGGGAGAGGAAGACAGAGGTCATCGCCGTACATTGTTTACTCAACTGATTAACTTTCGTATATCACTCTCTCCACCGCCAGTGGCAAGGGAAGTAAATCAGTAGTTTCTGGGTTCTGTCCCCTGTGGCTGGTCTCCCTTGTGGACAACCGCTCTCTAATGCTGAAGTACAATTTATTTTCACGGACATGTTTATAAAGGCACAGTCATGGTCACGATCTATTGTCTTGACCATGACCTACTGTTACGGCCATTATCTACCGTCGCGGCCATAGTCCACTGTGGCGCGTTAACCAGTAGTTCTAGGCGGTAGGCCTACCTAAGACAGTCACCTTTTTACCGTTATAACTGCTAATCAAAAGCTTCTCAAACCTCTGTGTTTTGTTCTAGTGTTTTCTTGTGGGGGGGGGGGGAATGTTTCGCACTTGATGCGAACCACTGATTTCACCTGCCGCCAAACTAAAATATTGAAATGTAACTTTACTAGCAAGAGGTCATAGGCAGTGCAAAATCGTGTCTATATTTGATAATTGTTTTCACTTCGCCCGTCGGGGGGGGGGGGGGGGGGGTGAACGTGCTCTGTAGCAGAGTTTCTTTCAGTCATTTAGACCTTTCCCACACCAACCCGAAAGAAAAATGTCTGTGGAAAATCTCTGCTCCTGGAAACTCGAAGAAGAAAGAACCGTAACTCTATCGTCTATTGTAAAGAACGATAATAAAACTTAAAATAACCGGAAAGTTTTCCCCCTTTAAAACGAAAAATTGTTAATTGGGGGAAACTTGGAAGCGTGACATCATCGAATCATTTTTCACCACTCGCGTTAATCTATATGAGAATTCTAAGCATTCAAGCCAACTATTGATTGAGGACTTTCCTGGCAACATGTGGCTGACACGTGTTGCCAGTTTTGTTTTACCCTCTATGCTTCTCTCTCTCCGCGAAGCTTGGCGCATCTTTCCGCGGAGCATGTCATCACAGCGTAACCTACCAGAAGACAAACGATCCCGACTTGGGTGTTTGTGTGAAAGATTGGCCGGGACAGGCAAATGTCGCCTGTCACCAAGAAGTGCTGACGTCGCATATGTGTAGGTTACCCGCGATGTTAGATCGATGTATTCCTCGTCTACACTTACGAAATGTCTGACTCCGCGTGTGAAATTTGAACGAGATGAACGCCGTGTTTAGTGGGGGGAGTCTTGGTGTTGTGAATTTCCGTGACCAATGGGATTTTTTTAGGACTGGGTGTTGTGCGTGCGTAGTTAGGTGTTGATGTTGTCAGTGTGGTGCTGGGTGGAACAGATTCATCTGTCATAGGTCACGGTTAGGTCACGTGGTTTCGGCAGCTGTTAAAGTGTGATATGGCTGTGGCATTGGTTACAGGGAGATAACAATTTCACAGTGAGCTTGTGATATTTGCAAGGAGTATATGATATCAATAGTGACCTTATGATATTTGAAGTGTGCTGCGCTTATGATATTTACGTTGCGGTCATGATATTTACAGTGAGCTTATGTTATTTATAGCCAGCATATTTATTTTTCTTTATATGGAGCATCTTATATTTACAGTGAGATTATTCTATTTACGTTGAGCTTTTGATATAAACAGTAATCCGATTGTAAACACCGTGAGCTTATCGTATTTACAGTACTACATTCAGCTTCTGATAGTAAGCTTATGTGGTTTTGTGCTCACTTGTTTTTTTTGTATTTTATGTGATTTAATGCAATACTTGCTACAGTTTCTTACCATCGTCATTTTCTTTCAAGCTGACAAAGCGATAGAATACTTTGTTCTAACTGGCTATAACTTTATGTATATGTGACCAACTGTCATGTTTAACGGTTGAAATATATACAGGACAGTTCTAAGGATAGGTTAGATAATCGAGTTGAAAACTGAGTTACTTCCCTGGATTCCTCTCCTATGTGTACAAGTACTAAACATTTGTACTGGACTAATCAAGAACTTGGTGATCCAGACTGATTGTGGAAAAACTGTTCATTAAACATTGTGTGGTGTTAATGTGGTGTGTGGTTATTTCACAACCATGACGTGTGGTTTTAAAGTCCAGTGGGGATAGTGGCTGGCTTTAAACGATGTCATCATACACAGCAGAAGACAATCATTTTTCTGTTCTCCTCTCACCTTCCAGGTAATACAGGTTGTATGTACTCATCCCCCACCCCCCATCACCACCCAGGTTATATGTACTCCCCCACCACCACCCAGATTTCATATAACCCCCCCCCCCCCCCCCACTTCCCTTCTCCCATGTTGCTCCTCCTTCCAGCATTTTAAAATTTTTAAAAATGTGTAAAAATAAATAATGGGCACTATCAGAAAAGCACATGTCTTTGTTTCATGTAAACACATCACAGCCTCAAACCAAAGATTTTATTAATTTGTATTATATTAAACTCAGTTTTTTAAAAAAAAGGTATACAACAACACAAAAATCTTAAATTTTATATTCCTCTTTTCCAATGGAGGATGTTTTATTACATTACTTCTCTGGAGTAGATATTCACTTGTAATTTTTCTATTTCAATTTTTTTATTTACTCATTTCAATAATTGATAAAGTAAATGTTAATGACGTGCATTGTTTCTGTACGTTTATAGTTACCATTGTTTTATTACATTACTTCTCTGGAGTAGGTATTCACTTGTAAATTTTCTATTTCAATTGTTTCATTTACTCATTTCAATAATTGATAAAGTAAATGTTAATGACGTGCATTGTTTCTGTACGTTTATAGTTACCATTGTTGGCGCAGCTTGTAAGACACATCTTTTGTCCAAATCTCAAATTTTGTCTGTCTGTCACAGGTTGTTGGACAAGTTGCTGGTGGTGTGTCCAAATGTCAAATTTTGTCTGTCTGTCACAGGTTGTTGGACAAGTTGCTGGTGGTGTGTCCAAATGTCAAATTTTGTCTGTCTGTCACAGGTTGTTGGACAAGTTGCTGGTGGTGTGTCCAAATGTCAAATTCTGTCTGTCTGTCTGTCACAGGTTGTTGGACAAGTTGCTGGTGGTGTGTCCAAATGTCAAATTTTGTCTGTCTGTCACAGGTTGTTGGACAAGTTGCTGGTGGTGTGTCCAAATGTCAAATTCTGTCTGCCTGTCTGTCACAGGTTGTTGGACAAGTTGCTGGTGGTATGTCCAAATGTCAAATTTTGTCTGTCTGTCACAGGTTGTTGGACAAGTTGCTGGTGGTGTGTCCAAATGTCAAATTTTGTCTGTCTGTCACAGGTTGTTGGACAAGTTGCTGGTGGTGTGTCCAAATGTCAAATTCTGTCTGTCTGTCTGTCACAGGTTGTTGGACAAGTTGCTGGTGGTGTGTCCAAATGTCAAATTTTGTCTGTCTGTCACAGGTTGTTGGACAAGTAGCTGGTGGTGTGTCCAAATGTCAAATTTTGTCTGTCTGTCACAGGTTGTTGGACAAGTTGCTGGTGGTGTGTCCAAATGTAGACTACTGTGAAGAGGTGCTGACCAGGTGTGAATTGGAGGCCCATTTACTTCATAGGTAAGTTGTTTAGCCTTTACCTAAAGTTAGCTACACTAATCCTGGATGAGCCATGCTGGATGACAGATGGAGTCAATGCTGGATGACAGATGGAGACATGCTGGATGGCAGATGGAGCCATGCTGGATGACAGATGAAGACATGCTGGATGACAGATGGAGCCATGCTAGATGACAGATGGAACCAGTGCTGGATGACAGATGGAGCCAATGATGTATGACAAATGGAGCCATGCTGGATGACAGATGGAGCCAAAGTTGTATGACAGATGGAGACACGCTGGATGACAGATGGAACCAGTGCTGGATGACAGATGGAGCCAATGCTGTATGACAGATGGAGCCAGCCATGCTGGATGACAGATGGAGCCAATGTTGTATGACAGATGGAGCCAATGCTTTATGACAGATAGAGCCAATGTATGACAGATGGAGCCAATGTTGTATGACAGATGGAGCCAATGCTGTATGACAGATGGAGCCAATGCTGTATGACAGATATAGCCAATGCTGTATGACAGATGGAGCCAATGCTGTATGACAGATATAGCCAATGCTGAATGACAAACAGAAGACAGAAATGTTGTGATGAGTTCCTCCCACTCAGACATCTTGTATATTGATTTTCTTGTATCATAATAACCTTACTATGACAGAGACGAAATATTTTTTCATCTACAGATAGATTATTATAGTAAGTCTTTACTACACCCAATTCAACTTTTTAAGCAATTGAACATTTTTAAAGCCAAATATGCCCAGGGGCATCAGAGTGGAAATTGGTTTTTCAACATCACTCTAAATACTATTAGCAGTAAAGCAATTTACTAAAGAAATATTTCAGTGATGCAGTTATTTTTTTTACAATCTTTTCGCATCAGCCTAAGGAAATAATAAAAACGTTCGATGCTATCTTTGTAAGATTTACCTTCCTGTCTACTACAGTTTCTACTTGACAGCTTTTATAAGCATTTCATCTACATAGTAAAAGATTTGTGTAGGGTCTAGTGTGACTTGTGGTCCCAAAGTTGTCTAGTCTAGAGTGACTTGTGGTCCCAAAGTTGTCAAGTCTAGGGTGACTTGTGGTCCCAAAGTTGTCTAGTCTAGGGTGGCTTGTGGTCCCAAAGTTGTCTAGTCTAGGGTGACTTGTGGTCCCAAAGTTGTCTAGTCTAGGGTGACTTGTGGTCCCAAAGTTGTCTAGTCTAGGGTGACTTGTGGTCCCAAAGTTGTCTAGTCTAGGGTGACTTGTGGTCCCAAAGTTGTCTAGTCTAGGGTGACTTGTGGTCCCAAAGTTGTCTAGTCTAGGGTGACTTGTGGTCCCAAAGTTGTCTAGTCTAGCATGACTTGTGGTCCCAAAGTTGTCTAGTCTAGGGTGACTTGTGGTCCCAAAGTTTTCTAGGGTGACTTGTGGTCCCAAAGTTGTCCTGTCCAGGGTGACTTGTCCCAGAGTTATTTCATGTGTTTTCATGTTTCAGGTGTCGGGGTGCAGTAACGCGGTGCATCAAGTCCAGTCTAGGGTGCTCGTTCCAGGGTCCCAGGAGTGCTCTACAGTCCCACCTCTGGGAATGTCCTTACAGGGATCAAAATGCTGGTAGGTCTGCTTTGGTCATTTATATGTCCAGCTGGTAGGTCTGTGGTATATTTACATATCTGTTTACATTGCCCTCTTCACCATAAAAAAATATTTTATATCTTAAATTGAGAAATCAATTAATATTACTACTTTTGCTATTTCCCTTACATGCCAAACTTTCCTAACATTTTTTTTAAATTAACCTGTCCTGGTTGTCTCCCTGCATCGGTCAGGGGCAGATAACTAACCTGGGCTCACTGGTACTGGTTTTCCCCACCCATCTCCAACAGGAATGAAATATAAGTTTAGGTTGTCCCCTAGTACCATCAAGTTGCTTCCCTTTTTCATCTAATGGAACAGAAAGTGGAATAACAATCCGGATCTCAGTGGGATATAAAGCTCTTGTTAATTTATTAAGATCCCAGCCAGATTAATTTCACCACTAGACCACATTTTGTTTGTTTTTCTATACAGTTTTTTTTTTTATTTTCTTTTTCATTTTACAATTTTAAAAGTAATTAAATTGGGATTCTTTGGGTTTATTTGTTTTTTGTTGTTGTTGTTTGTTTTTTTGTATTTTAAACCAAAATTCTAAAAAAGAATTTTTAATTTTGTAGAAGGAGTCCTAGTTGATTTAATTTAAATTAATATTTTTTTGTTTTTACAACTGTCTAGTTGAATGAATGTGGCATGAAGTCACCAAACCAAAAGTTTTTTTTTGTAGTTGTGTTATTTGATGCTAAAACTACCCTATTGAATGTAGCTCCAAGCTACAAATTCATAATTTTACGGTCCCTCATACAACTAGAACATTTGTATGTACCAAAACTAAAAAAATTTTTTAAATTCCCATATTTTTGGTGTTGACTGACACAAATTATGATTACAGGACAAAGCTTTAGATCCTATACATTGAATGGATTTTGTAATGTTTATGATGAATCAGATGGGCATTCTAGATATACATAGTCTAATTTATTCCTGCCAGTGTAGCCACTAAACCAAAGGCCCTAACTTTGGTTCCATGACTTAAGTTCACCCAGAGATACTAAAGGTGAACTCTACTTCATCTGCCCTATTGTTCTATTGATGTCCAGAAACTAAGGTTTTGCTAATGCACATTATTGTATGTCAATGTTTGTCCGCCTTGCGCGTTAAAACCCCATGAGGGGGAGGTGTCCACTATAGATTTGTATGTCAATGTTTGTCCCCCTTGCAGGTAAAAACCCAGTGACTGAGGGTGAGGTGTCCACTATAGAAGTTCAGAGAAAGGAGGGAGAAAATTTGGGAGTGGCTGTTGTTGGAGGCTGTGACACCCCATTGGTGAGTCAAGTGTAGCTACTGTAGTGTTAGACTCTATCAAAGTTACAGTTGCTACTCTGTTATATTTAATTCTTTTAGAGATTTAGTGGCAATTCTAGTATGTTGATGCACTAAGTTTTCTGTTTTCTAATGCTTGTTTTGTTGCAGGTGTGTACAGTGATACAAGAGGTGTTTGCTGATGGTGCTGTGTCTCATGATGGCCGCCTTATAGCAGGGGACCAGATTCTAGAGGTGAGTCAGGTTTTGGATACCTTCCCTTACCAGACATTTTATTTGTTCAGAGAGCTTTGAGTACAGCTATTAGCTCAGTTCATCTGTGTATGTGGCCATTGCATAATCAGTAAAACTCCCCAAATTATGCTAGGTACATATTAAATCTGGTTGGACTCAAGATCCACCATGCCCCACCCCCTTTCGCCAAATTATGCATGGTCTGCTTAAAAACTGACTGGGCTCATTATCATCTAACACAAAATCTATCCACCATTACTTTCTCATCAACTTATGCTTGGTACTCACTAAAGCTGGTTAAACTCACTTCACACTCAAGTCAATGAGTGTATAATCACAGGGATCGTAACACATCTTCCTACACTGTATCCACCCATCAAACCCCTCTCCCACATCTTAGTTTGACCAAGGCCCCAGGTTCATCATTAACATCTGTCAGTTTATTTAAGAAACATCTAGCAAGCAATAGTTAACTTCTATCCCTCCCACCCAGGTGAACGGTGAGGATCTAACCCAGGCCACCCACCACCAAGCCGTGGCCATCCTGGCCCAGTTTTTTCCTGTCTGTCGGCTCACAGTTTACAGGGAGAGGGCTGAGGAAAGTCGGCCCATTGAAAAAGAAGGTAATTTATTTAGACAGCTATTTCAGCTCATTTAATAGATTTTCATCATTTTTCACACTAAATCTAGCAATGTACCTTCATTATAACCTCAGCATAAGGTAGTTTATTGATTATTATGATTTTACTAACACAATGTTTTGTTTTGTTGAGATTTATGCAATCCCATTTTAGTCTGACCAAATTTGCAATCCTATTTTAGTCTGACCTAATTTGCATTTCTCTCTCCAGAGATTCTAAAGATAACTCTGTCAAAAGTGAAAGGGAAACCACTGGGCATCAAGTTAGTTGGCAAAAGGTGTGTATGGCTATGTTGACATCAACCTGTGGTATCTATGTTAGTTGTCATGGTTTACACCAAGTAAAGGATACACTTTTTCTAAACAAATACACAAAGAGAAGAATTTATTCATGATGTAAAATATGACTATAAATAGTAGGATGAAACACCCATTACTGTGGGTTTAGACATATTTCTCAACCCAAATGCTGCTGTGGACTGGCTAAGTAAGCAAAACAGTATCAAAATATTGAACCATCTATTCTAAGACTCACCCGTTGATAGGCCTACTCTTTGATTTTGGTAAACAAATTCTACATTACATCTGCCAAAAAAGTGTGTGCCTTATTGATGTATGTTTGTGTAAGTAATAGAAGATTTTTCTTTTCTCTCTCCCCAGAAATGGCCCAGGGGTCTACATCCTAACACTGGTAAGTTGATGTTTACTACATGTTCATAACTGTTCTAGATGTATCTCTACATTGGTCATGTATGCTTCAGTACCATTTGGCCTGTGAAAATACCTTTATTTACTAATTTTACAGTTTAACATTTTAGATAATAAAGTTTCTAGTGTTTTTACATAAGTACTTTAGACCAATGCATTTAAAAAATTAATTTTAAAATTTAAAATTAGATTAATAAATTACACACTAAAATTATAATTATATACATATATTACTGCTATTTAGTTTTGTGGTATAGTGTATAACCTTTGATCTAATTGGTACCTGGCATTTATAATGTAGTGAAGGCCACTGGACACTGTTCACTTTGTCTGTGTTTGTTTGTTTGTTTGTTTGTGGGTTGCATGATCTCTGGAACATTACTGTAAACACATCAGGTCAATTGTGCACATATTTACACAGATACCTGGCTCACTTGCTTCTTGTGACGGGAGACTCAAGATGGATGATCGGGTTCTAGAAATCAATGGCCAAGATGTGTCTTATGGAACCCAGGAACAGGCCGCTTCCATTATTGTGGCCAGCCAGCCGCGTGTCCAGTTTGTGGTGGCCAGAAAGTCCAGGCCGCAGACGCCGGACATTATCAGATCAGCGGCGGAGCACAACAAGTACGCAGCCTTCACGGATGACCACGAGAAGCCTGTCTCACCCCTGTGTTACACCTGCAAGGAGAAGATTGTCACTATTAACAAGGTGAGTCAGTACCTGTGTGTCTTCTTACCCCTACCTGTAATGTCACCATTGTCAAGGTGAGTCAGTACCTGTGTGTCTTCTCCCCCCCTACCTGTAATGTCACCATTAACAAGGTCTGTCAGTACCTGTGTCTTCTCCCTTGTAATTAGAAGAGTTACAATTTACAATCTGTGATGCTCATGAATCTTCTCTGTTGCGTAGCTATTGATTTCAGTTTTTTTTTTGTTTTTATTATTGAAAACTTCACAATTTAAGGACAGATATAAAAAACCTTAAACTTTCTGACCTGCTGCCTTCATCAGCACACATTATGGTTAGAGTGGAAACAGAAAAAATGTGAACAATTTTTGCCTTAGGTTGAGTCTGAAAACGTCTAAAAGCCACAATATCCAATTACAAAATACAACAATAATTTTTTTATAGTGAGTTTTATGTTATCAACTACGTAACAAAATATTGAATATCTTGACCAGGACCCCACAGAAACATTAGGGGTCAGTATCGCAGGTGGTCTGGCCAGCCATAGAGGTGACATACCTGTCTACATCACCAACATTAATCTGGATGGCTGTGTAGGTCGCACTAATGTGCTCAAGGTAAACAAAGTATACATTTTTATATAGGTTGCATGACAAAATATCATGTACAAATATATCAGGACAAAATATGTACAAAATATATATGGACAAAAATATCTGAGTATAAAATATCTCAGGAAAAAATATCACAGGACAAAATATTTTTAAAATTAAACTTAAATTAGCTTAGAAGTAATCCATTTATTTTCAGACTTAAAACATGAACCTCTTATCATTGAGACTTAAAACTTGTACAATTTTTATCAATGACATATAAAAATGACAATACGAATGAGACGTTTTAACATACCTTTAGCTCTTAAACATGTTCAGATGTTTATCTCAGAATCTTTTACTAATTCAAAACACTTTGAAGAATCTTTATTAAAGAAGATTAATCTCTGTCACCAGAAGGGGGATGTCCTAGTGTCCATCAACAACACAAGCCTTCTAAACATGACACACCTGGAGAGTGTCAAGCAGATCAGGGCAAGTTCAGAGGTCAAGGTTCTCACTCTCAGGGTCATTGACTCAAGGGAAACAACTCAGGGAGACCACAATTTTACACCATCTTGGATCTACTGGCTTCAGATGCCACAGTGAGTCCTGAACTTGTTCTTGTTCTGTGTGGGTTACCCTATCTGTTTGCTTGTTCTGTGTGGGTTACCCTACCTGTAGTTCTGGCAATCTGGTGTTGCAATAACATTGTCTGTTTGAACCACTCAGGTCTGTCCCTCTAGTCAAAACTATAAAATATATGATCTAATGTTGAAATAACATTGTCTGTTTGGTCCACTAGGTCTGTCTGTCTGATGTTGAAATAACATTGTCTGTTTGGTCCACTAGGTCTGTCCGTCTAGTCAAAACTATCACACTGCTGAGATCACCTGCTGGGAGTCTAGGCTTCTCCATTGTAGGGGGCGCTGATTGCAGCCATGGTTGTCTGCCCATTTTTGTCAAGTCTGTGGTCCCAGATACTCCTGCATCCAAAGATGGCAGATTGAAGTAGGTTTTTTTTATTTTAATGGGCTTTCTAAATAATAAATTGTAATAATGTTTATTTTTATTGGGACTATATTTGTGTCGGTAAATATAAAAAGTTTTTTGATCCTATCCTTCAACTGACCAGTTCCTCCTATCCTTCAACTGACCTGTTCCCCCAATCCTTCAACTGACCAATTCCTCCTATCCTTCAACTGACCAGTTCCTCCTATCCTTCAACTGACCAGTTCCTCCTATCCTTCAACTGACCAGTTCCTCCTATCCTTCAACTGACTAGTTCCTCCTATCCTTCAACTGACCAGTTCCTCCTATCCTTCAACTGACCAGTTCCCCCTATCCATCAACTTACCAGTTCCTCCTATCCTTCAACTGACCAGTTCCTCCTATCCTACAAGTGACCAGTTCCCCCTACCCTTCAACTGACCAGTTCCTCCTACCCTTCAACTGACCAGTTCCCCCTCTCCTTTAACTGACCCGTGCCCCCTATCCTTCAACTGACCCCTATCCTTCAATTGACCAGTTCCTCCTATCCTTCAACCAACCAGTTCCCACTACACTATATTTTACCCATAATCCCAGGTGCGGAGACATCCTGCTGTCAGTCAATGAACACAACCTACGAACCATCAGCCACGCGGCCGCTGTCGAGATACTCAAACATATAGATGGTGCTGTCACCCTCTCTGTGGTCTCCTGGCCAGGCACTGTGGTTTGACATGAACTAAGCTGCCTGAGTGGGTGTTTGAATTAAATTATTTCCCTTGCCTGATATTTCCACACAGCTGTCTTAACATGTATAAAAAGGGGAGTCAACCTTGGCTTTAATTTAACAAAATGTATTTTTGTATGTAGCACTAATTTAAACTTATAACTGCTCAAGTTGATATACACTGTATTATATGTTGTTAGCATTTGATACATAGTCAAAATGTCAAGTGTTACATATGTTTATAATACATTTTATTTTAAATTTAGAATGTCAAATTTTTATTTTAAGATAATGGTCATTGCATTCTCTTGTTTAAAAAAAAAATTAACTTTACCTAATTTACTTTGGCTGAATGTTTATGAAGTGTAAATCTAGTTTATTTCTATTCAATGTTGTTGCTATTTTGCTACACATAATAATTTGATGTAAATAAAAATGGGTTTCAGTTTACGTAAAGTATAATTGAAAAAAAGTAGGATTATAATTACAAGAAAAAATCATTTATTACGCAAACAGAAGTCTGCTTAGCTGTGATTGGCTCAAAACACGACATAGTAGAAGATAGCTGTGATGTTTTATACACTAAGAGAAACAACATAGCGAGGTCTGTATTTATTCAGATTTTTGTCTTACAGGAGTTGGTTTTTTTTACCACAAGTCAAAACAATCTTACAAAAAATTATTTTAAGTGTGGCCTTTTCAATTGTTTTGTGTAAGATTACATTTTAAATTTTATTCCTAATTTTTTTTTTTATTTAAAACTTTTATTTACACCTGTTAGCACAACTTCTGAAGGTTTAGTACAATATTTTAAGTTTTGGTACAATATCTGAAGGTTTTTAGTATTATGTAAGAGAGAAATACAATTTAAAATGTTAGAAAAATATCAAGAAGTCTGTTAATTTTATAAAAGAGAAAACTACAGTTTAATGTGTTTAAAAAAATATCTAAGGGTTATTAGCGTTGTCAAACAAGAGGAAAGCCGACTATTTTAGAAAAATAGTTGATATTTTTTATAAAAGTTTATTGTAACAGAATATAACTTGATATATATACAGATTTAATACATATTCTAAATAGATAAAATAGTTCAGTTGCAGAAAAATAGCTCATATTTTTATTTAAAAAATTGCATACAAATTTTAAAAATTATTTTGTTTTATTATACATTATTTTGAATAATTTATATTTATAGAGATATATAACTGAACACAGTAAAGAAATTTCTAATATTTTTAGATTAACTAGACACATTCTTAAAACAATAACTTAAGTCATATCACCAAAATGTTTACATTACAGGCACAGAGTGAGACAATAGCCTACAGTATTACCTGAACTTTATAATTTACAATCTAAAAATTGAAATCGCTTAACGTCTCAGCAACATATTTAATTAAATATTAACAGAATTAAAATGTGTAGTCATTGTGATTGCTCAAATCTATGTTTGCTTTTTTCTTTGAGCCATTTGTAGTCAGTATTTGATAAAATCTAGTCGCCCTGAATCCTAGAGAGTAATTTAGCCTTGTATAGTCATCAGGCAGTTCAAGCTTATCTCATGCAATCATTGAATGCAAGCCTTGCTTTTTCTGTCTGCTTGGTACATGTATGTGTTAATATAGTTTGTCAACAAATGCAAAAGGTGTTTGAATGTAAGTTGAATGTTGATGTAATGACCACAAACGATATTTATAAATCTAAATGCATAAATTAATTAATATTTATTAATAAATTATAAACTTGTCCAATTTGCATTTTTTTAAAATAAATCTGAAATGTTGTGTTTGTTAATAGTTGATGTAATTAAGTTAATTAATGGTGACCTGTACATACATTGGCTGCCTTAATCACAATAATTAGAAACTTTATCTCATCAACCATTAAATCTCCTCTCCCAAATATCATAAAAAATATTTCAACTCATGTTTTTTTTTCCCATCATTAGATTTTGTATTATTCCTATATATACCTTGAAAAGGTATTTTGTGCTGAAAAATACTCTCATGGAATAAATAACTGTAGCCTACTGTTGATGAATGAACATCTTTTATATGCAGCAATGCAAAAACTAACGCACCATTGTATAGAATGTCTAAGTTTTTTAAAGACATTTTTTTTATTGTACATTGTAAATATTAATTTTGTATTTTTGATTTTCAATTTATTTCCTTGAACATATAATGTGAAGAGAAAGACAGTATATTTTTGTCTAGTGGATTAGATTTATATATTAATTGTAATTTGAAGAGAAAGACAGTATATTTTTGTCTAGTAAATTAGATTTAAATATCAATTAGTCCAGAGCAATATCTTTTAGCTTTAAAATTGTAAAAAAAAAATTCTATTGATTCGGTTATCTTCACAATATATTTATAAGCAAGCTTAAAAATGGCCAGATTTTTTACTCAGGCTAAAGGAAACCAATTATTGAACTAAAGTGCCAGGTTGTGTTTTTATATTTTTCCTTAACATTTATGCTATAATATAAAAATAAAAACAGTATTTTTAAAACAAGTTAAGTGTAGAAAACTGTGAAGGATTTTACAAAATGTAAATATTTTTTAAAAATTCTTCTATTGTGGGTGTCCATAATAAATACCAAAACACATGTACATGCCTGCCTTGGGGTCTGTGTAATAATTTGACATCTCAAAATGGCTGATTTGTTATCTTTGCTGTTATATATTTGTTATTATTGCTATTGTTGGCTATTTGTTATTTCCAATAGTTTTCTGGGAAAGTCTCCTAAACCTGTTGAGAAAATCTTGCTAGTCTTTAAGATACCGGTACTGTAAACAGTAAAAAAAAATAGTTAAAAAATTATTCACTGAAAAAAAAAAGTCCACAGTTTTGACTATTGGCAGTGTTTTGTATGTCATGGTGGTGGTTGTGACAGTTGTATATATACTAAAAGCTTTTATCCAAAGCAAATTTTATTTTATTAAAAAAGTATTTTTTTTTATTTCTGATGTGTAAATAGAGAAGATTCAAAGTTTAAGATAGTTTGGTCTCAACTCATTGAATTCCTTATACCCAAAGATGTCAATCCAGGAAACATTTCAACAAAGTGCTATTCATTTTCTCATACTTGTTAGCGCTAATGTTGAATCTTTAACACATCTGAAACAAAATTAAATAAGCAATTTTTTTCCATCTGTTTATAGTTTCCCTTCCTTTTAAAAATATTTTAGCACACTCTCTGAGAGAATTTTGTAATGCTTAGACTGTTAAAAAACTTTCTCATCTTTTTTAAAAGACTTGTAGTGCACAGTTAAGTTTTCCTTAAGACAGTTTGATGGATGCGACGTAAAAACTTGATCATGTCAAGACCTTCTGCTGCCTTTTGTTTTGCTTGTTGTATTCATACACCCATACACCATCAATATGTTTTCTCTTGTAGCTTCAATCAGTTTCTATTGCATAATTTCAAGACTGCTGTCAATCTTTGTTTATCTACATCATTTTCTCAGCATATTGCCCCATCCTTTACATAATTCTAAATCTTTGTTTAATCACTGATTTCATATTTATTTAATTATAATTAACATTCAATTATGAATTAAGATTCAAAGAATAAGTAAGCAATACCATCATTTTTTTGCTTTGCCTTTTTATGAACATAGCTCCATAAAAATATGAATTTGTACTTAAGAATTTGAACCACGTTAAGTTAGGGTTGTGCAATAGTCTTTTGTTTTGACCAGGTTTACAAGTTTCTTTGTTTTTTCTGTTGGGAGATTTTTTTATACATTAAGAAACTATTTTGGGATAGTAAATTATGTGTGTCACTTTGGTTTGGTTCAATGTGTTGCATTTAGAAAAATAAGAGCTTTAATCTAGACCGAGAAAATCATTCTTAAAGAATTAGTTTTCCATAATTTCCTAATACAAAAATTTTCTGCTGGAATCAGCCACCATGTTTCCTGACCAGGTTCAAAAAATTTTTTCTCTCTAGTCATGTTAATAACTCCAACAAGTTCCTCTCCTCCCAAACATCTTTTTACGCAAAACTATTTGAAAGCATAAAATTGGCATGGAATCAATTAAAATTATATTTCTTTTCTTTTTTTCAAGAAATTTTGCAAATTTAGCTTGCCATCAATCAGTATTCTAAATTTATAATTTTGAAGAAACCAAAATTTGTAAGAGTAAAGTCTATTTATCTTTAAAAATGGTAAGAATAAATCAAGCAGGAAATGAAAAAAATTTCTAAATTTTTCTTCCTATTTTTATGTATTGGGTGGTAGTTTTTTTTTTTGTGCTAATTTTTTACATCATAGTCATTTTACTAGCTTTGCATGTTAAAAATTTTCTCTAATGCATTAAGATCACTGTAGTATTTAGTCATTCTACTTTTGAAACAATAATTTATAATTATTTGCATTTAATGACTTCTGAGTGAGGTTAGAATTTGTGTAAAACTGATCTATAAAAGCTTTAGTTACATGCCCATGTAGTTGTAATGTCACCTTCTTCCAGTCATTTTTAAAACCTTGAAATCTCTCTGTCAAATATCAAATACATTGCAGCATTAGTCAAGTGTTTGAAGCAACCCAAGCAGCTGTTTGTCTAATGATCACAGCTATCCTTTTTTACTGCAATATTTTAAAATCCATGTATCTTTAATTACAATATCTGCCATTTTGTTTGTTTTTTATATATCCATTTTACATTGTCATTTATATTAAAAAAAAAGTAATTCATTTAATACCATGCAAATTTATTAATATGCCAGTTAATATGTTTGCCCTATTCACCGGTTCTCCGTTTCTCTTTACATTCACAACCATGCAACTCAAGGCCCACGTTGTTATGACTACCATATTACCTTAACGCCATTTCCGTCAACATTTGAATCATGAACATTCCGTCATGTCCATCGCTCCATTCATATAGAAACTACCTACATTATTGTAGATTTTTTTTTTTACTAGAAAATGCACATTTCTCTATTTTTATATACCCTTTCCCAACTTCCATTTTGTTTATGATTGCTTGTTAGACATCAATAATTCCAGCCTTTAGCCCTGATGGGTCAACTCTACTCGATGATGTACAAATATTTTTTTAACTTCGGTGTAAATGTCCCTTTATTTGATGTAAATGTTTTATAACGCAACATAAATCCACATCTATTTTCATTTTATTTTTCATGTTTAGTGCTGCTCTTTAAAATGTTTGCTCATTCTAATGGGTGGCAAGATATTGACCTAAACCACACATCCCTCCCTTGTATACAATATTTATGATTGGTGTTTACTTGGGTTTTGAGGATTAAAAAAAAAACTAATATTTTTTTTATACAATGCCGTTAAGATTTTAGAAAAAACATGAGTAAATACTAAGATCCATTAATTAAAAGAATTTTTTTACTTTGTCTAGATATAAAATGTCAACAGGGAGCCCATTAGAAAGGGTCAGACTTCCAAATTGAAATGCCAGCAGTTTTTTTTAAAATAGTTAAATTACTGAAATTACTGTTAACTGCATTTATAAAAATTTTAAACCTAAAATAATTAACATGAATTAATTCCAAAAAATAATTTTTGTAACTTAATATCCTGCCATTGATATGAATGAACGTGCCAAATTTGTCAAATCTATGATTGGCCAGTTTGGTAAAAACATTTAAGTTACATTATGTCACTTGTATGGTTGGCCAGTTTGGTTAGAAATGGTGTAAATCACTTGAAAAAAATTATTCCATCATTTCTAAACGATGATTTGGATTCTGTGTACAAAGACAATGTTTTTATATCTATTTATAAATGTTTCAAATGTACAAATAAGACTTCTGTCTCATATGGCTTTTTTTTTTCATGTAATTCTGGACCATATTTAGTTGGACAGAATTTTTTGTCAACCTTTTGTTAATTTAGATTAAGGATAGTGCAGCACCCAAAATTTAAAGATTACATTAATTAACTAAACAGCTGATTCATAATGTTGTCTGGGCTCAGCAGTTATCCTAAAACTATAACCTCAGCGTAGTCAATCAAACTATTGTTTTAATAGCTTCAGCTTAGTAACAAGTTAGGAAAGTTTATTTTATTTTATTAGCCTCAGCTCAGTAACAAGTCAGTAGAGTTGTTGTAATGATTATAAATTTATATTAAAATAACTTCACATTTATCACTAATATATGGAGACTTGAGGAAACAGGTGAGGTACATATGCACATGTTATTGAACATGCACTGCTTGATTTAACAAATATGAAAGGATGTGCTTTGAGTAAATGGCAGAAGTATTTTTTATTAGGGTAGTGATGAATTTTTTTTTATAATAATAATTTTTTTTTAAAGATCTGAAGGTTGTGGTTTGCTTTGCTGAAGAAATTTCTATATTTTTGGCAATGGTAAAATAAGGATATGTTCTGCTATCAGTGAAAAATACTGTAAAAAACATTATTTTCCTTTCTGAAATTCATTCATCATTCAAATGTATTATGTTTACATCTGTAAGTTCACGGTGTAAAGTAATGTTTTGATTGGACATCTTAGTCAATTTTTTTTACCCTACTCAAATATGTAAACTTCCTTATCAATTATTTATAGCGCAATCCTATTTACATTTTCAAAACAAAAAAAATATGTAATATTTCAAAAATCAATCTTCAGAAAAGGAAGAATTTATCTATTATTTTCTCAAAAGTGTGTATATTGTTTCACTATAGTCAAGAGTTGTAAACATTTTATCCCCAACAGTAGTTAGCAGTAGAAAAATTATATCACATGAGGTGCTGTCAATAGGAATAGATAGCAGATATAATCAGATGTTGAGAAGTATACCATTTTGATAGTATTTGTCTTATATACAGTTGGTTTTTTTATAAAGATAATAAAATGATTTAACTGATCTGATTCTGTCTTTTTTATTTTCACCATCGTTGCAAGTCTTTAGTTTAGTTGTAGTTTGTTACTTAGGTTAGCCAAAAGGTTAAGTTAAAACTTCAGTTCAAAAAAATAAGTGATTAATGGTTTCACAAAACTTGGTAATGTGGAATTAATTACAAGCTTTAAAAAAAAATATTCATTCTCCATTGTCAATCATTTGTACAAGATCCACTTCCCATCCAGGAAGTTCTAAAACTAACAAACAATTTTTTACAAATTTAGCCTCCCATCAATAGAATTCTAAAACTAATTTACAATAATTTTTACAAGTTTAGCTTCCCATCCAAGAAATTCTAAAATTAATAAACAATACTAAAATAGTGAAGAAACCAAAACTAGAATCAATTTTTATAGTGTACAGCTTTATTTTTTTACTTAAAATATTTAACAGATTCCATGGAATGTATAGATACAAGATGACTTTTCAGATAATTTGACAGATAAATAGAGAACTTACAAGGAATGTACATAAAAAATGTAAAAAGAATAGACATGAGGGCAAGTTACCCAATCACAAAAGTAGGACAATTGCCTTAACAGTTCTAGCACTTTGTTAATACTTTTATGAATAGAAGAAGAAATATATGCAAGAAGTTTTGGCTGCTTGTTTTATTTAACTTACAATACAGAAGAGCTCCTCTGACACAAATCCCTGAAATTGAATAGAACAAATTGGCCATTTTGTGCTTGAACACCTGTCACAGAAGTATCTGCTATGATAATTTTACAAAATTCCTGACACAGAAGTATCTGCTATGATAATTTTACAAAATTCCTACAGCATACTTCAATTTAAGTGGTTATTCAGTTCAGTTTTGTTTCATGCCTCTCATGTTGTTGTATTTTAGTACACTGGTGCTGCTGCTGTTTTTGAAATGGTGTGTCCAGATTTGTCAGTCGTTGTCTGTGTAATCAGTCTACTTAAAAAAAAATAACAGCAAAATGGTCTTTCTCATTTATTTTCCTTTTTTTTCTTCTGCACAAAACAATTTTTTTATTCAGTTAACCATTTTTATATTCAAGTATGATTTGGACAACTATATTATAAATTGTAAAGTTTTTTATGTATGGTAAAAATTAAACTTGAATTTTATTCATTTTGGCTAGATATATCGATAAACATTAATATAGGAGTTCAATAATAAACTTTCAGATTAAGGCACTGGTTTTTAAATGGTTTCAAGATGAGGCATAAATATTCAATCAAAAGATCTTGTAATTTGATCTTGGGTCAGGCAGCAGAAATGGTTCAAGACAAATTACTGTAGGTATCGAAAGTTTCCGAAACAAAGTGGACCAAAAGAAACAACAACATCAAGAAATCGATATCAAGGTCATGGTTATGAATCGATACCTTAAAACCGGTCACCTTAACATTCCAAAAAAAAACAGTTGCATAAAAATTTGAATGCACTTGTCAGAAGGTGTATAGGTATACACTTTCTGGTTTGCATATTTCTCAAACAGTGTAACCAAAATGGTAAATTATGCAACAACAGAGGAAACAATTTTTGTCTAGAATTTAAAAATAAGCAATCAAAACTAAACTTAAAAAGAATGTAATATAGAAGTCCAAATGTGCAGGTAATGGCGTCGGTATGATTTAGTCTTCTGGGAAGACTTTGGCGACTAGAACTGCCAAAAATATTAGGAATATGCAGGCCTCGATCACACGTGACCTGTTGCATCCAATGGATGAATAGATTTGGTTGTACTCCGCTTGGCTACATTGCAGGTCAGTACTGTAAGGGTAAACAGTGGGAGAGTTTAGATCACCAAGTTTTAAAATTTATTTCTTTTACAATAACAAAAAGCACACAAAGTTATATGACATAGGTCTGGCTTATCAGGTCATATCTGCATGTTAACTGGCCATGAAACAATATATCTTATGGGATTAAATTATTAAAAGGTTTTATTACACAAAGGTAACTTGTAAAGTTAGTATCATTTCTGTTTAAACCTAGCGATACACTGAGCAGATAAAGTAGAGTTCATTTGTTCCTTGAACCTGGCATATGAAGGGATGCCCAGCCACCTTTACTTTCCCCAATGTAAGTCAAGTACCCATCAGAGCTTGATGGACTCAGGGACGTCCCACAGTCACAAGCCTGAACCGAGATCCGAACTCAAGACCTTTGGGCTAGAAGCCAAACGCTCTACCATTCGACCATTCCGTCTTTAAGAGGTGACCTGTAGTTTCTTTTATTTTTCAGATTTGTTCTCATGTTAATTGATGTAAATTAATAGTATTTTTGTTTAAATAAGCAGTTAGTATAAAACTTTTTAATTAGGATTTGTTTTGTTCATTAAGATTTTGTCTGGAAAAGTGGCAATTTTAATTATCCAATTAGTAATAGATTGTTTATACATAAAGGGTAACTCAGCAAGCAATGTACACATACCCACATGCTGGACAAATCACTAAAACCCTTGATTGGTGCCACTAGCTGTCATCTAATATGGTAAAAATAACAAAATATGTTCTTAAAGATGGAATGCATTTTACCCACCTATTGTCTGTCTTGGTGAAGCAGGATTTGATTTCCGGCAGCTTCTCAGCGCTACAGAAAGATAGTTTTGAGTTGACGAGGCTTGGGCTACTGGCCAGACACTTGACCACCTGGCGCAGGCAGCTCGAGTTGTCATCTTTCTTGACCACGCCAGTCAGATAGCAACTCAGATCCGTCAGCTTTTTCTTCTCAGATTCTGAACATTTTGCGAAGCTTTTGGTAAAGGGAGGTAATAAAGTGTTTTAATATTTTATGTGTGAAGCTTTTGTTAAGGGAGGTAATAAAGTGTTTTAATATTTTATAATGTGTGAAGCTTTTGTGAAGGGAGGTAATAAAGTGTTTTAATATTGTACAATATGCAAAAGGGAGATAATATAGTGTTTTAATATATTTCTCATTGAATTATTACCCTCTAATTAGAATTATTATTTAAAGCACTAAAATTGAATAAGAATAAGAATATAGAAAAAGGTTTTGGATCAGAGAGTGGCAATCTGATTTTTGTGATGATATGTGATGTATGTTGTTAAATGTGTATGTACAGTAGAATTCTTTTGTGAAGTTTATTTTTGTAATCCCCACCATCCCCTATAAACATCTGGTACTGCATAAAAATCAACCCACTATTTCTGTTTGATACATATCAGTACATCTAAACAAACCTTTTTTGTGTTTAACCTGATCAAATTTTTTATGCAAAACAAATTAACACAACAGTTGGCGACCTATAGTTGAGTGTGTGTGTGTAGAATCTAATTTAAAATAATTAGTTTGCACTTTGGGCTAGAAAATATTCTTTTAAAGTAAGTGTGCTGTCTGATGCCCTCTGCAGAGTTTATGTTACTATTAGAGCCCCAGATACATAAATGTGCACATTATCTGGGTAATCTGCAGAATTGTTGTAGGCCCTAATATCTGAAATCATAAACTAAGCTTTTTACACTTTATCCAGATGTGAGATAGTGAGAGATAAGCTTATTTCTAATAGTTCAGTCACAAACAAAAATATGTTAATTACGTAAAGATTCATTAAGCAGATGAAGTAGAGTGTATTTGTTTCTTGAACTCGGAATATGAAGGGATGGTGCAGTCACACTATATTCATCAGTTGATGGCGTTAATCATAAAACCTGAGGTTAATACATGATTCTAACAGTATGTCACCATTCCTTAGATGAGTTTAACAGTCAACATTCCTTGAACAATTCAAATTCAACTTTTGTTCAAGTGTATATTCTTAGTTGTAAATGTAGATTTACACTGTAGGCTTAACACTGATGTGTTGAATTACAATAATAATTTAATCTAGATAATCTAGATCTATATTTAGATAATCTAGATCTATATCTAGACCTCTTTACAATTTACTCATTCAGCAATCAATTAACAGTTGCCCTGATTCAACTAGATTTTATAGATACAACAAAAATAGATTGTTAATTATTCAATACATGCTAAAGCATTGTTCTTATATTCTGCTTATTAGTTAATCCACATCAAAGTACAATTTTTTAATATACTTCTTACGTAATTAGGCCACTGTGTAAGTACTTTAGCAGTGTGTGAGTTTTTGGCCACTGTTTTAGTGTCTCATCACTGCATACATATTTGGTCACAACTTAAGTATTTGGCCACTTTTTTTTTAGTATGCCGTAATTGTCGACTGTTTTAATATCGAGCCACTGTTTGAATACAGAGCTTCTTCCAGACATCTGGAAGAAAGTCTACCGCCGCCCCCCCCCCCCCCCTCCCCGGAGAAAAAAGTCTGGACTATCGGGCCACTGTTTGAATATCGGGCCACTGTTTGAATATTGGGCCACTAATTAACAAACTTAAGTGTACACAAAAACTCTTATTGCCTGAGCAAAGTTTTTTATATTTTTTAACGAGAGGTTTGTATGTCACGTGCACATTATCCGGGTCGTTAGATAGCTCGCTCGATCTCATATCCGGTCCTTACCTGCTCAATGCGCATTAGCCATCGAGACCGGAACTGTCTATCAAACATTTGTTACCAGCTTGATTGTTATGGGGGGGGGGGGGTATTTTATTATCAAAATATAGGCTTAGATACATTTTGAAACTAATTTGAACACTCCCTTCAGTCCCAGTAATAAAACAATCAAAGTTTAAAAATGTGGTTTTAGTCCTGACATAAAAGATCATGAAACTGAGAGCATTTGTAAGTGACACATGCACATTGTCTAAGGAAGACAGTGGTTCGACATCTGGGTTCCATACAACCACAGGGGTTCGGGGAGTCAGAATCAGGGGTTTGGTGGAGGTCAAGACACACCCGAAACATGATTCACGATCGGATTTCGTCAGTGCGGACGATAGAACTATTTAGAAGTGTTCGGGGAATGCGCAAAAATGGTCCGAAAAGACCGTATGATTGTAATAGAGTTAATGTGTAAGTGAAATGGTCCCAAAAGATTAAATGGGTTGTGATAGAGTGAATGTGTGAATGAAGCGGTCCCAAAAGATAAAATGGTTGAAATAGAGTGAATGATTGTGTGAATGAAATGGTCACATAAGATTAAATGGTTGTATTAGAGTGAATGTGTGAGTGAAATGGCCCCAAAAGATAAAATGGTTGTATTAGAGTGAATGTGTGAGTGAAATGGCCCCAAAAGATAAAATGGTTGTATTAGAGTGAATGGTCCCAAAAGATGAAACGGTTGTAATAGGGTGAGTGAAATGGTCCGAAAAGATCGTATTATTGTAACAGAGTGAATGTTTGAGTGAAATGGTCCGAAAAGATCGTATTATTGTAACAGAGTGAATGTTTGAGTGAAATGGTCCGAAAAGATCGTATTATTGTAACAGAGTGAATGTTTGAGTGAAATGGTCCGAAAAGATCGTATTATTGTAACAGAGTGAATGTTTGAGTGAAATGGTCCGAAAAGATCGTATTATTGTAACAGAGTGAATGTTTGAGTGAAATGGTCCGAAAAGATCGTATTATTGTAACAGAGTGAATGTTTGAGTGAAATGGTCCGAAAAGATCGTATTATTGTAACAGAGTGAATGTTTGAGTGAAATGGTCCGAAAAGATCGTATTATTGTAACAGAGTGAATGTTTGAGTGAAATGGTCCGAAAAGATCGTATTATTGTAACAGAGTGAATGTTTGAGTGAAATGGTCCGAAAAGATCGTATTATTGTAACAGAGTGAATGTTTGAGTGAAATGGTCCGAAAAGATCGTATTATTGTAACAGAGTGAATGTTTGAGTGAAATGGTCCGAAAAGATCGTATTATTGTAACAGAGTGAATGTTTGAGTGAAATGGTCCGAAAAGATCGTATTATTGTAACAGAGTGAATGTTTGAGTGAAATGGTCCGAAAAGATGACATAAAAACCTATAGCACCAACCAGGTGGAGTTGACTGGGGGCTCACACTGAAGTCTGGTCTCGCCCCACCACTGAAGGTAACCGTTGAGGCACTCTGGGCTGACTTGGGTTGTAGGGGTCACCGGAAGTGTGGTGGTCATCTGGGCAGCGCTGGAGCCGGTGTTGTTGGTAGCAGTTGGCTGGACAGTGGTCGTGTTGTTGGTAGCCGTAGGTTGGACAGTGGTCGAGTTGTTGGTCAAGCTGTTGGGTTGGACAGTGGTCGTATTGCTGATCAAGTTGTTGGGCGGGTTGTTGGTGGAGTTACTGGCCGCATCGGTCGAGGTGTTGTTCGGGTTGCTGGGCGGGTTGGCAGTGTCATTTCCGGGCGGCGCGCTGGTCACAACATCCGTGGTGTTGATGGGATTCGTGGCGTTGGGCTTCTCGGTCTGATTCACCGGCGCTACGGCGGTCACGTTCTCATGGGACGGGGTGGTAGAGTTGGCTGTGGGTGGGGCGTCTGTGACGGCAGGGGCAGGGGTAGCTTCCTCGGCGTAGAGGGGGGCGGTGAAGAGCTGGGCGAAGACTGCCACCAGCAGGAGGAGCAGGCTTCTCATGGCGCCTGAAAGTAAAGGTCAAAGGTCGGTATGTTAACTCATAGGCACAAACACAAAGGTCGACATGTTAACATACAGATGAGGGCAAAAGACAACACTATGTGGACATACGGCTGTAGCTCTGTATTGGTGGGGGGGGGGGGAATCGTAGATATATGATGTCACGAACCTACGCGTGAGATGGTACAGGTCTTTGAATCGTTAAGCTAAACGTGTGGAGGAGGAGGGGGATATATATGTTATGTATACAGTGGCGTAGGCAAGATTTTTTATCTTGTTATCGTGGTTTAGATAAAGTATATATATATATATATATATATATATACAACACAACTCACGACTATATGACCAGTCAACACAAGGGAGGGAAATCAATCTACTATCGTTTTCATTTCAAACTGAGGGCCAGCTTGGGTTTGAATATTTGATTTTAGCCTTTTGACGAACAGCGCGGAGGCTACACTGCCATCACCATGACTACCAGATCTCACTTCGGTAACCGAATGCCACCCATTCCTCTTCTTGTGTTATTAACAACCTTTTTCTCTGCTCAAGTTTTAGAGTTATAATTGTCTTGCTAATAACAACAAACATTCCATGGAATCTGTTAAATATTGAAGTCAAAAAAAAATAAAGCTGTACACTATAAAATTGATTCTAGTTTTGGTTTGTGCACTATTGTTTTTCTTAGTTTTAGCATTCAAAGCATGGTAATCTAAACTTGTAAAAATTATTTCTATTTTTTATAGACTTAAAAATCGCAAGTATACGTTCAGTGCTGGATCTCTTACGAAAAAGAAACAAAAACGATTTGTTCAAAACCCTTATTACGCCACAGTTTCCAATACGATTTGTATCTATTAGATTTGTCTGCATGACGTGTGTCTACCAGCCCTAAGACATCAATCGATACACGGGCAATATTGGTAATACAATCGTCATTCTTCTATTACGTGGGGGAGAAATGTATTTCATTTATTTTTAAACCGTCTTGCACGTGCATTTACGCGTGCATACATATTCACTCATTGACATAGATTTACACACAGACACACACAATCACACATATTCACTCAATGACATAGATCTACACACAGACACACACACAATCACACATATTCACTCACTGACATAGATCTACACACACACACACACAATCACACATATTCACTCACTGACATAGATTTACACACAGAAACACGCAATCACACATATTCACACTAATACACATATTCACGCATTTATACACTTGTACATATATATATATATATATATATATATATATATATATATATATATATATAATGAAAAGGAACACACTTCCTCAAAGTAAACAGCTAAAGTACTTTGTAAAGATGAAGCACACTGACTTATAAAAAACCATTTACAGTTGTTGTTGTTTTTTTCTAATTAGCGTGCAGTTGCGCAAGTATACATGTCTTCTACTTAAGTGTGACCTGACTAATTATCACCAGAAGTTTATTTTTTTTTAACTTTGATAAAAGGTATTTTATGCTATAATTGACATAGCTTGTTTTATATATGGATTAATAGTCAACACCACCCCAACTAGTCTGACGATAGTGTGTGTTGGGGGAGCGATGGAGCAGGTCTAATTCCCTAACTACCATGAGTTACTTCCCCTAATACAACAGTATTTACCAAAGGGAATTAGCTTTTCATTTCACCTGTCAACAAGTCAACGTTTTTAATAAAGATTACGAAATACATTAATAATTAGTTCAATTTTTTTAAACACCAAGATTTTTCCTTAAAATCGTGATTAAGTTATGAAATAATAAAAAGACTGAATTATATTTGCATGAAACTACATCCAATAACATGAAACTATATGTCTAATAACAAGACGAAATAATATATCCAAAAAACAATAGGAAACTACACATTCAATATAACACAAAACTATACGTTCAATAACAACACACACACACACACAAATTTTAAAAAAATAAAAAAAATAATTAATTAATTAATTTAAAAAAAAAAAATAACAACACGAAACTACATCTAATAACATGAAACTATAATAACAAGACGAAACAATACATCCAATAACTTGAAACTATACGTCTCATAACAACATGAATATATATATATATACATATATATATATATATATATATATATATATCCAAAAAAAACAATGAATACGTGCTCTGGTTACATTTATAATGCAAACTGACCAATCAATTTCACACTTGTCTCAGATATTTGAGACAGACGATATGAATGTGGAGTGTAGGTGTGTGCATGTGGGGGATGTGGGGTTTAGGTGTGGGGATGTGGGGTTTAGGTGTGCGGGTGTAAGTGTGGGTGTCAGTGTGTGAATGAGGGGCTTAGGTGTACGGATGTGGGGTGATGGCGGATCCCCCCCCCCCCCGAAGAGATGCCTGGAAGAAACACTGACAGCAACGGAGTGCGAATGTTGGAAACCAGACCCGCCCCTCCCCCTCCCCCCCCCCCCCCCTTTAAAAAATAGATGTCGTATTTCAACCTTACTCTCCATCTCGGCTAATTACAGTTTGTTTTTTTTTAATCCGCCCTTTTTGTTTCTTTAAAATATTAATAGATTTGTTTCCCTTTCGCAACGGAAAACTCAAAGTATTACTGCAAGTGAAGTATGCAAAGGTGTTACGTCATACTGTACACGCACAATGTTTACCCATTACATCTGACCCCTAGCCCATGAGTGTAAAGTCATTTACCACCACCCCCACCCCACACACACACACACACACCGCCATGCTGAAAAATCTGCTTGAGACAGACTTGCCTTGAAAAGTAGCTTTTCCACACACAGACTAGCCTAGAGAAGTAACTTTCCCCCACACAGACTTGCCTAGAAGTTACTTTCTCCCCAACACAGACTAGCCTAGAGAAGTTACTTTCCCCCATACAGACTTGCCTAGAGAAGTTACTTTCACCCACACAGACTTGCCTAGAGACGTTACTTCCCCCCCCCCCCCACTGACTTGCCCAGAGAAGTAACTTTCCCCCATACAGACTTGCCTAGAGAAGTTACTTTCCCCCATACAGACTTGCCTAGAGAAGTTACTCCCCCCCCCATACAGACTTGCCTAGAGAAGTTACTCCCCCCCCCTACACACACACAGACTTGCCTAGAGAAGTTACCTCCCCCCCCCCCCACACACAGCTATGAGCCAAAGATTCGCTATCGCCACATACCTGAACTAAAATCGATCTAAGCCATCGAGAAAGGGCAACAGATGGTGTTTGTCGTTTTATTACAGCCAGCTAGAGTGAGGCATGTAGCCTACATGAGTATCTAAATATTCTTCGGCGTTAAGATTTCTGGTTGCAAGGGGGGGGGGGTGAGGAGATGCATTGTTGATGGGAGAATTTGATTTCTGGAGTTAAATCGAATTAAAAAATAACTAAATTATCTTGTCTGTTGAGGGCTGTCATGGAAGTGTCTTTGTGCGTGTGATTGTGTTGCCCCTGTCCCAATATTGTAGATAGCCGCCCCTGTATTGTGGATAGCCGCCCATGTAGATAGTCGCCCCTGTAGATAGTTGCCCCATGTTGTAGATAGCCGCCGCTGTGTTGTAGATAGCCGCCCCTGTAGATAGTCGCCCCTATGTTGTAGATAGCCGCCCCTGTCCTGTGTTGTAAATAGTCACCGCTGTGTTGCAGATAGACGCCCTGTGTTTGAAGCATTAAGTGACTACCTCTTCCCCCCCCCCCCCCCCCCCCCACCTTCCTGTTACATCGCTATATGACAATTAGCCCTGTCTTTATTGCCAATAAAATTGTATTCTCAACTCATCAAATCCTTCACATGACGCCCAACACAATCCTATACATCGGGGCATCACATTGATTGAAGGCTGCAGCTGATAACACAGCGTGATTAGCACGGGATTTCAATCATGATCTATGATGAGAACTACTTACTTTGCTCTCACTGCATCGACTATTCAAATATGTGGATTTTAAATGTATTATGTCAATCGCTGTCCGGGATAATCTAAACCCCAATGTCAAGGACTCCTTGGTGACGTTTGTCTAGCAGTTTCTTTCATGTATCTCTTCAGTGAGGGGAGGGGATAGGGAAAGAGGTCACAATTCTGTGGAGAAGGGATGGGTATCTGTGACGATGTGCGACATTTGTGAGGGGGGGGGGGTTAAGAAATATGAAGTCACATTATTGAAATCTAAAAAGTAATATTTGAGCTGAATTATGAATTGAAGCAGCTGTTTTGCAATTTTTAAAAATTGATGTATACACCTGACCATAAGCTGGATTTGCTAAAATTTTCAATTTAAATAATAATTAGCTTTTTTGGCATCTAGTAGAAAGTTAACGCTAGCTATATTATTTACATTTGTTTGGCTATATCCCTTTCATTAAAGGAAATACGTAATATTTGAGAAAATATTTACAACCTTGGGGCGTCTGAAACGGTACGTCTTTTTAGGAGGGGGGTCTACATTTTGGTGACAATGAAGGGAGAGTGCGGGAGAGGGGGGGGGGGATAAAAATAGGACAAAAAATTGTTGATGCAGTCGATGAAGAACCCTTAAGGATGTTGAGTGACTCTTTTTGTCTCTGATAAAATTGTCATAGGAATATATGTCAAATAAGCCATACGGCTACCATAACGCCCCCACCCCTTTCAGTGAGCACCGTTTGAACATTAGAATTTTTTTCTTTCTGCACTCACGTGTCAACAGGTAACTGATCCGTTAACAGGTGAGCTGTTGTGTGGATGTAGGCCAGCTGTACGTGGTCTCTTACCTGGGGTGTCCGTCAATGTATTTAAAGTGTACAACTGTGATAGGTGACTCAGTCGTAGTAACAGACATGTTTAAGAGACTATGAATTAATATATGGTTAAAAGAATAAAACGTATTGAGTGTGATATATATATATATATATATATATATATATATATATGTGTGTATATATGTTATTTGCATTTATATATATATATATATATATATATATATATATATATATATATATATATATATATATATATATATATATATATATATATAATTATGTGTGTGTTTTTTGTATATGTATAGCTGTCTTGTCAGTAGACGGCTGATGATGCTGACATTGTCTATTTACCACACTCCGTGTGTGACGTAAGACTAGCGTGAAGAAAAAGATAAGCTCCTATAAATCCCATGGAATAACTAGGGCTAATGGGACGGCGAATTGGTTTAAAATAGACGGGCCACACACGCACGTCAATAGAACACACAAACTGATGACGTCACGTGTAGGCTGGTCATGAGTTTTGTCACGGTGATTTTCTAGAAAAACTGATTTCATAATTTATTGTATTTATTGGAGGGGGTAGGGAATGGGAAGAATTCGTGAAGATGACCAGTGTAATGTGAAGAATGGACGGGGTGGGGGTAGGAAAGTGAAACATTACTTCATCAGTCATTTCTAGAATGAGTAAACACTCACAATTCGTCAGAGTTGTTTTTATTCGAGGGGGGGGGGGGAGGCAGTGATGATGAAAATCACTCAACATAAAAGCGAGATGTCTTTACTTCTTTACTGAAAGACCCAGTAGCACGCACCTTAAAAGATCACATTCGTTTCCAATCTCACAAGCGTAACTTGAGACCCACTGCTCAAAGCAAGCACAGTTGTTAATTTTCTTATAAGTAGGTTGAATTCCTCGGTCAATTATTTTAGCCAAGGATTTGTTTTAAATTAAGTTTTTTTTTTTTTTGCGAATGTTTTTCTAAAGTATTTGAAAACCCAGTTTGGTGCTTAGGGTAATTTATAAACGACTTCACGTCTTCTTTTTATTTTTTATTTTTTTTACTGTTTTTCCTCGCCCTCTCACCCTCCTGTATTGTCACTCGTTATCGCAAAAAGTTAGACTCCAACACACCCCTAAAATGACGTCACACGACAGTCTAAAACCCCATTCAAAATGGCAGGCTTTTTTTTAGAAACATCGAATTTCTTTGTAAAAAATATTTATGGTTCTCGGTCAAACCGAATCGATTTTTATTACACTTTACAACACGCCTAATTTCACTTTTTAAAATGCAACAATTTGCCGTCACAGTTTCTAAACATCCCCTTTCCCATCGTCACAAAACTTCCCACCCCCAGATCCTCACTGGCAGCAGTTTGACGTCGTTTATGACAGTGTTTCTTTCATACATTTTTCTCAATTTAGGGGGTGGTTAAAGTATTGTGTATATAAATTCTATTTCGTTCGGGGGTTGATGGTGGATGGCCTTTTTCTTGCTAAATCCCAAACATACAATCGTCCAGCAATAGAACTAGAACAGTTAACACAGGTACTAGACGTTCTAGGTGATAAAATACACTTTCACTAATTGCACTAGAACAGGTACTAGACTTTCTAGGTGATAAAATACACTTTCACTAATGGATCTAGAACAGGTACTAGACTTTCTAGGTGATAAAATACACTTTCACTAATTGCACTAGAACAGGAACTAGACTTTCTAGGTGATAAAATACACTTTCACTAATGGATCTAGAACAGGTACTAGACTTTCTAGGTGATAAAATAAACTTTTACTAATTGCACTAGAACAGGTACTAGACTTTCTAGGTGATAAAATACACTTTCACTAATGGATCTAGAACAGGTACTAGACTTTCTAGGTGATAAAATAAACTTTCACTAATTGCACTAGAACAGGTACTAGACTTTCTAGGTGATAAAATACACTTTCACTAATGGATCTAGAACAGGTACTAGACTTTCTAGGTGATAAAATAAACTTTCAGTAATTGCACTAGAACAGGTACTAGACTTTCTAGGTGATAAAATACACTTTCACTAATGGATCTAGAACAGGTACTAGACTTTCTAGGTGATAAAATAAACTTTCACTAATTGCACTAGAACAGGTACTAGACTTTCTAGGTGATAAAATACACTTTCACTAATGGATCTAGAAGAGGTACTAGACTTTCTAGGTGATAAAATAAACTTTCACTAATTGCACTAGAACAGGTACTAGACTTTCTAGGTGATAAAATACACTTTCACTAATGGATCTAGAAGAGGTACTAGACTTTCTAGGTGATAAAATAAACTTTCACTAATTGCACTAGAACAGGTACTAGACTTTCTAGGTGATAAAATACACTTTCACTAATTGCACTAGAACAGGTACTAGACTTTCTAGGTGATAAAATACACTTTCACTAATGGATCTAGAACAGGTACTAGACTTTCTAGGTGATAAAATAAACTTTCACTAATTGCACTAGAACAGGTACTAGACTTTCTAGGTGATAAAATACACTTTCACTAATGGATCTAGAAGAGGTACTAGACTTTCTAGGTGATAAAATAAACTTTCACTAATTGCACTAGAACAGGTACTAGACTTTCTAGGTGATAAAATACACTTTCACTAATGGATCTAGAAGAGGTACTAGACTTTCTAGGTGATAAAATAAACTTTCACTAATTGCACTAGAACAGGTACTAGACTTTCTAGGTGATAAAATACACTTTCACTAATGGATCTAGAAGAGGTACTAGACTTTCTAGGTGATAAAATAAACTTTCACTAATTGCACTAGAACAGGTACTAGACTTTTTAGGTGATAAAATACACTTTGGCTAATGACCTTACCCAGACCCTAGTATATCACAGTTTGAGTAGCACTAAAGAAACAGGTGTGGATAGCCTATAGTCCGCACCTTAAACACAATTTTTTGAAAACTCATCAACCTAATTAGTGAAAATTTTTCTTTCATTCAAATAAAGACTAAAGAAAATTAACATATACACTCAAACACTTTTACAGACACAAAGATAGACATACACACATGCAAAGTGAACTTTAGCTTATCTTGTTATTTTAATCGTTTTTATTTTCAAAATATGACCTGATTAAAATAAAAAATGCAATAATTAAATTAAAAAATTAGGAATTAGTTTAGCTTACCTTGTTATTTCCAAAGTTAAGCAACCTTCGTTTAAGTCAGAAAAATCTTAACTGTGCAACTGTGTACTCAAAACCTGTCGTCTGTCAGCCAATCAAAAAGTTTGAGAAAATCTGGCCAGGTATGGCGAGGCAAACGAGAGTCTCTCGCGTGTTTTGGTCAGACAGGAAGTTGCCAGCCAGTCGTGTCGTGAGCAGACGACCAGGTGGTGTGTCATCCGATTTGAGCAAAGAGTATCGGCCAGGCGATCTGAGAACATGCGCTATTGATTGAGATAAGGTACAGGGCATGGTCGCTGGCATGGGCGTCACAAAGGTTGTGTTTTTATGGATTGGGGGGGGGGGTCCTCGGCAGGCGAGACCAATGCGAAGTTGTCAGTTTTAATTGACCACTAGCGTAATTACCTGTTTACTAATCCTAATATATAAAAGCCCATGTGCGCACTTCTCTCTGTCTGCAGCATATTTCCCGAAGGTATCAGATCCGTATCTTCAGCGATGTATAGAGAACTTAATCATAGGGACTTTTGTTGAAAATAATATGTTAGATGTATTAAATGTATAAATTAAATGTTATTTAAAGAAAAAAAAGAAAAATAAAGGCATATTCGAATGTAGAAACACATTTTTAATTAAGCAAACGAAAAAGTATTGATAGTTGTGACAAGAACGCAGAAAACAATGACGTCACATTCCGCATGTTTAAACTACGGAAAGTACACAACACTAATGCCGTTATCTTCCAATTTTAGAATATGAAGAAATGAACTATGCCATCAAATTTGATTTGGATCTATAGCTCTACTAATCAAGACGACGCTATGAAATGTATCTAATTTTCTCGGCCAAAACTAGTACAAATGACTTTAAAGAAAAACAACATAAATAACGTTAAACAGAGGTAATGTGACCGACCATGTCTTATGTACGGGCGCCTATATGTGTGGGTTTGTGTGGGTGGGGGGGGGGGGGGGCATGTGACCTACCAATATGTTAGATGCGGACACCTATATGTGTGGTTTTGTGTGGGTGAGGGGTTATGTGACCCACCAAGATGTTAGGTGCGGGGGCCTATATATGTGGTTGGTGTGGGTGGGAGGTTATGTGACCTACCAATATGTTAGATGCGGACACCTATATGTGTGGTTTTGTGTGGGTGAGGGGTTATGTGACCCACCAAGATGTTAGGTGCGGGGGCCTATATATGTGGTTGGTGTGGGTGGGAGGTTATGTGACCCACCAAGGTGTTAGGTGCGGGCGCCTATATGTGTGTGTGTGGGTGGATGGGAGGTTATGTGACCCACCAAGATGTTAGGTGCGGGCGCCTATATATGTGGTTGGTGTGGGTGGGAGGTTATGTGACCCACCAATATGTTAGATGCGGACACCTATATGTGTGGTTTTGTGTGGGTGAGGGGTTATGTGACCCACCAAGATGTTAGGTGCGGGGGCCTATATATGTGGTTGGTGTGGGTGGGAGGTTATGTGACCCACCAAGGTGTTAGGTGCGGGCGCCTATATGTGTGTGTGTGGGTGGGTGGGAGGTTATGTGACCCACCAAGATGTTAGGTGCGGGCGCCTATATGTGTGTGTGGGTGGGTGGGAGGTTATGTGACCCACCAAGATGTTTGGTACGGGCGCCTATATGTGTGTGTGTGGGTGGATGGGAGGTTATGTGACCCACCAAGATGTTTGGTACGGGCGCCTATATGTGTGTGTGTGGGTGGGTGGGAGGTTATGTGACCCACCAAGGTGTTAGGTACGGGCGCCTATATGTGTGTGTGTGGGTGGGTGGGAGGTTATGTGACCCACCAAGATGTTAGGTACGGGCGCCTATATGTGTGTGTTGGTGTGGGAGGGGGTCATGTGACTCACCAAGCCACCAAAAGCCCTCGTCTACGGTTCAAGGTCTGCATGTGTTGCATGCATCAGCTGATTATCGCTCGCTACGTATGTTGTATCTGATAGAAGGATTTGTGCAGTAGCGTACGCAGGGGGGGGGGGGGGGAGCAGGGGGAGCGGCCGCTCCCCCTCTGGCCATTTTTAGCAAAGTGGCGCCTTTTTGGAAACTTTTTAAACTCAAAGTTTTAAACATTGATTTGTTAAAAAATTATATTTGGTCGCTACGTAAATCTCTGTGAATATTGTTTTTGCAATTACCAGTAAAAGGTGTGTGAGCAATACAGTGATCTAACCCATACCTTCTCATTAGGTCAAATAATTATATTTAAAGAATACAAAAAGTCAGTAGCTAATTAAAAAAGTGCATGATCTGAAACGTTAGACTGATATTTTAGTTACATGAGAGCTATTAATCTGAATCTTTTACTATTATTTTGAAAAGCTGGCTTTTATACCAACTCTGATTTTAAAAACTTTCATTATGCTGTAATACTTTAGCATTTATGATGACAATATATTTAATTTTGATTGTAGACAAAATATTTTTGTAAAAACAAATAGTGTTAAGCTACTTTATTAGATTCTTAAGTAATTATTGATTTGTTTTAATATTTATAATAAAATATGTAGACATATACATATTTATATTAAGATTTTGATTATTTCCCCTTTTCACTAGTCTTAATAGATGTCCCAGGAATTATTATGTAATTTTTTCAAGGATTATTACGAAACAGATTTTGCCGCGTTCATTGTTTTTGTTGTAGTGTTTATATATATATATATATATATATATATATTATATATATATATATATATATATATATATATATATATATATATATATATATATATATACTTATATAGAACATATTACAAATTCGGCGCCTTTTTTTGCTATTTCCGCTCCCCCTACACCGAAAACCTGGATACGCCTCTGGATTTGTGATCGTCGTTTCAAATCAATACGTCGAAAGTTTCTGGATTGGATAAGTTTATGTTTATTGAAACTGATCCTTGATGATTAGACTGTATAAGTTCATGTTTATTGAAACTGGACCTAGATGATTAGACTGTATAAGTTCGTGGTTATTAAAAAGGGTCCTTGATGATTAGATTCTTGTTTATTGAAACTGGTCCTTGAAAATGTATATTGAATAAGTTCACGTTTATTTAAAAGGGTCCGTGTTAATGTATGTTGGCCATGTTTATTTTAACTTGATACTGTAGATTTGATAAGGTCTTCTTTTATTTTAAATAGCCTTTAATTAGAAGCTATACGCAGTTGACGTTAAACATTCAGCAAATGCTCATACTGCTGTAATACTCATGTAATACTGCTGTAATACTGCTCCCTATATCCCCCTACTCATATGGTTCTGGTTCGAATACAAGAAGCAAGAGCTTGTCTGGTTTTTGGTGAAAGGTAAGAGCTAATATGACGTGGCCTAGCGGTAGAGCGCTAGACCGATAACCCGACTATTTCCAGTTCGAATCCGGGTTCAAGTCAGTAAGCTCTAATGTGTTCCTAACTCACGTTAGGGAAAGTAAAGGCGGCTGGGCATAGTGCTGATTACATTATCTTTTCATACGCTGCGGTCACAGAAATAGGTGAACTCTACTTCACTTGCACCATAGACCGTCAGGTTCGAAAATGTACTTTTCTGGCATTAGCAGATGTCACGTGACATGTACTTGACACTAGTTAGTATCAAATGACATTTGGCAACTCATTAACTTTATACGAAGTCTGTAAAAGCACATTTAGTAAAACGCTATTTAAAAATCGATGATTCAGCTTCAATTAAAAATATTGTTTTAAGTCGTGTTAGGTTTGTACTAGACCTAGATTTAGCACTTTAAAATGTTTATCTGGAGTGAATCAAGCACTTTGTTAGATCGTCAAAGACAAGATTTAGTTTAGTTGACCTAGCAGACGATCCTCAGGTTTGCAACATGCTCAAGGTCACGTAGCAACTATTAATCATGTAAGTGTAAGGGAAAACATTAAATATACAAATTTACTGAGAAAATCTGACTAAAAAGCTGTGTATTTATTTTTTAATTTAAAATTTATTTTGCGTAGTGGGAAGTTGACGTGTGCGAGATGACTGACGCACATTAGAGAGCATCATAAGATTTCAGTGTTTCTTCCAGACTTTTTCCTCCCGGGGGGGGGGGGGGGGGGTAGGGGGGGACACTTGATATTTTCGGGGGGGGGGGGGCGGACACTGGTAAAAGTATATGTTTTCTATTTAAATTCCGTTTTGTTCGGGGGGAGAAGGGGGCGGTCGATTATCTTGGGGGGGGGGGGCACCAAGATGTTATGATGAAAACATTTACTTGAACTGAAAACAGTTTGTCATCTCCTCCCTAAGCCGACCAATCAACTTCGCTAAAGAGGAAACTCCTATTTAAAAGATTAGCATCTAGCGTGTTTACTGCTGAGCTGTCTCTTGAAAAATCTAGATAATTAAGATAGTTCTAATGTTTTTTAACTAGCGTGTTGTGGATCTGTTTCGTAGAAACTACCGTCATTGACGGTTCAAATTACCACAAGATATATGATTTTGTAAATACGTCAGTAAAATATTTAAAACTTTTGTTTCTCTTAACTAGCAAACCCCTTGGGATAGGAGAAAGGGGGGGGGGGGGGTTATAGTAAAGAGATCCTATGAAATAAACATTGATGTATTCGTTTCACTCGTGCTGTGTCTCAAGGGGAACTCACAACGCGAATACGGCGATCATTTCAAGTTTACAGAATTTTTTGTAGAAAGTTAGATTAAACCCAAGAGATTCAGTGTAAATAAAGGAAATCATATATAACCTATAGATATGTTTAGCCTATATATATATATATATATATATATATATATATATATATATATATATATATATATATATATATATATATATATATATATATAGTAGTGAGCCCTTGTATTCAGTGCAGCTATTAGCTTCACGGCAATGAGTATCAATGAGCTACATCCTATCTAGGCTTACTGGGCATGGGGGAAGAGAGGGGGATGTTAATCAGACGTTCTCACACAATCGGAACCAGCGCTCGGTACCCTGAAAAAACAGTTAACCTATTCATGTCTATGTAGTTTTCCTAAGGAAATATGATCAAAGCAGTTCCATTCAACTAAATTTTTTAGAATTTTAAAAATGTATCTTACAAATTTTTGAATTAAAATGTGTGCATCCATGTTGGCAAAAAAATCTAGATTATTTTTTTTTAATTTGGGCCCTTATTAAAAAAAAAAAAAAACGTTGCAAGATTAAATAAACCGGGAGTGATCTCCCCTAAACTTTCTCGAATATTCTTATATAAAATAACAGGGGATGGGAACTCGGGCTATAGACATGATTTTTAATCCATTTTAAATACTTAAAGTTTTAAAAATAGAATAAAATCTCGTAGACAAATTAATTGCACACCAAGTGAACGCGAAATAAAAAAGCGCATAATAGTGCGCAATATTATTAGTACTTTTAAAATTTACATTAGTTTTTTGAGAAATCGGAAGTAGCGTAAATTACTACTTCCAGTCAACGGAAATTGCTCAAAATTTAACAGAAGGTAGAGAATTAGATTTTTTACTTACATGTGAAATTTCATTTATCTATCTGAAATAGTACTCAAGTTATAGGCTTTTGAAAAATTCAAAGTAGAAAAAGTACCACTTCCGGTTATCGGAAATCGCTCAAAAGTTGATACGGATCTACGATTTTGATAAAATACTTATATATGAAATTTCATCAACCTAGCAGTAACGGTACTCAAGTTATCGTGTTTACACACGGACAGACAGACACACAGACACACACACACACAGACATACGGACAAGATTGCAAAATTATATTTTTCCGTATCAGTGAGGTGTAAAACGTCGAGATTTGTAAAAATCTCGATTTTTTTTTTTGCACGATTACAATACTTTCTCTATACTTCGTATATACGAGAAAGTAAAAAAAACAAACATAAAAGAGGCTCCCAGCAAAGTAGTGTTGGTATAACTAAGGGAGACAAGCCTATTGTACTGAACAGGAACTGTAACCGTGTCAGCAGCTGTCTCCTTGTGTGTTTCAACGCTCGTATTTACCATACCTCAAACAGCACTCACGTCGGCGTGTCACGAGCTATTGAAACCACGTGACCGAGTGGATATTTAATACGATTTGCTAGATGCGATAATATTATGTTAGAAGCGCGCCTGTTACGGTCCTATATTTGTTCATTAAGAACGAAGACATCAAGCAAGAACTATAAATAATACACTCAGGGCCAGTGGTTAGAATATAGTTAAATATAATCTACAGTTGGAATGAGCTAAAAAATAAAAAATGGCTTATATCATTGTTTACAAAGAGTAAAGTGTAAGTGGGGAAGGAGGGAATAGATGTAATCTATTTGACCCCCTTCCCCCCCCCCAACCTGGGATACCCCCCTGCCTAAGTTTCTGAACCTAGGTTGGGGTGTGTTCAACAATGCACGCTAAACGTGCGACACATTGTAGACTGAGGTGTGTTCAAGCTATTCTTCCCGCAGTCAACCCATTCTAACAACTCTTAAACATTACTTTCTCAAGCACGCCTTACCAGTAATTAGTTGGGCTTAACATTTAATGGTTCATTTTCTTTCAAACTAATCGCCTTAACTTTATTTTTAACCAGCAGTAATCTAATCCCTGCCTGACGTTTTTGTTACCACCCTTTCCCTTTCCTTTAAATGTGTTCAAAAGTTTTTTTTAAAATATTTTTAATTTAACTCTTTAAATTATAATTTAGCTCCCCTGGTAGGTGTGTCCTTTTCTTCCCTCCCCTTATATTTATTTTTAGGGACACAATAATTTTAAACAGCCTCGTAGGGTAGACCGTCTTGTAGCTTAGCTAATGGCTGTATCGTGAGGCGAACCACGGGATGTAGTAATTAAAATGCTTCACATCAGGCTTAAAGGAATCAATAGTTGGGATGGATACGATGGCGGGTGGGGGGGGGGGGGGGGGGGGGGGGGGGCTCTACGGACGGGCATTGTTGCCAGTAAGCTGTTGAAGAAGATGAATTATTCACGCGCTCCGTCCAGATTTAGTCCGTGGTTAAGCTGGTGACGGCGTCATGATCTGCTGGGGACTTCTGGGACAAACAACACGTGATTGCCGTTAAACGTACCCTAAGGTAAGAGGGGGGGGGGGGGGCACACCGTTGACATACGACCTGCACGTTTATTGTGAAAAAACCATAGATTATTGGTAGTAAATAGAAGTTACCTCCCCTTTTTTGTATAGAGTTACCCCTTAGTGACACTTGTTTGTGGAATAAATACTCCCTTGGTAAACTAGGTTAAATTACCCTATTTAATTATCGTTTTCTACCATAGAGAGATTAAAACAATTAAATTACCGCCCTTTTGTTGTGTTTTAAGCTCACTCACAATTTATCTTCAACCACAAATTACACATATTGTGTAGAGTTTTTACCAAACATTTTGTAGCTGTGATTTGTTGTACAAACCTTTTTTTTTAAAAAAAAAAGACAAATAAAAAAAAACCAAATCAACATTGTTGAGCCACTCAATGAAATTTATTGAAATATAAGACACCCTAGCACATAGACGTGGACTCTTGCTGTCACGATGACAGTCCTTTAAGTGTCTGTCATGACAGCGCTGCATATGTCAGTATGTCATCATAACAGCTGCATGTGTCAGTATGTCATGATGACACAACCGTCATGTCAGGTAATGACAACTGTGAGGGTGTTTACGTGATCATTTTCCTGAAACAAACCCTTTTTGTACGGGGTTTGTTTGTATACACCCTAGGTTCAAACCCTTTTTGTGTGAACTCCATGTTCAAACCCCAATGCTACTAACCAGGTTTAAAACCTTAGGTTTGTTTATTTATTTATTTAGTAAAGATAAAGTCGACGAGAGCCTCACTCTGATCACAAAGGGTTAACCACAGAATCAACCATGGGGTCAGCCACTCAACCATGGAATGAACCACCAAGGGTTAACCACAGGTCTACACAACTTGTAACACAGGCAAATTCCTCCCTGACTATTCCATACACGGTTTACACCATCAACACAAACAATACCAAATGTGTCTACATTTTGTTTTTTTCTTAAGCCATCATCTTGCTAGCTTCAAAAAAAATAAGGTGAGCAATATTTACAAGACTGTATCCCTGATGGACAATTTTTTAACGAGAAAAAAAAAATCATAATTAACATAACCTTAATTCAAATGTCATTTTTTATGACAAATACAACATTTTAACAGTTTCTTTGTTGGCTGAAATACAAATAGTCTCCCTTACATTGGTGTAAAATAAAAAACATTTCCCTTGGGCCAGTTAGCTCCCTTTTCAACAGCAAACTTTAATTTATATATATATTCAAATCAAAGAATTGAAGCCATAACGAACACAACATGTAAACTCAGTCCTATACCCTCAAGCATTACTAAATGTAATCTTTATATGAACCAAAACATGTTTAAAATGTCATTTTTAGGTAGAATTAACCACTAAAGAAGATGAAAGTTGAAACGTAAGGATGAAAAAAAAGCTGAACAAACATACTCAGGTCCCTACTTAATCCCTGAATACGGATTAACCACACAGGTAGATCTGGTTTGCGGTAAATTTACGTCATAAAGGCAGTCACAACAATATATATATATATATTTCTCATTATGTATATGTATATATATTTGTAAATATATACAAAGTATATCACAACAGCTCCAGATGATGAATAAAACAATTTGATTACGGTAAGAAAAATAAAACAGTATAGAACTCAAGTGACTGAAATAGGAAAAAATGTTTAGAAAATTATAGGTCATGTTGACACCATGAATTGAAGCAGAACTTTTAGGCGTAACCATGGAGACATGTTCTGGGGCCTGGATCAGAACTTTGTGCTAGTGAGAAACACACAGAACCACCTTGAGGTTGTGTATCTAGTCAGCTTTTAGATGACACTTTACCAGCATTTAAAAACATGTTCAAACTTCCAAAAACAGTATACTCTTACACACCTGTGTCACTTTGAAAACAATTCCTTGACAGGATTTTCACAAATTTTGATATTTAACATAGATCTACTGTTAAAGGAACATTTTGCGGTTAAAAGTGCTAACCAAGAGATTCCTGATGCTTAGCTTGCACATTCTAAGGTTAATAGTGATCTAATTTATTGATTGATCCAATAAGGCTTATTTTACAGAAAGAAGATCACAAAGGAGACAGCTCAATGAAAAAAAAAACACCTACTGAAACTTATAAATATGGTCCACAATTTTGTTGCAAATTCAAAAATGGCAACTCATGTATAAAATACAACATTACATCAATCATCAAACTGATTTTTAATTATAAGAGGTTTTTAAAAAAAAAAATTTAACAAAGAAATTTCAATTTGAACAATAGCTCAATCTTTTTTTTTGTACCAAGAGCTGCCTAAATTTTGAAAAACTAATTTATTACAATAAGATAAGAGACTTTTAAATGACATGATAAAAAGAAAATTAAATCTCAAAAATATCAGATATTAGTTTATTTTTCAACTAGCTAGCGCTAATCATAACAGAATCTGAAACAGGGCAGGGGTGTTGTTTACAGATAATCGTCTTTTCCATCGCAAAACAAAATGAAGTCATAAACTAATTCAATAACAGAATGAGCTAACAAGTAGAGCAAATATGAGCATATGCAGCATCAGCAGTCAACAGCATGTTTGTAGGCTTCAACATTCGTATTTACTAATAAAAAAACTAAGAGGCCACGAAACCTTGATATGCTACACCTACAACTGGTAGTTGACGCAGTTCATCACACAAAACTTATCACTGACCATCCCAAGAAAAAATATTTAATGCACACATGAGGCATTAGTAATTAAGAAATAAAATAACTTACAATTCATCCATTTGATGTATAATAATTAACAAATTGAAATACAATTCAACAGCATTATAAAATAAAAGTAACCATAATTAATTTATTTTTTAATTAAGTAATTTTAATTATGCTTATCAGAACATTATGATTGTATTCATGAGTAAGGGAATGAATGTTCATTTTTAAAAAAAATTGAGTTATATAGATGGACGATAAAAAAATAAATTACAGTTTGATATGAAACAAAACATTGCAATAATGTAAAATTTCAAAGATTCCCAAAACCCAATGATATAACAAATATTTGAATATGGCAGTTGAACTAAGGAAAATACAAGACACAAAATTAACCCATCATAATAACTTAATTTGATTCAAGTCAAATCAAGTGTGGAAGGTGTGGCCGAAAAATGATGAACCCTCAGTCTAATGTTGAACTGGTATCTCTCCCTACTCTACAGTATTTACATAGACAATAGGTTGAAGCCAAAAGGGAAGGGCCTAGAAACATTTTTTTCTCTGAACTCCTCACCATTTAAAGAGAAAATATTATTGTTAGGTAACTGCAAATAGATTTTGATATATCTTCCTTAGAAATAAACTTTTTTAGGAGATTCTTGATAAATTTAAAACTATAATAGTGGCAGTTTATTTTATTTAAATTTTGAAATAAGTTTCAGTTTGTGAAATTTAGTTTTGCTATAGTTTTTAATTTTACCTTTAAAGAAAACTTTTTAATGAATAAATATATTATAAACAAGGTTACATAAGAGTATGAAAAACCAAAGTATTCTTTAAATAAAATTGACATGCGAACTTAGGCATCACAACACTTTAAAACAACCTTTAGTTTGGTTTTTCTTTTTCCCAATGACTTAAAAGGAACAGAACTTGTAAAAAGAATTGACCTGCAGTAGAAAAAACTGTGGTGGCTGGTTTCTTGCCATCAAAATAGTAGTTGAGCTTAAAAGATATAAGGGACATAATTCTAATACAGGGGACATCATTCTAACAATATAAATCAAAGGAGTACCTGATACTGCACCATTTTGCAAACAAGTTTGACTTAAGAACACATTATAAAGGACTCTTGTAAAACCCTTAAAGATACAGTAGAATGAAAAATAGAATCAGATCTAATTACTATATACCAGATTTTTCAGACACTCCCAACTGAAAAAATACAGATTTGAGCTCTAATAGTTGAAAACAAGTTTGATATGATTTGTTAACAATTCACATTTTTAATAAGCATAAAAATGTCTAAACAGGTTAACATAGTGTTAAACTTCACGGTCTCTAGGCAATTCTTTTCATCTGGGCTATAAACATTCAAAAATATGGTAACAGCAATGAAATATATCTCTCATTTCCTTTGGCTTTTTTTTTAAATCAACCAATTTGGTGACAAGGAAAATCTTATATACCAAAACATTGATGTCTTTAATGAATAAAGGCAGCGCATTTATAAAACTCAGTAACAAGTTATGATAGACAAGCTATTTACAAAAAAAAACAACTTTTTAATGAATGCTAATAAAAGGCCATTAATTACAAACAGGTGAATATGCAGTTATATGAAAGCACCCTTTCCACAGCTGAATGACCACTCTCTGAGAAAAGTAAAATTGGTTCTGGTTGAGAGAAAGCAGGAAAAAAACAAAACTACTAAATGATAAAATGTCTACCATCTTTCACCTGTGGTTGACAGAATCAAGATATACATACACATGGACCCAACTATCATTATAATCACATGGGAACAATCAAATATTATGTCTCCTCAGTAATAAACATTGGTTTATATACATAGATATATATACGTACATGTATGATCAAGTGTGTGCACATTTTTTTTTATATATATATATATATATATATATATATATATATATATATATATATATATATATAAATTCACACATTCATACTAATACACATGTTTCATATGAGCAGTGAAATCTAGCCTCTATCTGAAATCAACATAAACCCAGCAAACTTTGACTATGTGTTTCCTTCACTACTTCCTGTGTGGTGCGAGCGCGCCATGTCAGCGGGCAGACATGTCTCCGGCAGCATCGTGGCCTGGTGCCCGCTGTCCGAATCCCCCTGGCCACTCCACGTCTCTTTAGAGTGGTGGCTGCGAGAGTGCCCTGAAGAGGATTTGTGTTTGACTTCGTGTCCAAGGTTTGATAAAAGGTGTCTGGAATCTTCGTTGGCCGCAGCGATGGCTGCGAGCTCTGAGGCTGAGGTAAGGTTCGAGGGGTCGGAGGTTAATCCGGTGATCTGGTTGCGAGACATGAGTTCTAGTGTGTGTGCTTGCCAGTACGCTGCAAGCGTCAAACGCTGCTGGTGGTCTAAAGACGTGGCAGCGGATACAGCTACAGCGGACTCGGGCGACGACAGCCGGTGAAGCAACGCTGCGCTTGATTCTGATTGTGCCATCACCTGCTGCTGGTGTTGGTGGTACATTGACGGTGATGCTGTCGACGGGGTTGGGGAGGATGAGGTCTGGTGCCTGGCCAACGCTGCTTGTATCAGCTGCTGTGTGGCCATGTCCTGGGTGGATGAGAGCAGTAGAGAGGAGGGTGTGGTTGTCTGGATGGACGACGACGCCGCCACCAGGGCTCGGTGCTGGGCTAAGATTTCTGGGTGCAGGAAGTGCGGCGTGGAGCCTGATTGGTCAGATGAGCTCTGGTCAGGTAGATAGTCTGGTTTCACCTGTGAGCGCTCGTCAGGGAGGTACCTGGAGGAAGATGTGCGGTGCATGTCCGACGAGGAAATGGTTGTTGTTTCTCCAAGTCTTTGAAGAGCCTATTGATAAACAAAAAAAAATTATAATTACATCTTCTATCTGTCATTTCTTACCTATAATAAATTGTTATAACTTCCTAATATAGCTTTTTCAATTTTATTTTATATTACACAAACACTGTCATCTAGTGTTTTTTTTTTTAACATTTACAAGCAGAAAATTATTATATCATTAATCAAAGTAAACTTTTTTGAATAAAGCATTTTATTGAACTTTCAAAATTCAATTTTGTTTGTATAAATCTTCTCAATTAATACTAGACCACATGTTTGAAAATAAAACTGATAAGTATAAAAATTGTATCATCTATAGTGTTTGTAAACAAGGCCATTCAAAATCTTAAATTAAGAATTTAATGTTTTAATTGCTTCATGTACATTGGTATAGTTTTAAATCTAGTAATAATAATTATATTGAGGTTTACTGAACAAAATTAGAATATTCATAGGATATTCTTCAGTCGACACAGCACCTTCATAAGCTAAGAGAAACAGATGAACCCCCCCCCCCCCCCCCCCATCTCCAAGGGCTGTCATTTGAAAAGAGTATAAACTTTTAGTAACACTCAACCTCAAAACAAAGACCAGGTAAAAACACACATGGAATCCTTTGCCCAGGTAGAGAAATGACCATACCTGAGTTACTATGAAGACCAGGTTAAACAATTAACACACCTGAACTTCTGGAATCCTTTGCCCAGGTAGAGAAATTACCATACCTGAGTTACTATGAAGACCAGGTTAAACAATTAACACACCTGAACTTCTGGAATCCTTTGCCCAGGTAGAGAAATGACCATACCTGAGTTACTATGAAGACCAGGTTAAACAATTAACACACCTGAACTTCTGGAATCCTTTGCCCAGGTAGAGAAATTACCATACCTGAGTTACTATGAAGACCAGGTTAAACAATTAACACACCTGAACTTCTGGAATCCTTTGCTCAGGTAGAGAAATGACCATACCTGATTTTCTATGAAATCCAGGTAAAATAATTAACACACCTGAGATTCTAGGATCCTTTGCTCAGGTAGAGAAATGACCATACCTGATTTTCTATGAAATCCAGGTAAAATAATTAACACACCTGAGATTCTAGGATCCTTTGCCTCTGGAACCAGGTAAAAAAATGAACACACCTGAGCTTCTGGCACCAGGTAAAAAAATGAACAACCTGAGCTTCTTGGATCCTTTGCCTCTGGGACCAGGTAAAAAAATGAACACACCTGAGCTTCTGGCACCAGGTAAAAAAATGAACACACCTGAGCTTCTAGGATCCGTTGCTTCTGGGACCAGGTAAAAAAAATGAACACACCTGAGCTTCCAGGATCCGTTGCCTCTGAGCCTGGATCTCCGCTAGCTCCCCCAGATTAACAGAGATCTTAGGTATCTCTCCCTCCTGCGCCCCACCACTTGCCTGGTCAGCCTCCTCCTGTAGCTGCTGGGCAAAGTTCTGGCAGTACTGGGCCAGCTTGGTCATCTGCAGCATGGTGGCTATCTTGTGTAGGGACCGCACGGAGGACGTGTCCACCTGGCCAAAGATAGGTCACACTTTTTTTTTTTAATTTTATCATTGCTGATTAAATTAATATTATTAATATAAAGTATTAGAGATATATATTCAATAATTTACTGGTAAAATTACTGCCAGAATTGGTAATCAAATTTGAATCATATTACAATAAAAAAAAAGTATTTTAAAATGTTGCTTCATTAGTTAGTTATCTAAAATGGTTGTGTCAAAAGTTGATTAAAAATGTTAGTTCATAACTAAGTTTACTAAAAATATTTCACAAATAAATTAAATTTTTTTCTCATGTAAGCTAATTAAATTGTTTTTTCAGAAGTTAATTTATAATTTTATTTTAGAATTTAGTAAATTAAAAAGTTAATTTCAGTATCACCTACCTCTAAGACTCCCTCGTAAATGTATTTGAGAAAAGCTTTAGCTGTTTCATACGTTGTGTCTGATGGTAGGTTGACCTCCAGCTGGGACCTGGGGTCTGCGTTTTTAAAAGTTTCCTGGAGGTACGGGCTCATAGCAAGTAGAACAAGCTTGTGCACCTGGAGTTACACATAGAACAAGTTTAAACACATGGAGTTACACATAGAACAAGTTTAAACACATGGAGTTACAATTAGAACAAACTTATGCACATAGAATTACAATGAGGACAAACTTATGAACCTGGAAAAACACATAGAACACATGGAGTTACACATAGAAAAAAAATTATGCAACTGTAAATACATGTAGAACAAGCTTAAGCAAAACATGGAGTAAGCATAGAACAAGATTATGAACCTGGAATAACACATAAAAAATGGACCAAGTAGAACATTTTGCTTTGTTGTATAATGTGAATGTATGGGATAAGTATGGTACAGCATATGATTCTATAAACTCTGATTGTGGGATCAAGTCAATGATGGGCATCTGATTGTGGAAAAGAAAAAGCAATAGAATAGTGTGCTAATGACACAGTGTAATCATGCAGTAGATAGACCAATGTAGAAACAGATGTGCTCTGTGACGTCTGTCTGACATTTGGGATTTTAAGGTCTGAAAGGGTTGTTTACCTAATGTAGGTCTAATATTGTCTGTATAAAGATAGTTTACTGTATTCTATTTATAAAAAAAAGGATAGAGGATGAAGTGTGCCATGTCTATGATTAAATACAAATAAAGCAATTAAGATGAAGATATGTTAGATAGCTTTTGTTTTAAAGGCAGTTGAACACATCTGTTGCATAGTCTGTCCTGAGAAACAGGTTAACTCTACTTCACCTGCCCCATCTAAAATAACAAAACCAACAAGAGTGGTAAAAGCATTTACATGTAGTTTTTTGTTGGCCACTCCTAAAGAGGCATCAAAGAATTTCCCCTTCCTCCACAGAGTTGAGAACCTCTCCTGCAGGTCATTGCCATGGTCAGGGTCCACGTAGACCTTCATGGAGTTGGCCAGTGGTGCTTGAGGCTGGAGAGCTTTATCTGATCAGACAAAAATATTTTATAAATTGTGTTAAAGCCAGGTATACGCAAAAAATTAAGGTAAATATTAAAATAAAAAATTTTTAAATTTGGGTTTTAGCTTCAAAAATAGATGGCATGTTGAGGCTGTGTATGCCATTGCTAGCCAGAAAGACTTAAGTTCAGATCCTGCCCCCCCCCTCCCCCCCAACTCTGAAAGGTACCTGCCTTACATTAGAGTTTGTAAAGGCAGCTGGGCACAAAACTGACCAAACTATTCCCTTATATGCTGCAGTCACTGAAATAGATGAACTCTACTTCTTCCTTATGAACCACCAGATTCAAAAGGGTAATTTCCTTAAAATACAAGGAAAATTGAGCTCCAAAGGCAAATTATTTCAAGTGATAAAACTGAAGATACAATCAAAGAATTAAAGAAACATGACTTAGTAAAAAGAAACATGAAATTTACCCTGAGTTTCCTTCCCCATGGCTGTTCCTTCCACCTCCCTACTATGTCCGTGATTAGATTTGCTCATTTGTTTGGCAATTTCAGCCAGGTTAGACTGGTTGTCATTAGGTGGTGTTGCTGACCGCTGGATAGGGGCTACAGCATTTGATTTGATGGCTGAAAGGAAGGTATGACAAAATACATAATGACATTTATACAACTTGATGCACATAAAGATATAAGAAAATAAGCATTTTTTTTTTAAATTTTTGATGGAGGTGTTTATAAAAAAAAATAATTTCAAATTTAAAACATTGAACAATTTATTTCAGACAGCTGTTTACTTCTGATGATTTTCATTAAGTAAAACAAAGAAAGGACAAAAATTAACTTGTGTATTGGAGTTTTACATTTTTTTATATTGGAGTAGAATGAGATAATTATATTTATTAAAATATTTATTTCATTGTTCAACTTAAGATCCAATGCAGTATTGTTGCTATGTAGTGCTTTTATAATACCCCTAAGGGTGTTTTACAAGGCTAAAGAAAAAGAGCCAGACTGATAAGACCTGGAGAAAGACATTATGAAGACTGGATACACCTGGGGACAGCTGGAGAGACTAGCACAGAACAGAGATACCTGTAGATGTTACTACTAGTTGGTCTTTAAGATGTTACTAGGTTTTGACAGTTGGGTCTTTTGGCAGTTGGGTCTTTAAGATGTTACTAGGGTCTGGCAGTTGGGTCTTTAAGATGTTACTAGGTTTTGACAGTTGGGTCTTTTGGAAGTTGGGTCTTTAAGATGTTACTAGGTTTTGGCAGTTGGGTCTTTAAGATGTTACTAGGTTTTGACAGTTGGGTCTTTAAGATGTTAGTAGGGTCTGACATTTGGGTCTTTAAGATGGTACTAGGGTCTGACAGTTGGGTCTTTAAGATGTTACTAGGGTCTGTCAGTACTTACTCTGATGGTGATGGTGGTACTAGGGTCTGGCAGTTGGGTCTTTAAGATGTTACTAGGGTGTTGCAGTACTTACTCTGATGGTGGTGATGGTGTTGGTCCACAGCCTCATGGCTTTCCTCCTTTACAATCCTTTTCACACTAGTTGGCTCATCAACAGGGAGATGCTCTTCCTGGTGGTGGTGGTGGTGATGATGGTGATGGTGCTGCTGTTGTTGCTGCTGCTGCTGTTGTTGTTGCTGTTGGAGGAGAGCTGAATTCAGCTGAGCCTGAAGATTTTAGAAGTTTTCAAATTTTCACACACAAAAGAGCATTATCAGTAGCCTTGGTTGATGTTTTGCCAAATTTTCTTACTTTAAGACTACAGCTGGACAGTAAATGGTTAACTAAAGCTGGACAGTAAATGGTTAACTAAAGCTGGACAGTAAATGGTTAACTAAAGCTGGACAGTAAATGGTTAACTAAAGCTGGACAGTAAATGGTTAACTAAAGCTGGACAGTAAATGGTTAACTAAAGCTGGACAGTAAATGGTTAACTAAAGCTGGACAGTAAATGGTTAACTAAAGCTGGACAGTAAATGGTTAACTAAAGCTGGACAGTAAATGGTTAACTAAAGCTGGACAGTAAATGGTTAACTAAAGCTGGACAGTAAATGGTTAACTAAAGCTGGACAGTAAATGGTTAACTAAAGCTGGACAGTAAATGGTTAACTAAAGCTGGACAGTAAATGGTTAACTAAAGCTGGACAGTAAATGGTTAACTACAGCTGGACAGAAAAGATCAACTACTGTTCGACAGTAAAGGGTTAACTAGAGTTGGACAGTACAGGGTTAACTAGAGTTGGACAGTATAATTGGTTAACTACTACTGGACAGTAATTGGTAAACTACTAACATTTGAGTAAGAGAGAGAAAACTATTGTGTTACAGACCTGCATTTGCTGTTCATGTAGTGCTGGGTGTGTCTGTAGAGATGGCAGGAGATGAGAGGAAGGCAGAAGATGGGCGCTGGGATGGTAAGACGAGGACGACGACGCCGGCTGCATGAACTGCTGCTGCAGCAGAGCCGCGGCAGCCGTCATGTCTTCACTCAGGCCACCCGACACTGAAGGCTCGCTCATCCCTGATGATTCTTGTTTGATCTTTTTCAACTTGGACGACGAGCCGGGCGGTCTCTTGGACTTTTTATCCAAACTGGACGTGTACAATGACCCTGGTTTGGAGGACTTGGATGGCTTTTTGCTGGAGCGTGGGGCCTCTGGGATGTCCAGCAGTGAGTTTGTAGGGTCAGAGAGCTCACGCATTTTCCTAGGCTTTTTACTCCTGCGTAGGTTGCGTGCACACATGGACAGGTCCCTCTGGATACGGCGCTGTTGATTTGAGATTATAAGAATTAGATTATGAATCGTAATAAGCAGAAATCTTAAAAACTGCAGAATGAGCAGACATTTGCAATGCTTATGACATTTTGTCAAGGCACAAAGCAATTATTCAATAGTAAAAAATGCTATATAATTTGCTAACAAATTCATAAAAAATTACTTTTGCGAGTTTAATACATCATGGAACAAAAAGTATAGTAAAATAATTATCTTTCAACATTCTCAAGATCATGTATATTTATTCAAGAACTTTTCTCCTTGTTCAACTAACTACGTACATTTTGATAGTTCCATAGTCAACTCGCGTTTGTTCAAATAAGAAAACTTACACACATTTCAATAACATATATTTAATCATCTTACAAAAATATTTAAACATTAAAATGTATTAATTATGATAAACAAAAATTATACTAAAAGGGTTTATGATAGACCACAGATATTTAACTTTTTTGTTTTGATTTCGTAGATTAGTACTATGAAAGTTCTAAAGAAGACTTACATAGTTGGTCATGCCATCCCCAGTTGTGTCGTCCTTCAAGTCAGGAAACTGCTGCACCACCAGCTCTGAGATCCTGGTGTAGTCAGCACTGGACCACCAGTACTTGAGGGCCAAGAAAAACCTGGCCGTTTCTCTGATGATCTCAGACCTGTGCCTCATGGACGAGCCCTCGTCCCGGGCCGACACGATCTTAGAGGAGTATACAGGGATAGGGAGCGGGTCTGGCAGGCAAACGATTTCCTGGTTTTCCTTTTTGAACCCAGCGCCATGAGGAAACCAAACCTTTTTAGTTGGTTATTGTAAAAATTGTAATTAATAAGAGCAAGTAAACAAAACTAAAGTAAAACCAAAGCTTAGAAATTTATTTTTAAATCAACTGAATTCAATTTAGTTCAGATATGGAGATTGGTATTGATAAAGCTCACTCGTATTATAATTAAGTATTAAACTTAAGAATTGAAAAAAAAGTTTTGGATTGGATCTCACCTCTGGTCTTACCTGATCTCGCGAGCTGTTTTGGTCACCCTGCTGGGATGACCTTGGCGAGGATGAGGTTCGTCTCCTAGGGCTGTGAGACTTGATGGATGAGGTCGTGACCTCGACCTGCGCCGCCAAACCAGCAGTGTCGGGGAGGGAGTCGTTGATGGGAGATTCAGAGTTCTGATGTTGCCGATGTGAGCTGTGCTTCTCAGACTCGTGATATGTAAGGTTCATTGGCGCCTCGCTGGATGCCAGGTTGGCGCTGTGATCGTGGCCAGGTAAGTGATGAATCTCAGCTTGAGAATGAGCCTGTGTGGCTGTTTGGTGGGATGCTGAGTGAGCAAGGGAGGCGACTCCCATCAGAGCAATGTTGGCGGCTGCCTGGGCGTCCCAGTAGGCTTGTTCGTGTGCTGAGGCGACACTAGACGAGGGAAAAACTGGCATGTTGAGGGGGTTCTGGTGCTGCTGTCTGCTGAGAGATGACACTTTCAGGCTCTCCCCGCTGGGTGACATGGGCTCCCGTTTCACTAAATTTTTGTCCGACACCCCAACAGATAATCCGTGTGATTTAGCAGACTCGTGGCTTAGCTGCTCCGCCTCCCTCAGCCTTTTCTCCACCTCAGCCTGAGATATCCGCCTCTGTCTTTTATTCGGCAAATCTAACAACTCACCAGAGTTTAAATTTTGAGATGAATCATGAGCCGAGCTCGAGCTGTAGTCTGAGCTTAAACTCCGCTTGTTACTGCCAGCAATTTCCATGCCGAGCTGGCCATAAAAAGCGCTCAGAGCCGCCATGGCAACCGTGTCATTGCCAAAAGCCCCTGACGCCATCAACGCCTGCCTCTGCTCCTCGCTGGAACACTGAGCAAGGTACTGCCTCTCTAGATCAGTCACGTCCTGAGGCTGCTGTTCAATCCTCTGCTTAATCCCAGCAAGCATGGCCAGCTCGCCCAGGTTCCTCTGGCTCATCCCCAGCTCTGTCAGGTTCATGTTCTGTGCAGCCATCAGGGCCTTCATGTACTCTGCAGTACCTGGACCTAGGGAGGACGACTGACCGCCAACATCAGACACCTGCGCGTCCAGTCCAGACTGCGAGCTGTTCCAGACTTTCTGGGAGTTGGGTTTATACTTGGTTGCCGGGAGACGTCTTCTCATATTTCTTGCACATGTGCCAAGATCTTTCTTAACTGCTTGCTGAAATTAAGATGACGTTACACTTGTTTATAGAAGTAAAACACCAAGTGCAGAAAAAAGTACTTAATTTTAGAGAATAATACTTTAACATTACCTATTTAATATTTACCATAGCCTTTAAAGTATCTTAAGTATATTTATTATCATTAAATTATTTTGATATGTTATCTGCTTGGTTTAAAGTATCTAAAATAAAATTGTTATAAAGCCGCAATGGTTTTAAACTATATATGAATATACAATAACAACATATAAATCAATGTAACTTTAGAGCTTGTATACAACATTATACAACCATACAAAGTTTTTTTAAATTTATTTCATACCAGTTTATGAAAGGTAGAGTAGTTCAACTGTACCTTTCGCAAATATACATGTAAAATATTTCTTTTACAAATTGTAAAGCTTTAAGAAATATCAAAAGCAAAGCAGGCACAAAGCTATAAAAATCTAAGAAAATGGTACCAATCTATGAAAAAACACTTAGGTGAATTAGGATTGAAGTTTAAGGAATAAAATGTTTTTTAAAAAAACTGGTAGAACCAAATAATAGAGCAAAGTTGCATGCCAAACAAACAATAATAGGCAAATAAAAAATTTCACTCTTTCTTAATTAATATGTAAGTTAATTAAAATTTCCACTATTAAAATTGAGTTGGCAGTAATTAACAAATAGAGAAAGCTATGAATCAACACTATGTTTATATGCTAGCAATATAAATTACTTTTTAAAGATGTCTTATAAACACTTCAAAACAGCAGTTGTTGCTTAGAGAAACCTAGTCTAAAAGGCTGATTGTTCAGATACCACTAAATACACACAATATCATCTGCAGAATCAACTAAATTACGTAATGTGCCACACATAGCTAAACACCTGACAAAATGACTGTTGTAAACACAAGTATGAAGGATAGTACACATCTAGGACACAGGTTTCCTACACATCGAGGCTTACTAGACTAACGAGAGCTGGGAAATTCTGAAGAACGAGCTCAGCGATGCGCTCATAGTCTGGGGCAGTCCACCAAAGTTTGAGGGCCAGGAAAAATTGTGTCGTCTCACGGATGATTTTGGGCCTCGCTGACATGGTGTTGCCAGACTCCCTGGCGCGAATGACGCTGTCAGAATAAGGTGGGGTGGGGAGTGGGTCAGGAAGGGCAGTTGACCGCCACATAGCCATAGCAGACAGTCGGTCAGTACTGGACTGGGCAGCTGAGACCTCCTGAAATGGATGAGCACGAATCATCCTCCGTGGAAGCCCATATTGTTGCTTTCATTGTACCACACTTTTTTATGGTTTTTTTTTCCAAACACACACAATTTGATTACGTACATTTTTGAATCAAATGACCACAATTTGAATAGATGCGTCAAAATATTCAGCTGAAACCTATAATGTTGGGACTTTTTTTAAAACTAAAAATCCACAACATTAAAAAAAACTCAAAACCTTTAAACCAAACTATTGTTTATAAGCTAATACAGTTTTAATTTGTGCTTTTAAAAAAAACTGGTCCGAACCTGCTAAATGAAATTTATTGAAGTCATGTGCACATGCACACGAAACAGCTATCAAATAAATGAATCAGATATTTGTAAATGTTCTAACAGTAAACCATACAACTTTTTGCTTTGCTTTATAATAAAATATTAGGAGCATTTAAATTATTAGCAAAATAAAATTTCTTGTAAACTTAATAGACTCCCACTAATTCCCAAAGGTCTTTCTGTCTCAACAGATTAACATTTTTAACTTTTGCAATGAGAGTAATCAGAGAATCAATTTTAAAAAAATACTGTCTTGCATTGAAATATTACATACTTGAGATATAGGCTCTAAATTCGCATGGTTAGGTTATTTTGTGTAGCTTCTTAACAGGACAAAAATAATATGTTCTTGTTAAAATTACTTTAAAATTAAAAAAAAAAATTACTGTTGGGAGAAAATTGGTGTTGGACTATTTTTGACCATTAGTTACATGGGAGAAAATTGGTGTTGTACTACTTTTGACCAATTAGTTACGTGGGTTAGGACAAAAGTGACAAGGGAGCTTTGCAAGCAAAAAATATGAGTGCAATTATAAAGAAGCAAAATGCAAAAATAATAAGTAAAAAGTGAGTTATGTCCCTCTACCAATAACAGAAGCACAACTGTGATAAGTGAGTCTACTTGTCTACAATTTGTTAATTGGAGAAAAAAGCGAACACTAGGTAATAAAAAAAAACTAATTTCCACTTTTCTAGACCAAGTTAACATAAAAATTATTCAATTTTATTTTTATGATGGAATAAAATTATAATTATACAATTATATCAAAGATTTAAAACTTGCCAATATACACCGTCATTAAATAAAAAATTATGTTTTAAAATATATAGAATGTAGAATAGTGTAGTAGTAGAATTTTAAAAAAATAAAATGATTAAAAATTGTAAAAGGTTAAAAGAAAAAAAGGGAACTAATGTAAAATGTGACATACCTCTGATAGGCCGTAGTCTAATCGTGAATTTTCTGCCGCCAGTGCCATCTGATCAGAGTACATCTGCTCAAAAAAATGAAGGGTCAATAAGATGACTGTCTCATATATATGAACATAATAACAAAATACTTTTTCTGTATCATGGAATAGGACAACGATTTTGGATTTAACAATACAGATGCAGCCCACAATAAAGGAAAATTATGGTAAATTAATGCTGTCAGCACATTTACATCATAAATTTTGTATATCTAAATCTGATTTTGCTCAAGAAATTGGATCTACATATCATTATCAATTGTTCCAAATAATAAAAGCGCTAACAATTTGTTAAAAAGGAATAGTAGCTAAATAAGGGGAATTAATAAAAGAATGAAATATATAATAGATGGAATAACCAGATTTAAAATATTAAACAATTAATGTGAAACAACTTATAAACATTTAATGTACTAACCTCGATAAGTGTTTGCTAATTTTAAAAATGTGACAAAAATAGAGTTACCTGCCAAGCAGCATTAGCATCCCTTGAGGCTGCAGCCGCCATTGTGTCCTTGTCATAGACAAAGTGAATGGGGGTATCATCCTCGTCATCATCAGCTGGTTCATTCTGAGACCGGTGATGATTACTAGTGATGGCAGTGCTTGGCTCATCCCCTTCATCCATTACTTCCTGCTTGTGGATAACAATACCCTGATCATGTGACCCAGGGTCACTGACCTTTACTTTGTGGTTATGAGACATTTGTGAACTATCTGAAAATGTGAAAGAAAATTTGAATTAGTTACAAAATAGTGAGTGTAATTCATTTTAATAAAAACAAACTGAACTTTCTTCAAGTTAACTGTATTATATATTTATAAAACAACTAATGACAATGTTTACACAGTTTTTAATATTTTGCCTCACTAAAACAAAAGAGTACTCACAATCACCATTTCTAGCAGCAGATGTATTCTGACTTTCAATAATGCTAGCAGCAGTCAGTAGCTCATTGCAGAAATCTGAAGGGTTGGTGCTGTTGCTCACAGTGCCTGCACCCCCACTGCTGTTGGATGGGGAGGGAGCGTGAAGGAATGATTTGGCATTTTCTGGCGTGGATGCTGACTCGGGCTTCTGGTCGCCGTGTGAGGGGGTGCTTGTTCCTTCTTTCTTACGCTGTGAAACTTCTCTGCGCCGAAAGTTTCTAGCATACATGGACAGGTCAGTTCGGATCCGTTTCTGATGAACACACAATTTTTAAATTTGTTAAAATAGGTCAGTTTGAATGATGTCAAAAATGAAATCTACAGCAATATTTTATGCCATCACCTATTAAAAAGAAATTTTAATTTTTAACAATGAAATTTTAAAAAATTAGTTTTATGTAACTGTCTCAGTTCCTATGTACTCTTATATTTTAAAGTTAGGTATACTGCCTATTTTCTAAGGAGAGAAATAACCTCTTACCCCACACAACTAGTATTAGTAATTTAAGACTTTAAAATAGGGCAAAGTATTGTCTTTGAAGATAATTTAGTTTATCATATACTTTTATTGCTCCACCTGTGTCAGAAATAACTGCTAATGACACACAAAACAACTCACATTGGCTGGAACCCCGGGCGTATCATTGTTGTCTTTAAATTCTGGGAACAGCTCAATGACCAGGTTGGAAATCCTATCGTAGTCATGGCTGCTCCAGTAGTGTTTGTACTGCAGGAAAAACTGGACAGTCTCGCGGAGGACAGTTGGTCGATCAAACGCCACAGTGCCTAGTTGCTTCGCTCGTAACACCTGCTCAAAAATAAACAAACAATATGAGTACATAATACATTTTTAAAAATAAATAAAAAATAAAAACTTAAGAGGATATATCTCCCACTGCAGCTGTTACTCAACAAGCATAAATAGATTACAAATCTGAACAAAAAGGAACAGTGCTACAATAAATGAACCACACACAAAAGCTGACCTTCTCTGAGTACTGAGGCAGTGGGTCTAGGAGCTGAACAATGAGTGCTACAATAAATAAACCACACACAAAAGCTGACCTTCTCTGAGTACTGGGGCAATGGCAGTGGGTCTAGGAGCTGAACAATGAGTGCTACAATAAATGAACAACACACAAAAGCTGACCTTCTCTGAGTACTGGGGCAGTGGGTCTAGGAGCTGAACAATGAGTGCTACAATAAATGAACAACACACAAAAGCTGACCTTCTCTGAGTACTGGGGCAATGGCAGTGGGTCTAGGAGCTGAACAATGAGTGCTACAATAAATAAACAACACACAAAAGCTGACCTTCTCTGAGTACTGGGGCAATGGCAGTGGGTCTAGGAGCTGAACAATGAGTGCTACAATAAATAAACAACACACAAAAGCTGACCTTCTCTGAGTACTGGGGCAATGGCAGTGGGTCTAGGAGCTGAACAATGAGTGCTACAATAAATAAACAACACACAAAAGCTGACCTTCTCTGAGTACTGGGGCAGTGGGTCTAGGAGCTGAACAATGAGTGCTACAATAAATAAACCACACACAAAAGCTGACCTTTTCTGAGTACTGGGGCAATATGTCTAGGAGCTGAACAATGAGTGCTACAATAAATAAACCACACACAAAAGCTGACCTTCTCTGAGTACTGGGGCAATGGGTCTAGGAGCTGAACAATGAGTGCTACAATAAATGAACCACACACAAAAGCTGACCTTCTCTGAGTACTGGGGCAATGGCAGTGGGTCTAGGAGCTGAACAATGAGTGCTACAATAAATAAACAACACACAAAAGCTGACCTTCTCTTGAGTACTGGGGCAATGGCAGTGGGTCTAGGAGCTGAACAATGAGTGCTACAATAAATAAACCACACACAAAAGCTGACCTTCTCTGAGTACTGGGGCAATGGCAGTGGGTCTAGGAGCTGAACAATGAGTGCTACAATAAATAAACCACACACAAAAGCTGACCTTCTCTGAGTACTGGGGCAATGGCAGTGGGTCTGGGAGCTCCTCTGATGCAGCCATGCTGAGCCTCAGCCCTGCTGGGGTCACTGGTTTGCGGCTTTTAGATTTGGAGGAAGATGAGGGGGTGCCTGGTGTAGTGTGGCCACCCCCTGCAGACTGGTACTGACTGCTATGGTGACCTATACAATTATTTTTATTGTTTAAAAGTTTTAACATGTTGCTTTAAGCAATAATAAAAAAAAAATCAAATAACAGCATGAGTATTTCAAATTAACTTAACAAAACAGTGGATGTAACAGAAGAATCGGGGCCAAAAGCCAATCTATACTAAGCTAAACAACGACTCATTAGCTTAGTAATGATAAAAGTATTTTAGTTGTTTTTTTTAAATTTACAAAACAAAAACTTACCGGTGGAATCATGGCCACTTGAAGGCAAACTTGCTCCATACATGTCAACATTGGAGTGGTGAGAAGAGTACGTTAGTGGCGGTGATTTAGCGGGACCTAAAAAGTGGGCAACAGAAGGCAGGGCAGTTGTTGGCGAGCTGCTGGATCTGCCTGCAGACGCAATGTGCTGAATCCCAGGTAGCTGGAGTGATTTGTAAATATTTGTTAGAAAAAGCACAATTTGTAAATAGATATTAACCAAAGGTAAACATCACTAAAGGTAAAATATACTAGACACAGGTAGATAATGCCATATGTAAATATTTACATACTAGAAAAAGGTAGACTTTATCATGGACCATGGGTAAATGTATTTTAATTATATCAAACACATATATTTTACTTTCAATTTATTATTAATAATATTAATATGTTTATAACTTGATAAATTAAAAAAAAACAGATTAAATCAAACAAAACAAGGTAAAAGTAAATGGGGTTAATTCTTCTGTAATTTTTTGGAGATTGAATTAGAATAATACTCTAAGCTTACAGATAAGATATTTATGTTTTAAAATTGAAAACTATGTACTTAACGAATGAAGATGTACTACAGATGAGATAACAAGAGTGTTTGGTGGGACACAGTAAACGTTGGAATGAATGTCAGCATTCAAGTCAATACCAAACAATGAAGAAATACACGGCAATACAATGGGATGTGTACAAACTTCTAATATAGGGGTATCTAATTCTATACATACAAAATAAAGCTGTATTGTAAGAGGACAAGAAGAAAAAGTAAAATATCACTTACTGTATTATGTGATGCTGCACTAGATGGCGCTAGTAGTGAGCTGATCACAGGCAGACGGGCACTGGCAGACATGTTTTTATCATTCCTTATCTTTTCTGTCATGGAGTGATAAAGAACTGTTTTAAGAAGTATATACATTTAAAAGAGTTGCCTTGTAGATGTCTACATTTTATTAATCAAAATTGGTCTAAAAACATATCACTTATTGCCCCTACATTATCTAGCCATGCACCAGCTGCTACTATGGGATTTCCATAAGCTGACATTTAACTAGCACACCTTATGGAGGCTGGGCTTAGATGTAAAATGAACTGTACAATAGTATTTAGGCTATCTAGTCTTCTAGATAAAGCAATTGTTCAAAAAGAATTGGAAAAACTATAAAAGAGGTAATGAAGCAAGAATGGGAATACATTTATTAATGTACTACTATTTCAGCTACTGTTATAATCAACCCTGTTTTTTTTATTCAACTTGTATACATGTCTTGTAATAATGTAAGATAATATGGTAAGTTAAATAGAAATAAAGTGTATTATAATTTTAAGTAGTTAAATATATAAGATTTAAATTTCTATTTTAAAGTAAAGATAAAAACAACAGTAAACAAAAAGGCTTAAGCATGAGTACAAAACTGCCATATAATTAAGCAATGTTATGTCATGCTTTTAAATCACAATAAATAGTACATGATGTATTATTGTCATAAGATTTATTTCCTTTTATTTATATATATATATTCCTATATATATATATTCTATATAGTTTTTGTATTTATGTTAGGTAGTTAGATTTTTTATTCTTCACTAATCTGTACTTAGTTTTTATTGTTTTAAAAAATGGTTTTAGTGGTGTAAAAATAAAAATACACTGAGTCAAATTACTGTTAGCCTCTTTCAATTAATGCACATACAATTATTTTTACAATATACAAGTCATCATACTGTAAAAATACTTTGCTCTGAACATTTGGTCATTCTTCTGCAAGTTATTTTTAATTTTACACTTACTTAACAACAGCGTGACAAAAAATTCACAATGAGTTCAATGTTACATATTACTAACATACAGGGTAAGGTGTTAAACAACAAATGGGAAAAATTAACATTTATAGGTTTGAACAGGTTCACAACAAAAACATAAGTCATCCAAACATCAGTATACAAAAAATGAGGAAGCTGTGATATTAATTGCATATTTACAACATCTCAACTGATGTGTGGAAAGTAGACTGAAACCCATAAGGGACTCACTCAAATTTTACAAATTACCGACCTCGTGTAATTAAAGACTACATTGTTTGCATCTATTTGTGTTGTCTAGTTTTTATTGGTTAGCAATAGGATTGAATGTCACTAAATGTTTACAGTGGTGGTAAAAAAAGGTTTGTTATTAAATCAATAAAAAGGATATCAACACCCAAAGCTAGATTTGGTTCATACAAAAGTGAATGCAGTAAAATTATCACAACTTGTCTTGAGACAAGTAAGGAAAGTTTGTTAATAAATTAATCAACAACGGGTAAATCACATTTTACAGCAAGCAATAGCAATTCAACATCAACTGTTAGTTACAAAACAGAATTATGTTAGGCCTCACTTCTTTCAATCATACAACTACAGCTACTACTCAACTTGTCTACAAAAAAATTACAAAGCATCTAGACTACTTGAAATGAGAAAAATTAAAGCAGACTTTTTTTTTAAACACCTCTAAACCAGCAATCTACACTACAAAAAAAGCTTATTTTTGTCTCTTAAAAATATGCAATCACTCACTGTGTTTGGTGGTGTTGGCTAAGAGGTGAGACTGATGATGCAACTGATGATGAGACAAGCGTTCATCCTTTAGCTTTTCAGGAGGGCGTGTCAAAAACTCTGGTGGCTCCCCCTGACCAGCGGCAACGCTGGCAATCGTCAATGAAACAGCATCAAGCTTATTGCCTGTTTTGACGTTGTGCGCAAGATTTGATCCCGCTCCGCTGGCAGATGAAGATTTCTCATAATTGTTGTTCCCATTTGGGGCTGACCGCTTCACAACATCAGAACTACTCACTCTATCATGGACCACTCTATCATTTGAATTTACAGAAAAAAACGATTCAACAACTTGTTTCTCTATATACTGAGCATCTGATAGCTCAGCATCTTCACCATGCAGCCGTCTATTAGAGCTCTCTGAAACTACCTCCTCGTTGGATATTATTTCTTCATGCCTAATACCATGATCCCTATGAATCATAGGGGCACTTTGCTCTTCTGTCTCTACGTCTACATTGCTATCTTCACTCATGGCAGTGTTAGGGTTAATTATTGAGGGTAAGGACTGTGGGGCGTTTTCAATACCAGGGGATGATGCATTGTGAGATTCACCACAGGGTTCAACGCTGTTATCATCAACACTATTAATATTTTCTACATGATTATTATTATTATTAGTTGAAACTTCTGCATCATTAGAGGCAGCTGATGTACCCTCGTAACGAGGCCTGCCACCATCAATTTCATGTGCGGCTTGCTCTACTCCAACTTCTGTTGACATGTTCAGGTATGTATTAGAATTCCCGTTTTTAGCTTTCACTCCCTCTAACTCATTTCCAGCAGAGGGAATGAAACCGGGGCGGCACCATCCTGCTGGGATAGGGGGGAGGACACTGGGCTTTCCATCACCATTTGTGGCGATAAGACCTGTGTTGATTTTCTTTCTCATACTGAAAAAGATAAACAGTTTTATTTCTTTAATTCACACCTAGAGCCAAGCTGCTTTTTAACCAATCAATAATTAGCCCTTTCACTGTTTATAGCTGACAAAATATTTTTATAAAGAAGTGGGGGGGGGGGGGGGTTAAGCTATTTTTTAAAAAATTGTTGATCTGCATATTAAGTTATTCAAGGTTTTTAAAAATAAACCCTTGAAGTATGCATGGTGTGCATTGCAACATTTTTCAAGCAAATGCAGACAAATCAGTGAAAGGGGCTTTGAACTAGAAAAAAATGCTTGACAAACAATATTTCATCCCATAAAGTTTGGCATTATACATAAGTCATTTTTTAAATTAAGTGACCAATTACTTTAGTCTGAAAATTATATTACAACACAAAATAAACATTTTTATTTATGGTCAAACTAAATAATTGCATTAGGCAATAACACTTAATTAAGGTTACAGATATAGAAATGTTTTGGAAAGAAATGCCTACCTATTCAAATTTTCCACATTTACAAAATAAAAAGGTGAAGGCAATAACTATAAAAATCAGATAGGCCTATAAGACATTATGAAAAATTTTAGGCTACATACAAACACATTAGTGCAGAGAATTTCTGTGATGAGTGAAATTATCATAATTTGCATTCAACCCTTACAGTTATGAAGTCTATATAACTTAAATTTTCCTAAACATAAAATGTCTACCAACAGTAATTTGACACAGTAGTTTGAATAGTAATTTTTTTCTCAAAGTTAACAAAGCTGAAACAGTTAAACTATAGAATAGGTAAGTCTATTAAATCACCATACACCATAAAGAGCTTAATAGCTACTAACTTGAACAGGATCAATAAATCAATAAAAAAAAATATCACTGGCTTATTCAACTTACTAACCTCTAGCTTACCATTATTGTCATCTTTTTAAAACGGTATTTACATGTTGACCTGTAGGCCTATTTAATTTTAAAACTATTAGGCTACATGGTGGTCGATCAGAGGCAGAAAATAATTTTATGCTTGGGTTCCTAAAGCCTTCTAAAGGTATAGGATAGGAGTAAAACAGAAGTAGCAATAATTTATAATAAAACCTGAAGGCTGAGCATGTCATGTAATCCTTTTTAATTCCTGTGATTGCTGTAATAGTGTGGAATACATTTTTTGTTACATTCCAAAGAATAACCAAAGGCACCCTAGCAGTCAAAGGGCACAGTCTCAGGCAACATAAGGTCACAATTTAAAAACAACAACACTAGAGTTAGCTTGCTTACACTTAGGCCTACACATAACTTCCTGACAGTGCAACAACACAGCAGGTATTTTTTTTTACAAGCAGACTCCTCTTGAACCTTTTTGATCCATAAGCCCCAGATCTATATTTTGATTATTTTGAGTCCATATTGCAGGCCTATAGTATAGTGATGATAGGGATGACAAATGTCTTTTAAAATAAAACTATAGAGTAGATCTAGTTAAATCTAGATCTAGAATTTTGTAGCCTTATGTTTTTTTTTTTTTGCAGAAGTTTGTTGAGCAATGGCAATGAGTGACACACCAAACATTGTAATTTATATAGGCTACACTACAGACCCTAACAGTTTTTAAGGTTGACAAAATAAATGTGGAGCAAGAGAGAGTAAGCTTAGAAAACATTAATAATTATTTATTGATTTGGGCCCGTGGCCCGGTTAAACACTAAAAATTAAAATAGCTGGAAGTTGAAGCCGAGCTAGGCTGCAACGGTAAATTTCAACCAGTTTTGGAATTAATGGAGATAAGGAAAGTAATATAATTATTTCCTAAAGAAAATACCTCTTAAAATGGCATGTTTTATTAAAATATGGTATGTGGCGTTTAACCTTGAGCCCCAAGCCCTTGCAAGTTGAACTAGTATTAGTAGCTTATGGAAGGGCGGCTGCTCTCTTCTCTATCTGTCTTTGTGTGTTTCATAGAAACTGGGTCACTGCCACACACAACAAACCTTGTGAGAATTTAACTCTGATGAAATCCATTACTTTAAATCTTTGGCAAAATGTTACTAACAGCAAAATATTAGGATTATGGGCAAAATATCATGTTATTAGCTCAACAGACATGGTAATTTACAAAACATATGTTAGAAAACTGACTGGATAAAATTTTATTCAAAATACCCCGACGTCTCGCCTCGCACAAGCCTCTCGCCAAGCTCCAACTTCAACACTCGGAAAGAGTGCGTGTGCTCAATCGGCGAGTTACCGTGCTATTGATGTAAACAAGCAACAAAACAAACATACCAGAGTATAACGATATTTATAATCTATTAGTGTGGGAATCCTTCTTTCACAAGAACTATGAACGGACATCTAGAAGTAGTTAGATATTTAGAAATTCAATTTCAAATCCAACGACATGTAAAAGATAATCACAAGCACAATGGCGACACACCGCGCTGTAGTTGGATCGCCGCTAGCACAGCTGTGTATGGCGATTGGCGTGTCGATCAACTCGCGAGGATTTGATTGGACAATCAGAGTTAACTAAATTACATATGTCGACCAATCATATCTTCTCATTTACCCAAACTCTTAGGAAGGCTTTACACGCACAAAATGACAGTAAAAAATAAATATATTGACTCCTAAAAAATAACTGTAGTGTATTGTTCATGATAAATAAATAGGCATAGTGATTAATAATATAAATTACCCGAGTCTGGGATGAGGTCAAACTCTTTTGGAAGTTTCAAAGAGGAACTGCTGGTTGGTTTGGCACCACAGTACGTTACTTCTTTTGCTTTGAGGGGTATGCATATTATGATATTAGGCTTATTTTCATTTAATAGAAATATTCAATTTAGAAATCTATATCTTTTAATATAATTGTGTTTAACTTAAATTGTAACGAAGCATCTATCTTTTAAAGTTACAAAAAATCGGAGACTAATTTGTTAGATTACCTTATTTGAGCCAACAAAATAAATTTCTACAAAATCATTGTTCAAACCCGTGCTTAACCTCTTGCAAATTAAATGAAACAAGAAAATAAAACTACTCACCTATTTCTTTTTGCGATAATGAAAGTTAAAAGTCTTTATTTTTGTAGCCTTTGTGATTAAAATTGAGTAACATACACGATGTTTTCAGAACTCAGTCAATATTTTAGAAAAAAATCGATGTTTTAAAAAACAAAAACTGCAATTTTGAGGCATGGGCGGGTGGGGAAGGGGACGTATATCCTGAGGGATGACGTTATTTAGAAAGGGGTCTGGCTTTTTTAGCATGACAAGAAGGGAGGATGATCCCTTCATCTGACTTTTACATTCTCATATAATGTAAATGGATGCCTGAAAGTTTGAGGTAACAGACTTTTTATAACTATTTCAGCCAAACACTATTACTTACGCCGCACTGTCATTGTCCACACGGCGTGCGTGCGCGTGTGTGTTTAAGACATTGTCGCAGTGTTAAGACAACTATCTGACTTACGAGGTAGCAATGTTCTGGGGAAAGTTATTTGGTATGCTCTTTAAACTTATTGATAGCCCATGTTATAGCCATAATTTCTTTATGCTTACGAAATAAATAAATTAAAATATATACTTTAACCAGTCTGTTAACCAGTTGTGTTTTTAAAGTGCATCAACCGAACATTTCTTATTACCCGTGTTTTTGTGTACGAGTTTGCTTTAAAGCAGTCCTAGAAGGCTAGGTCTGAAACATCACTAACAATCTATTTAACTAATTTTACATATATATATATATATATATATATATATATATATATATATATATATATATATATATATATATATATATATCAGATTCGCCCGAGGACAAACTTTCATTTAACCCTCCCCCCGTAAATTTTTTGTTTATCATTCAAATCTGCAGCTATAATGAGCTTTTAATTTTTCTCAAACCCATTTTGGCGCCCCTAGGTTCGGTGCCCGGGGACATATGTACCCACGCCCCCCCCCCCCCCCGCTACGCCTCTGATGATTGTATAGGCCCCTTATTTAGGCTTATATAGGCCCCTAAGCAGGCCTCCTGCGCTTCAAGACAACCATGAGTTAACCATATTTTTTAAAGCCACTTGGCATAGAGAATTAATAAAGCGATAATTAATAATGGTTGCATTGTTTTAATTTACATCCGTATTATTTAAGGGAAAAACATTTTGCGAGATAAATATTTTATTTCCCAATCAATACCATCAACTGCTTTTGTAATCGTTGACAAAAGTGATCGAACGAGTTAGGCCTATATCGTATTAATGGCTACGCTTGGTAAATAATTGCCTTTACAATGTTCTAACAACAAAGGGTAAAATTTCAACATACATGCGTGACATTTTTCTCTCTCTGGAAGCCACGTTTGAAAAATTCGTTTGAAAACCGTACCAGGAAGTGTATTGCTATAATCAAGTAGGCCGAATAGGCCCTATCTTTATGTAAAGGGATCTTGATATAAAAGCTCTAACAGAGGTTTAGAAAAGTTATTTTTGCTCGTGTTCATTACGTCAATAGCAGCACACACCATTAAAATATAGTTTAATGTAAGCCTTAAATTACGATGTAAACATGAAGACTTAATTAACGTTTCTCATATAAATCCCAAGGCAGAGAATTAACTAGACTATGTACTATGTAGCACTTGAAATTTTCGGGGGAGGGGGGAGGGCGACGGACACTGTTAAAAGTATACATTTTCTATATAAATTCCATTTCGTTCGGAGTCCCCCCCCCCCCCCCCCCCCCGAAGAGAAGCCTGGAAGAAACTCTGTAAATCAGTGAAGCCTCTAATAATGAGCCCGTTTTGTAAGACTAACTGTAAGAGTATATAGTATATAGGGCCTATTATATATTATATTATTATGTAGCCTAACTAAAGCTACACACACTCTTTAAGTCGATTTTTTTCATTATATAAATTAATATAAATATATCGGTTTTCTTAAGTATGACATTTATGTTGTTATGAAGCGTTGTAAAAATAAACAGCTAATCAAGACCCATCTCTAGGTTTAGGCGCAGGCCTGCTTGTAAAAATGATTTCGACGTTGTCTCGGGGCATTTATGTTTGCATACTTAGATTCTACATTTAGAATCTAGTTCTAGATTTTAATATCTAGGCCTATTATTAATTTATACTTAGGCAAAGCTTTTTTATTACATTTATATAACTTCACATGACCTTGACCCTGCGGTTGCAAGAACGACAACGCCGAGTGTCTGCTGTAAGGTCATGTTGTTACTAAAGTCTAGTACTAGACTCTAGAGATCTAGAATCTAGAATCTACGTTAGATTTAGCATTTTAGCGAGATACAGACTCGAATCTACTCGGATTGTAATGATAACAAATAGATCTAGATCAAAATAATGTTTCACTAGTAGAGAATCTAGATCTAGATCAATTGTAATGTAAAATTTATGCGACGTCTCTCTCTGACTAGGAAATTGACTAAATAAATTGTAATAAATTGTTGTTTTGTTTTTTTCTTACTGTCAGTGTTGTTACTTTGTTACTGTTAGGCAGTGTTAGCCAGTGCTAAATCTAGATCTAGATTCTAGCTGTTAGTTTTAGTAAGCTAGTTTGTTATTGTTTACCAACGCGATTTTTCTTTACAGCTTTTTTTACAATTTAGAACAAACCTAAATGAAACTAACTAGTCTAGATCTAGCTAGACTAGATCAATATTAAATATATTAATATAAATATATTATATATATAGGGGCCTAGATCTAGTATATAGGTATACTATTACTATAGAATAGGCCTATTCTAGATCTAGAAGTTTAGTGGAACAAACAGAACTACGTCAAATAAATAGATCTAGATCTAAACTACACACCCAGAATCTCAATCATGTTTCGACTTATTCCTACATTAATTGGATCTTGTAACAGAAATGTCAAATTGAGGAAAATGATACATCTGGTAATTATTAAATCACTTATACTACTAGTCTAACTATGAGCCGACCCGCGGCGTATTATATGCAGCTATTTAGTTGTTTTATTTTCTACTTTTCAGTAATTCATAATTTGTGAATTCGACAGTTCCAATGCTGCCACTGAAAATATTTGCTTTAAAACACTACCAGTAGGTCGTTTAGGACGATAACCCCCCAACCCCTACCCTACCCCACCTCTCTTGAAAGCAGCCTCCTCTTAGTTACCTCCCCTAAGTTTAAAATCGTTTCAAACTAAATTATCTGCCCCTATTAGCTGTCACTAAACCTGGCTCTACGATTGTAAACCTTTAGCGTGAACCACAGCTCACCAGACCATGTGGGGGTGGGGGTGGTAGGGATATGCTTAGAGAGGAAGAGAGGGAGCTGCTAGGCGCGTTTACAGCTTGGTGTTTTCTAGGGTATCTAAGAAGAGAATCTATATATATAATTCTCTTCTGGGAGCCGCTAGAAAACAAGCTGCAAACGCGCCTAGAAAACAAGCTGTAAACGTGCTCCCTACCTCCCCACCCCTACATGGTTTTAGTGAGCTGTGTTCACTCTAAATGTTTACAAGCAGAGCCAACGATTTTAAACGTAGGGGGGGGGGGGAAGGAAGGGGGGGGGGTGGGGTTATGGTCCTTAACGAGCTACTTATAGTGTTTTAAAGAAATATTTTCAGTGTCAGCGTTGGTACTGTCGAATTCACAAATTATGAATTACTGAAAATTAGAAACAACTAAATAGCGGCGTATGTTATGCCGCGGGCCGGCTCGTTATATATATATAGATAGCCTATTACATTACTTGATCTATTTTAATGTATAATAATAATATTAATATAGAAGTATTAGACTTTCACATTGACTGTTAGTCATTAAGTCTTTTTGGACATTTTTCTCAGTGGTGTGTGTAGGTGGTGGGGAGGGTCACTTAAAATTACCAAGGAGGGGGCTGTCACTAGTTTGTAAAAAGCCTATATTAAAATATTTTCTATATAAATCAATGTTAATCTCAAGATATGGCATAAGAAATTATTCGGTGATATTTGTTGTGTTTCATAAACTATAGTTTATTTGACTGTTTAAATATAAAAAAGTCAAGTGCATAAAATTAATATTTTAACTAAATTTTAAGTTTAATTGACAGAAAATTAGCAACAATTAGTAGAATCTAGATGTAACTACTAATAATAAAGTTGAGTGTAATAATTGTTTTTTAAGAAACACATGAAAAAAACAACTTGCAGATGATTTGCAACAACTAGATTCTAGATCTAGGCCTAGTAAAATAAGAAAGGACGATTAGATCTACTTATGTCTAAAGTAGTAAGAAAGGCTAGAACAATGTTTAGTAGCAACAATAATTAGCACATACACTTAAAATAATTGGAAATTCAAAATAATTAGCAAAACAGTATTTAAAATGCAACTAAAATCAATGTATGCACATTTTAAAAACATTATGTATTAAAAATAATAAAATATGGTCACAGTGTGACGATGCCATGGATTTACGTTTTTTTACTGCTATACCATTCCGGAATAATAACCAACGCCATATCGTGAGATTACCAAATCATTGATATATACCCCTGTAAATGCTTGAAAGAAGCTCAGGTATTAGTGTTTGTAGTAGACTACTCATAAGCCTGCTCCACTAACACTATTCTCTTAAAAGTAAATGACCTCTACCCCTATCTTGGTTGTATAGAATCTATATGTTACTATCAATTATTTATGTTCACTTAGATTTTAAATCAATATAGAATTATTTATTGTTAACAAGTGTCTAGGACAGTTTTATTTATCACCTTTTTAAAAACATGCCATTAAATGTCTTGATCTTCTTTATGGATTTAGCATGTATTATCAGGTTTACCTTACTGTAAAATTCAAGTTTTGTTTTCTAATCTTATTCTTAAAATTTTTACAGTCTTTATCATTTTATATTTATATTGTATTAATTTAATTAATTAATGAGCTATATAAAAAGAATTAGGCTCTTTCTTATTAGTTTTTAAAATATGCATTTCATATTATCAACACTTAACATTAAGTTTTGGCTGCTTATGTTATTTTTGTTTTAGAAAGTGTAATTTTATGAGACTTATTTTGATTCTGATTAATTTTTTCCCCTTTGATTTTACAATAATGTTACCTAATGTCTTTAGCCCTAAGAGATTTTGTTATTTAACAAAGTTACAATGAATTAAGTTGTTTAAATGTAATGGATTTAATGTTAGTATCAGTGGTTACTACCAATACAGAGTAAACTCTGAAGGTGGTGTCCAAAGTCATCAGAACAGACAGTAGGCAAAGATCAACAAATCAGCATGCTACTGAAATAAATTTCAGGTGTGATAAAAATTATGCTCGTGTTTGTGCACAATTATTCATGGTGGTATAGAGGTAAACTGCAAGATAAAAATGTCACATGAACATTGGATTCAGCTAACTCAATGCATTTTATTGCATCACCACTTGGTTTTGTATCTTATCTACTAACCCTCTTCCTACCCACTGATATTGGAAATTGACACCCCACCAACTACATACTTCCATTTCATTTTTCTATTTCATTCTATTTTTCTAACTATATCATCATTAAAGCACACACAATTAAATTGTACAACATAATATAATACACTGGAGTATAAAATAAAACTTCACAGTAGGCTACAGCAAAAACAGTATAAAAACACTACACTACAACACACTATTTAATACATTACAGTCTGATGAAATCAGTACTCATCTAGTATAAGCAGCTAAGAAAACTCAATTGAAAAAGCTACAGTATAATAAACAGCACATAGGAAAATTCAGTTTTAATACTTCAGGATGATAAAGGACACCTTAAATAGTTTCTAATAAACAATTTGATATTTCATGGCACACAATTTAAAATGGGTTCTGCACTTTCCTCATATTATGCTTTTGATGTATACCAAACAAGAAAACATGTTTAATTCATTTAGATTTCTATTCAGGAAATAAATACAGACTATGGGTTTTATTCAATCTGAGCATCACATTTTTTGTTTCAAATCAGAATTCTTAAAAAAATAGCAGAGGACTAAGATTTCAGAGAAATATCACACAGTAAATTTTTTTTTGCAAAAGTATTTTTTAAGATGCTTCTTCCAAAAACTGCAGTATGCATTAATGCAATATTACACCATATGTTGTCTAGGGTAATGAATAGGCACTGTAAAAAATACTCAGCAAAAATGTTTTCCAACTTGTTACACTTATCTATGTTCAGGATTATCCGGTGTTCCCATATATTTTTATCTCAACCTTCAGTAGTTATAAAAATAACTGATAAAACTCTTCCTCATTTATAATCTCAATCTTTAAAGAAGTAAAAAAGGTTGTTTAAATCACTTAAATGTGTGTTTTTTTTAAAATTGTATCATATTTGTAACCATAAAAAATATTTTGATTTCTAATAAGGAAAATTTGAATTTGAGCCCTGGGGCATGTAGTCATATCTCAAATCTTTAAAACCAATGACATGATTTCAACAAAACTGTAGGTTTGATCAACTTGTCACATAAACCAGACTAGATCTAGCTAGTTTTCAAATTTTTGTCAACTTGCACAGAATAGTTATTTTCTTTTGGATTATAAAATTACCTGCAGAATATAATTTTCAATCCATAATGGTTGAGCTTACTTCTTTTCTACTCATACTTGTTATTATTTAGTTATTAATTTTAAATGCTCTTACAGAAACTCTTAAATTAAATTGTTCCTGACAGATTATTAATATTATGTTTTACTTCAAATTCAGTCTGTAGCAGTCTAGTTCATAATTAAAATAATAACCAAATTTTAAAAATAAGAACTCATATTGGCTATAAGGTATCCAAAAATATTATATAAAGCATAAAGATAATGTTACTGACAAAATTAAAAAAAATAAAAGCAATACCTAATTTTTTAATTTTTTAATATGAATTCATGCCTCTATTTTCTTACTCATTTTTCAAATCTTCTTTGTTTCATCAATTCTCTACAGTTACTAATTGCATATAATCAACTGACTTTGGTAAAGATTGTTCTACAACCCAGATGATTTAACTCACATATTCTCCACCTTATGCAAAGAAGTTACATTTAAAATCTTATTTGTTTCAGCAACTCTCTGCAGTAACTAAGTGCATGTGCTCAACTGACTCTGGCAACGATACCATCTACAACCCTGAAGATTTAACCCCACCTATTCCACCCTATGTAGAAAAAACAGGAGAGACCACAGAACTCAAAAGGGCAAGACTTTTGTACCAGAGTCGTAAAAGAGGGATGCTGGAAAATGGTCTTATTTTAAGGTTTTTAAAACCCTTTTTCTGTCCAATATCCATTTAATGCATTTTATATTCCTTTGATAGTTTTAGATTTAACTAATTAGAAAATTGTTTCTCATTGAACAGAAAGTTATTTTGCTCTCACATAACTTTAAGCTACTCTTCATGTAATAAAATTGTCACTTTTATCCTTTTAAGAAAGTTTTCAAACTATTCTCCATTTAACTAATGATAACCACTTATTTTAACTCTGACATGTTAGAGTGTTTTTTACATATAAAGAATTGTTCTCTAGCACATTAACAATTTCAACCAAATTAATTTCATGTACTCTTTTAATTCAGTACTTTTGCTAGCCAGTATTTAAAGACCCTGACAGAAGATCAGCTGAGTTCATATGATAAACTGATCAACCAACCCTCCAATGATTGGGACATTTATTACTGGGTCACTGGTATGTCAGTTTCTTGTTGTTGTTTCATTAGCATTCATTGTGACCAGGCATATTCATGTGTAATTAAGTAAGATTACATTTGTGTTGATAGTATTATTTTTTAAATTTGAGGATATCTCTAATTGTAGGACAACAGAATGCTTATACTTTTTTTTTGAAAATCAAAAATAATCTTTTTTCATATGAATGTGAGTAGTTTAACAAAGCTCATTAAAAAGGAAATGATGAAGTTTTTTTTCCAGGTTCTAGTCATTACTAAACATAAAACATTATTTCTTTAGACAAATTCAAAATATCTTTTAAAGGATTTATTGCACAACCTATTTATTGGTCATTACTGGCTGAGTTTGATTTGGCGTTATATAACCACTATGGGTGAAACTGCATATGCAAATATGTGCTCATGTGTAGCACCCAAATTTAACATATTTAACCACTTGCTACAACATTATATAGCATTTTTATAGACTACTATCCCTCAAAATGTAACTTGCCCAAATTACAAAATCTTGATTTTAATAATAAATAATTAGTGTCAAATCCTATTACAGAAAATCCATTCTTTTTCATTAAAAGCAAATGCCAAAAGTTTTTGTGTTTAAAAGAATAAATATTTAAGCCTGCTTTGTTAAATTGATCAACAAACCATTCTATGTAGCAAAAATGTATTTACATTTTGTACTGCTTTTTTTTTTAAATTCTTTACAACCACTCTACCCCATGTAAAATGATAACAAAATAGCAAACTACTACCCTTACCCCTGTTTGTTAGGAATGTGCACAAACCTTATGGGTGAAGCTAAACTATAGTTCTGACTATTTGACTAATGTCAGGGGATTTAACAATTTTTTTCAAAATCTGCCCTTCAGGGGTTAGGGAAACACCTGATGAATTCAAGTCTGATGTCATGGATCTCCTGCAAAAACATGCCAGAAATGAACAGAGAGAAACAAGGATAAGGCAACCAGACCTTTAGTTTTGTTGTTGGTGAAAATTGTCTGTGAAGTTATCTGTGAAAGCTAATGGTTATCACTTGTAAATACAATGTTATATTGAGAAAAGGTATGAATGATTTATAGAAAAATGTATGTGACCATTGAGGATTCTTTTCAATGGTTAGCCAGTTTTGTAGTTTAATTTTAATTGCATTTATAGTGTACCAAATACACATTTTGATTGTAATTAAAAAACTCTGACAGCATCTTGAGTTTCATTTACTCATTTTATAGTGAAGAGAATATTATGCTTATTATTATTCAACTGGCCTTAAATTAAATATGCAATATAATATTTTTATAGGATTGCATATTTTTTATGAATAAATTGTAAAATGAGTTTAAACTTATCCACACGTTTGTTAACGTAGCGTATTGGGCCGCATTAATAAACTGCATTTTTCTTTTTCCTTTCAACACTGTTTAGAAATAGTACCTAATTAGCAGTGATGTTTAACAATAAAACTTGAAGATATTTATTGACTTAATCTGGCCGCTTTCTGTTGATATCCAATCTAAACTATTAATTCAGAAAGATTTTTAAAAATGAAAAAACTCAATAAAAAAACATTGAAGTGATTAGAGAAAATTTAATTTTGATCGCTACATTTGCATGCAAACAAAATGAGAAAGTTTTTTTCAGTGGTAATATTTCTCTACATGTGTAACTTATACTTTGAAAAAATTTGTGCTACAGAATAATTATAAATATACCTTTAAAAAAATGTAAGAAGAATAAATTTACATAAATGTAACTTATATAAAAATTTAGATTCTATAAAATAAAATTTTCAAATACTTTAGATTTTACAAAATAAAATTTTCAACAAATGTACATTAAAAAAATGTAAGTTTGAATAATTTACAAATTATAAAATGTATATTTTCAAATAAATTAGATTATACAAAATGTAAGTTTCAAGTAATTTAGGTGTTTAAACATGAGCTTCAAATTTATATCTCACAAAGGTGACATTTCTTATTGTTTAAAAATAAAGTGATGTTTTTAAGCACAATACCAATTGTTTTTAAAATTGATGAGCTTTTAATTTAAAAATGTAAATTAGGATGTTTATAAAACATAAAGACAGTTTTGACATATGACTATAATAAAAAAAAATTTAATATGTTTGGCTAGTCCCTATGCACAGCATAGCCTGAGACAGAAATTATTTTCAAGGTGAATGAAATAGAAATAAAAAGTTGCTTTGAAAAACTAAATAGATATTTAATATTTTTTACTTTATTTAAATCTAATGAACTTAAAAAAATTTCTGTGCTTTATGAGCAAAGATTTGTGCAAACCAGGTTTCCTGAATTAAAAATAAATCACATGCATATATATTATATATATGAAAAATCCTCTAATAAATCACAGATAATTGAATATATAATAAATGAATATAAATATAATTTGCAGTAGATTAACCCTTTGAGCCCGCCAGGCCGGTAAACCGGCTTCAACATTAGGCATATATGTCCGAAAAGCCGGTTTTCCGGCCCGATGATCTAGCGTCATTTTCCTAGTGGCCGGTATACCGTCGAATTAAATAAAATTAGCGGAAGACTGACCAAAACTACGCATATGTCTTTTTAGTGCGTGATTATGATTCTAAAAATAGATTTTAGGAAAAGTGAAAGTGTTTACATTTCGTAGCAATGCCGCCGAAACAAAAAGCTGAGCCAAAGCCATCGACTTCAGCACATAAAGTTGGTGCAAAAGATGAAGCAAAAGACCGAAATATCAACAAAAGAAGTAGAATGACTGCATCTCAGGCAATACAACTACTTATTGATTCTGATGAAGAAGATAATATTCTTAGTCTATATTATGATGATAGTGACGTTGAATTTGAGACTGAACTCAGTGACATTGAAATTGACAGTGACAATGAAACTGTTCAAGTACGTTATGATGCACGTGGTGCCAAGGACAAAAACTTGCCGAAACGAAAAAAAATGTTTACTGGTGCAAAACATGCGAAGTTTTTCTTTGCATCGGGTCCGGCAGTGATAACTGTTTTGAAAGTTATCACACAAAAGTGGACTCCTGGCGATGAACTAGTATGGCCAAGTATCAATAATAAAAAAACAATTACTAAATGTAAATTAGTTTCTTCTATGTTCTATCAAAACAATAATTATGTGTTCGTTTTATATACATTGTTCTGTTCATACGTTGTAAAAAAATAAAGAATTTCGAATCTTGCTGCAATGATCCTGAGTCTGGATACCAAATTTGGCTTGATTATCTCAAACGGTTTAAAAGTTATAGGCAAAGTTAGAAGAAGATAAGTGAAAATTGGTTTGGCCCTGGGAGCTCAGGAAATGGGAGAAATTAGGTCAGGGCTCAAAGGGTTAAAGAAAGAAGGAATGTTTATTTTTTTTGTGTGCTGCATAGTGAAATATTCAAACTAGTTCATACAAGAATACACAAATATATTATGCAATTTAAAAAAGTTAAAACATCAATATTTGTTGATGTTAAAACAATATTTCAGAAAAAAATACTTTCATGTCTTAAAATTATGCTTTTAATATATTATGCGCATTGCTAACTGTACTCTATTAAAGAATACTTCATGAATCCAACTTAAATTTAATAATGTAAAAACAAATTATTGTTGAAAAAACTTATATTTTTATATATAATTTTAAGCTGCAAAAAATATAACTTATAACTTTAGATGACTAATTTCTTAAATGTATGTATAAAACTTACAATATTTTACAGTTAGTTTTAAATTTTAATGCTGCCATATTAAATTTGAAACTCAGATCAAATTCTTTAAAAAAAACGGTATAAAAATAATGCAATAGAATAATATAGATTCCATTACAAAAAGAAAAATTTGATGCAGAATTTTGTGTGTTAAATACTTTAAAAAGGTTAAAAATTCTCCATACGGCTTTTGATTTAATCAATAATCAGATGCTTTAAATATGACTTTTAGCTATTCACAGATAATAAATAGATTAATAATTTTTTTTATTGAAACAAAAAAAGTTAATACTGAATTACTCTGACCTAGTAATTTAAACTGATTATACAATTAACTTACATACAGTTTATAATAAAGAACAAAAACAACAAATGCATTTTTGTAAGTTAGTTAAATAGTGAGTGAACCTTTATATGCAATGTTTGACTAAATAATATCTGTGGCTGAAGCTTTGTACACACTGTGGTAAGCATTTCTAAGTAAGGCATAAGGGAAGCAAGTTTCCAGCACATCCATTGTGAGGAAGGGCGACTCTTGAACTATCTGTTGGAAATAGATTAAGTCAGATTATCATTTCTGTTCAGAAGGGGTCACATTTAGCATGGGCTCTATTAACACGGATTCAGTAATGATCTAAATCAACTTCATCGTAAAGAAATACAGATTTGGATAATAAATACTACAAGGGTTAATTACGTGTACACAAATAAAATATCTTATATGTAGCATAATCTCTAAATGTACTTTTGTTTTCTAACAACTGCAACATCTTTTTCCCTAATCTGTCACAATTTAATTTAAAAAAAAAAAACATACATTCTTGTAAAAAATGTTTGGTTACTGATTAGTTTAAACTTATCATCAAATACTTAATTGTAATTAATTTTTTTTTAAATCATTTAAGTAGCGAGCAAAATTTTTGTAGGAAAAATTACCTGGTCGAGAATTAAATAAACTGACTCCCGATTTTTCAATGACTCCTTGTCATTTTCAATGGCAAGACGAAGTAGGTTTGATGCAGCAAGCTGAAATAATGTATGTATTGTAGGGAAAAAACAAACTACCAAAAACTGTAAATGTAAAAATGTGAAGTTCAATCAGAATTATTGCTCTTTTTAAATAAATTTAAACATCTACTAAATACTGTGGATAACCGTTTACAAAATAAATAAAAAATGTTGAGAAACTTATTTCCTTACAGACAAGAACTCTTGCAGCCTTAGACTAGCATCTCCTGGCCCATACAGAGAAAACAGGGCTCCAGCTAAACTGTTGACACTTTTGGCCAGGCAATGACTGTTGTTTAAGTGCCCTGGTCATTAGATTATGTATGAATTCAAAAATTAGAAAAATATTTTCTATTTGTTAGTTTCATAAGTTTAACTGTTTCCTTAAAGTAAATATTCAATAATGAATATATCAATAATAACAATATTTAGGACAAATAGAACTATATCATTAATGAGGACATATTTCTTCCTTATTTACTACGTTAGGAGTAGCAGCATTTTTTAGCTTAAAAGTTGAAAACAATAATAATTTTTTTAAAACATTAAGATTTTGTAACAAACATATTAGCAGAACTAACAAATGAGAATGAAAAAAAATCTGTTATGTTATACAGATGTAAAAAAGATTAGCAATAAATTTCATAATGAAATATGTATTGAATAATTTGCTTTTTTCAACCCTCAGATAAATGATGGGAAAACTTTACTTAAATCCTTACTAATTAAAGTTAATAGATAACTGGATGTAATTTAAAATTACCTTCAATAGAAGCTCTAAATGTGGACAGTTCCATTCGTGCAAGTTTAGGAATCGACACAGCCACAAATACAAACAACAGACAAGCAATTCTATATTCATCATCTGAAGAAGCTACAAAGATAAAAGCCATTAGTCAAACCTATTAAAAATCTGGCATTGTTTACAACCTATTAAACAATCTAGATAATAAAAAAAAAAGTTCAATAAAATAATCCAAACTTACTAATGATATCGCTTTCTGTTGCATTTTCACTCTTGAACCCATACAGTGCATGGCATAATGTGGGATCAACTTTACACTTCTCACCAGCTGTTGATGCCAGTTCATTCAAGACCTAATGCAAGCATTTATTTATAGAAAACTTTGTTGCCAGATTTAGAAAGTAATAAATACCAAATATAACAATAACCACATCACATTATTTTAACAACAAATTTTTTTTTATCATTGGAGTTTTTATGTTATATAAAAAAAACTCTGTTATTATTTAATTTTAAACATTATCACTAAGTCATATGTTGTTAATTTAATGTTAAAATAGATAACACAAAAACCCGGCCTCCCTTTAATTTGTAGGTACAAATGGCAGGTGAGTGATTCAGAAGCTGACCCTATAAACAAGTGAAAACATCTCACGACCTGTGTTTCAATTTACCTCAGATTCTTTTTTGTTCAGAACATTGTGCTGGATGTCTCTAATGGAACTCATCAAGAAAGGAATCCTCTGTTCCAACACCTGAATATAATAAAAAAAATACAGAACAAAATTCATTTAATTTTTTTTTTTACTTCATATGAAAATAATACTTCTTGAGGTCTAATTTCTATCTAAAGTAAGATAATATATATTAAAATATTATAAAATCAGAATTAGACTATTATAGGTAAAAAAAGAGCTTTCATTTTTGTTTTTTGCACAAGATATTGCCAACACAATAATTTTATACATTTTTACATTATTTTTAAAAATTATTTTCTTTGACTATTAATCTGATAATTCAATATTTGTTTTAGTTTTATGAATTTTATGTTCAGTACTTTTATGAAATATCTTGAATGTGAACTAGTTTTGAAATTAATGGTCCTCACAAAATTAATGTTACAAAGTGCAACAAAAGCAAGCTGTTAACTAATGGAGCCAGAACATACATCATTAAGAGCTTCCTGTGCCAGATTTCTAAAAGCCATGATCAAGCCAATTCTAATCATTTTAGTCAATAGAGCCTCAGCATCTGAAAATGTAATATTTAATAAACAAATATAAATGACGCTAAAAAATATTTTTCTAATTAAATAATGTTTTCTGTATCAATGTAAATATTGTAAAATAAAAACATTTTAAAATTCAGCTTACCAGATGGGGCATTTTTAGAAGGTGCTGAGGAAAAATGATGGTACATTTGGGTTAGTACACTACACTAGTAATAAAATAAATTTGATTGTTTGGCTAACTAACTGCTAACCATAACCCAGCAAAGGTGAACAACTACCAAAACAGAACATTTTTTAAAGGTTATTTCTGTAAAAGAAACTTGTGTCAAAATGAGATATTTTTTAAAAGAAAAAGATAAAAAAAGGTACTGAATAATTACTCACCTAATAGTTTGATGGTGAGTTGATTGACAAGGTCAGGCTTGTCTAAGTTTGTTCTCAGCTGCACGAGGATGTCATTCTTTGCCCTCACCATTTTCTAGAACATGTTCAAATATATTCTGACATTTCAATGTTTAGGAAAACTAATTAGCAATGTAAACAGAAAGTGTTATTTCAACGCCAAGGGTAGACAAAGGTACAGAATATAGTCCAAGTAAAGACAGAACAGACAGACCCGACGGGTTCTGAACCTACCATTCCACACGGCACCGAATCGCCTCGCCTTCCATGCATCAAGTCAGACGTGTAACCACTTCTGCCAATCAGCTCTACAAAAATAAAGCTTTCATGGCAGAGCACAATCACAACCTATGCACGAAAGACGCGGGCTGGCGTGACCTTTGAACCGTGAAATGGGACTGACCGTTAGCCTCAAACACAACAAGGACCATTATTCGACCACACAGGCGACACAAGTATAGGGACGACGATACAGACAAATAGTAGCTTCCTTAAATGGGTATAGTGAAACATGGTGAGGGGTTGTGTTTGAGGCTAACGGTCAGTCCCATTTCGCGGTTCAAAGGTCACGCCAGCCCGCGTCTTTCGTGCATAGGTTGTGATTGTGCTCTGCCATGAAAGCTTTATTTTTGTAGAGCTGATTGGTAGAATCGGTTACACGTCTGACTTGAGGCATGGAAGGCGAGGCGATTCGGTGCCGTGTGGAATGGTAGGTTCGGAACCCGTCGGGACTGTCTGTTCTGTCTTTACTTGGACTATATTCTGTACCTTTGTCTACCCTTGGCGTTGAAATAACACTTTCTGTTTACATTGCTATTTCAGTTACAACGCCTGCTTCCACCCCTCACCATGGAAAACTAATTAATGTTTTGATACTTGTACAAACCCAGCAGTTAATATTAAAGCTGTTTTTGTTGAATTTTATATCAATTTTACATGGGAGACAACCAGGACAATCATTCAAAACGAGTAAAAAGTTTTGACCTTAATAAGTACAATATAATTATACTAAAATTTATATTTATTAATATTACTATGTAATCAGAGTAGCATCTTATCTTTATAACCTAAAAAATCTTAAATCTGTATCAACCATAGACTCGTACCTTCAGCTCATCAACATGGTTAGCTACAGCCTGCATTAGCCTCTCTCCCAAATATTTCATTCCACAAGGTCCAATTAATTCTGACAGAGCTCTTAATTCTAAAAAATGGAAACCATGTAATCATTGCATCAAATATGTAATCATGTATTCATCAAAAGTGTAAGTATGTAATCACTGCATAAAAAATGTAACCATATAATCACTGCATCAAAAGTGTAATCATGTATTCATCAAAAGTATAATCATGTAACCACTGCATCAAAAGTGTTATATATTTTTATCCATAAAAAAGTTTTAATATCAATCCTTTTACACTACAATACTAATATGAAAGTAATGAATGCAACTATTACGCATACAAATTAAATTCTGAAAAATATTCTAAGATATTATTCTCTAAGCACATTTTAAACACATACTTATATTGTAAGTTTTATGTGTAATGAAATTAGGCTCTCTCTTTGTACGAAAGAAAGTTCTATCACAACTCATATCCAGATGATCTTAAATACAATTTTTTTTTCAATTAAAGTTTTGAATCCAACTATTTAAAAAATTACTGGAAAATCATTTTGGTGCATTCTAATACAAAAAAAGAACAATTATTCAAACTAACAAAACACCCCAACCACAATAATATTACAAGATGGTAGAGGACTAGCAAGCTAATATCTAAACTAGTGTGACAAAAGTTTTTCATGGAACAAAAAAGTTCTAACACACACAAATACAGTTATCTCCACCTGAGGGGTCAGCATATTCTTCTGGTGACATGAGAATGTGTTCTCCTGCTGATACAGTCACAAAAGTTTTTCTGTTTGGAGAGTACACAACATGGCCTGTGCTGCAAATCACACGTTTCAACAAAACCTCAATGTACCTGCAATTTTTTTTTTAATTTAAAGATAGCGAAATTTCAAGGTTAAAAATTCGTAATATATTATGCATATTTCAGTGCAATGAATTCAAACCCTTTCAACAGTTTTAAAAAAAATATCTTTTAAAAAAAATTCTTATAATATTTGGCCACATCTTTGAGCTATTTACTATTTTAAATTATCATTCTAATAACTGTAGAGTTGTTTTGTATAGCATATAAAATATAATTAGGAATAAATTATGGAATCATTTAAGGACAACATTAATTAATTAATTCTAAAAATGTCCACCATCTGCTGTCATCCAGGTTAGAATTTAAGACAACGTGAATTATACATGATGTAGACTGTGGCTGTAGGCCTACTACATACCAGAATTTTTTTTAAAATCAATAACAAAAAGATGTATAGATGATTAATAAACAAATTAGCATTGTGTGTAGTTGAGTTTGTGAATAATTCAATAACACCTTACCATTGTGTGTAGTTGTGTTTGTGCATGACTGGACAACACATTAACATTGTTTGTAGTTGTGTTTATGAATAACTGGACAACACAAAACATTGTGTGTAGTTGTGTTTGTGAATCATAACACAACACACTACCATTGTGTAGTTGTGTTTATGAAGAACTGGACATCACAAAAAATTACAGTGGTGTGTAGTTGTGTTAGTGCATAACTGGACAAAACATTACCATTGTGTGTAGTTGTGTTAGTGCATAACTGGACAACACAAAACATTACCATTGTGTGTAGTTGTGTTTATGAATAACTGGACAACACAAAACATTACCACTGTGTGTAGTTGTGTTAGTACATAATAGGACAACACATTACCATTGTGTGTAGTTGTAAGTGACTGTCTTCTCCCCATTACAATCATATGGCTGGCTGTGCATGTACAGCACATTCTTAAAGACCCTTGTAATATCTACATGAACTGTTGATAAGAAAACAAGTTTTAGCTGTTAGATAACAGACAGCACATTCTTAAAGACCCTTGTAATATCTACATGAACTATAGACAAGAAAACAGGTTTTAGCTGTTAGATAACAGACAGCACATTTTTAAAGACCCTTATAACATCTACATGAACTGTTGACAAGAAAACAGGTTTTAGCTGTTAGATAACAGACAGCACATTCTTAAAGACCCTTGTAATATCTACATGAACTATAGACAAGAAAACAGGTTTTAGCTGTTAGATAACAGACAGCACATTTTTAAACACCCTTATAATATCTACATGAACTATAGACAAGAAAACAGGTTTTAGCTGTTAGATAACAGACAGCACATTTTTAAAGACCCTTATAATATCTACATGAACTGTTGACAAGAAAACAGGTTTTAGCTGTTAGATAACAGACAGCACATTCTTAAAGACCCTTGTAATATCTACATGAACTATAGACAAGAAAACAGGTTTTAGCTGTTAGATAACAGACAGCACATTTTTAAAGACCCTTATAATATCTACATGAACTGTTGACAAGGAAACAGGTTTTAGCTGTTAGATAACAGACAGCACATTTTTAAAGACCCTTGTAATATCTACATGAACTGTTGACAAGGAAACAGGTTTTAGCTGTTAGATAACAGACAGCACATTTTTAAAGACCCTTATAATATCTACATGAACTATAGACAAGAAAACAGATTTTAGCTGTTAGATAACAGACAGCACATTTTTAAAGACCCTTATAATATCTACATGAACTATAGACAAGAAAACAGGTTTTAGCTGTTAGATAACAGACAGCACATTTTTAAAGACCCTTATAATATCTACATGAACTGTTGACAAGAAAACAGGTTTTAGCTATTAGATAACAGACAGCACATTCTTAAAGACCCTTGTAATATCTACATGAACTATAGACAAGAAAACAGGTTTTAGCTGTTAGATAACAGACAGCACATTTTTAAAGACCCTTATAATATCTACATGAACTGTTGACAAGGAAACAGGTTTTAGCTGTTAGATAACAGACAGCACATTTTTAAAGACCCTTGTAATATCTACATGAACTGTTGACAAGGAAACAGGTTTTAGCTGTTAGATAACAGACAGAAGAGGGTTCAGAACATGAATAATTGTTACATTACATGTGGGCTATTGACAGGTGTATCAAGATATTTTATATGAAAATATTAAGTAGAATTTAATGGATTCTTTTTTATGAACCTTCTAAAATTTGTAGACTAAAATTTTAGCCAACAAAATTAACAAGATATTGAATAGTTCCCTAAAGATAAGCAACATACAATTTATAGTAATAGATATATCAGTTCCCTCTAATTTCCCTTATATTTAGACTAGATCAGTGTTTCATAACCCTGAGGGTTCAGTGAGTCACTCTCCGAGGTTCAACAAAGGTCTAAACACACACCTAACTCATATGATTCATGATCTGATTTTGTCAGTGCTGATGATAAAACTATATTAAGAGTTAATTGAAACTGGTGGGGTTCTGTACGTCCGAAAAGGTTAAGAACCACTGATTTAGACAAAGTTCCTTAAACACCAGACCTATAATATTTCCTGATTAAGTTCCCTTAAACTTACCATAGTTCCCAATGTTCTGTATTACATTCATGTAGGCTCTAACACTAAACAGCAGCTCAGAGGGTCTCGTAATCTCAGTGGTGTCAGGATTATACTTTATCAGTTTGATCAAAGCCCTTGGTAAATAAAGCAATGTAGAATTATACTTTATCAGTTTGATCAAAGCTCTAGATAAATAAAACATCAAGTAGAGTTATACTTTATCAGTTAGATCAAAGCTCTAGATAAATAAAGCAACAATTAGAATTATACTTTATCAGTTTGATCAAATATCTTGGTAAATGAAGCAACAATTAAAACTCAAATACTTTGTTTTAATTTTTATGGATAATCATTATCTAAAGGTGATAAAACAAGTTAATTAAAAAGTCTAGTGACAATTTTAGCGCAATTTCCTTATATCGAACCTCAGCTTATTAATAGGGTACAAAAATAACGTTTGATTTAATAAGTAAATTAAATCGAGATAAATCATATATTGAGCAAATAAATAATGCAACACAAGTAGTTTTAATAATTCAAAACAAAATAGAAAAAATATTTATTAACGAGATTTTTAAAAAAATCCTTTCGAGCCTCCGCTCATTCGCTATGGTAAAATCCTTTCGAACCTCAGCTTATTAATAGGGTACAAAAATAACGTTTGAATTAATAAGTAAATTAAATCGAGATAAATCATATATTCAGCAAATAAATAATGCAACACAAGTAGTTTTAATAATTCAAAACAAAATAGAAACTAGCCTCCCGTATCAGTCGAAAAAAAAGGGGAGAGTAGCCTCCCGTATCAGTCGAAAAAAAAGGGGAAAAATTTAAAAAATCCTTTCGAACCTCCGCTCATTAAAATCCTTTCGATCCTCAGCTTTTGCGCTAAAAACCTACAAGACGCTCAGTTTAAAAATTCTTAATTAATTTTTTGTGACCGAACGAAAGGATATTTTTGAAAACTTTCTTCAGCAATATTGGTTTAAATTATGGCAGGAATCGATTGGTAAATGTTTCAAGTCGCTAAGTGGTCTGGTTGCCTAGATATGTAGCAAAAACTGAATTTGTTCGAGGTTTTTTGGCTTTTACGGGAAATCCATGAAAGAAACCCGGAATTTTTATGGCCTATGTTCATCCTCGTAACTGGCTTAACATAATTGCTTTTGGAACTAGTCATCGATATTGCTTCGTTGAGGAGGAGATACGACTTAAAGCTGCGGACACACATTCATCCATCCATCCATCCATCCATCCAGAAATGACGGGTTAATAAACGCAATTCTCCAGAATGGAAATTGCGCTAAAATTATATCTTTTCAAAAAGTAAACCCACTTGTTAAAATTGCTCTCAAGACTTTGCTGAAAAAATTCTCTAGGGATAAAACCATGATCCCAGACATCAATGACAGCGGAGTAGTCTAGTGCATAACACAGGTCTGTCAGCGCCATGTTGAACTTGTCTATTCTAAAAAACAAAACAAAGTAGTGCATAACATAAGTCTGTCAGCGCCATGTTGAACTTGACAATTTATTCCTCAAAGCACATTGGCCAAAAAAAAAATGTAAACAGCTTACTGGAAGTAGGCTATGCAAACTTCATTAGAGAAGAAAGTACTAAAAAGGAAGTGGGGGTGTATGGGCACATTTTTAAAGGCAGAAAAAGTAGGCAGTTGTATGGAATTTAAGATGAAGAGGGGGAGGTCATGGAGATCTTTCTAGAAAGATGGGGGGGGGGGGGGGGTGGATTGTCATGGCTGGAAATAAAAATAATTTCTTTTTAAACTTAGCCAAGTGTCATCCTAGCATAGGTTCCTTAGGGAGCCAAAAAGAATAGGAAAGAAAGGAAGGATATGATAGCTCTAATTTCTCTAATTTCAAAGCACAATTTAAAATAAATTAATTCATATTTTGTACATAAAATTGCAGAGTTAAAAAGATTTACTGTGTAAAATTTTCTCTGTTCTTTCGAAAACTCTCCACCCCAGGTTTTTCAGGTTCCTGAAGTTTGTCTTTTTTCTCTTTTTTCTCCTTGGCCTTCATCCGAAGATAGTGTAAGATGGCTGCACTGTTACATGGCAGCAGCTGGGAGGGAAGATTACATTTTTGGTTTTATTTGATGGGATAGGGAATAAACAACAAAAAGGTAATAAGGTAAACAAATTCCAGAAACTAATTTAATTTTTGGGACCAATGGGTTTACTCTAGCTCAGCCAGGTGAATAATCACTTGACTTACCTTATCAGCCATGCCATCACACAGGTGAATGGTCACTTTACTTACCTTACACTCTAGCTCAGCCAGGTGAATGATCACTTGACTTACCTTACACTCTAGCTCAGCCATGCCATCACACAGGTGAATGATCACCTGACTTACCTTACACTCTAGCTCAGCCAGGTGAATGATCACTTGACTTACCTTACACTCTAGCTCAGCCATGCTGTCACACAGGTGAATGATCACCTGGCTCAGTTCCTCTGAGATTTCCTTCAACAGCCAATGTGCATATTTCAAACTTGTTTTCCCTATTGCAATCCTCTAAAAAACATTTGAAAATAACAACTAGTCAAGAACAGTTTCAATACAACATAACCAAACATTTAAAAATAAAAGTGGCGTTGGAGGGAATGCAACTTAAAATATCAGAAAAACAAGTAAACCCCATGACTGAATTAAATTATTTTTAGTTTATAAACAAATTTAAAACAATATTCTTTATTCTTGTACATTCTTTTTATTTTATAGTTAGATTTTTCTACAGAAATAAAATGTTGCTTTATTTCTGCTATTTAAATTATTATGTAAAGAATATGAATCATATTTTCTAAAATATTTTTTATGAAAATATAAAATTGTTTTATGTTTATGTCAAATTTTTAAAAAAGTCAAAACATTAATGACACACAATGGTAGCAAAACTCACCTCTTCAGGACAAAGTGGATGTGTGGCATTCATGAAATGGCTACACAGCAAAGGGAAAATGATAGTGAACCTGTGTTGTGCCAGGAAGTCAATGCACTGCTTGAAGTGTTGCTCAAACAGGGTGCAGTAAAAACTAGACATCAAAACAAATCAGTTAACAAAAAAATAAATAAATTAAAAATAATGTAAAACAAAAAAATAGCCTAATTAAAATTCATGTTCTAGATCTATAAGATAATATTCAAAACAAACATTTAAATATCCTTAATTTATCAATAGACTTTATGCTTTTAGAATTTTTTTTTTTTTTTAAATATTGTCCATCTATGATAAAGTCCAATGATTTTGTGTTTGCTAATGTACCAGTAAATTGAAAGATCCCCAGTCTCATCTAGTGTTTCATCTAGCAAGTCCACCATTTTTGTATGGAAACAAATTGTGTTCATGTGCTTGGCTATTTCTTCATGACTTCTAAGTTCAAGGCCAGCTTTACTGACACTGGTTCGAGCCTGAAGCAGAAGAGAGACAAGGTGATTTAATCATTTGTAAAAAGTAAAAGCTTATCTGACAACATGGGCAAAGCCCAATTACAGAGCAAAACTAGAGGAGCTGGTACATTTTCTGAACAAAATACATGAATCACTTGGTTTGAAATTAAGGGGGAATAAAACAAACAGGGACCTACATGAATCACTGTGGAAATTAAGGGGCAATAAGAATTGTACAAAAATTACTTTGTGGAAATAAATGTAGAAAGAAAATAAATATTTTTAATAAAAAAAGAAGCATAAGGAGAAGATAACTATAGTTAAAACTCAATGTATTCCATGTAGTTTTATTAGAATAAGATTAAGTTTATTTCTACCTGAAGCCTAAACCAGTCTAGACGAAATCCTTTAAAATCAAACGGCTCTGATGGGTTTTCTGAAAAAATTTAAACATCCTACATTTTAAATCAGTCATAAAAACTGAGAGTTAAAAAGTGAAGAGTACTTAAAAGTTTGTGCAAAAAACCTCTCCAGAGAAAACTGTAGGTTAATTAATTTTGTTTTAAAAGAGCTCTGCTTTTTTTTTTATATGATATCATCCTGTTTGTTTACCTAGTGTGGGGATCTCTGAGAGATACTTTTGTAAAGAGCTGAGTGTTGCTGTATCATCATTTGGTGGGATGTAAATAGACTAGGGAAAAATCATAATATGAAGTTAAATACATAATGTTAAAAAATAAGATATTTAAAAAAATGTTTAATAAACAATGAAAGAAGTTATGTTGAACGCTGAGGTTTTATAAAACTTATAAATAAAGTATTATTTAAATGTGGCAATGCTTTTTATACTTATTCTAATAAACTATTTAGACTAGTAATTCTCAGAAAAAATACTTCATTTTAAGGACTAATATGTTTTAATACAAATATTTTAACTGTAATTAATTTTGTTGGTTCTTATAAGATTACTTGTAATTAATTTATTGAAGGTTGATTGAAGGACACATAAAAAATGAAGGAAAATAAAATGTTTACTTGTAAGAGATGAGCAAGTTGTAGAGCATCATAACCTGACAAGTACTGAGTGAAATAGTTTCGGACAATCTTCCTGTGTTTTTTAAGCAAACCTGGAGAGAAATTTAACAAGTAGTTTTCCATGTAAAGAAAAGTAGATTTAATTATCTGTCAATGGCCTTAATTATGACCTTACCTCTCAGGTCTTCAATGTAAAACAACAGCTCTGGTAGTTGCCTGCCAAAATAACAAAAAATAAAAAAGTTATTGTTGAAAGAGAAAAATATCTAACTAAAAATATCTTCAAAATTTGATACCTTTCTAGTTTTTTTATATGTATAGATTCAAGACTAATCAGATGATCTATTTGTCATTAAACAGGGAGATCATTATAGCTAAAACAAATTCAGATTACCTGTCACTGAAATCATCAGCAGACACCTTCACATTGTACTTCTTAGGCTGGAGGTTCTCTGAGTGCCTGATTAGCCACAAGACTTCATCTCTAGCTAGAGAGAGTGCTTGGAAAACATAAAGAGCCTGGAAAGATTTATGCAAAGTTAATTATGTTAACAAAGAAATATTAACAGACATTTTTGGAAAAATAAACATAAAGCAAAGTATGTAAGGGGAGTTAATGATTTATAAAAGAAAGCTAATTAGCTCCCCTTAAATACATAGTTGAAAACTGACAGACCTTGGGTCCAAGCAATCCTGGTTGTTCTCTAAACACTAGGGTTAAGTCTCTCATTGTGATACGCAAAAACTTTCTCCGATCTCTGTGTACCACTGAACTGTTGAAAAAAATTGTACTGTGTCATATAAAGCATACTATAAAATGTTATATATATTTTTTAAAACAAATTAAGCAAATACTCATAAGATTTTTTATGAAAAAAACACAGATAATGAGTGATTATTAATATAATTTTAACATACGATTTTTGTAATGCATAGGTTTGGTATTCCTTCAGTTCTGCTACTCTTTTGTTTTGCCTATTAAGAAGAAAAATGAGAATTTCAGATGACATAAATGTAGAAACACTAATTATTTTAATTAAAATCATAATTGAAACCTTGATGACTCATACATAATACACATTCAAAAACAATTATCTACCTGTGTAATTAATAATAATTCTAGTTTATTTTTAGATAAGTATTTTTATATATAAAAACATACCCTTTAATACTTTCTAGAAAAGAGATTGCAAAACTGTGAATTTGTAAAGTTTCATTTCGAAACAGGGTAACAACAAAACCAGCCTGAAAAGCACTTTTCCAGAGATCAGCAATGTCGGGTTCAGCCAATCCTTGGTAACAGAGCATGAAGCCAACTGCAAACAATTGACAAGTTAAAGAAATACTAAGCTCACATCTCAGAACAGAGATAATTAAAAACATCAATCTCAGAATAAGCTTTTAAATAAAGATATGAAATGGGTAAATTATAATTTATGTATAAGTGAAAGGAGAAAAAAATGTAATTTCAAATCATTCATAATAGTGTAATTCAAATATAAATACTCATTTAATAGCTTGAATTAGCAAATAAAACTCAAAATTCCTTTTTGGTAAGTGATAAGTTAAAACCAGAATAAAACAATCATTAGAAAACTCACAAATTATCCACTTTTCAATTCTTTCTAACGATAAGTAATCACATTGATACTGAAAAATTAAATGTTTGTATAGATGTAATTGAAAATTTTTAAAATGAATTTAAAATCGATAACAAGATTAATTATTAAGTTAATTTAAATTATACAAAACAAAATAATAAATTTGAGATAAATATTTTAAAATAAAATATTCACATTTAAAAAGCATAATCAAGAAAAAAGTTGTTTAAGTTTACCGTATCTGTTAAGGGTATTGTGCCCATCTTTGTTGGATCAGCTAAAATGGCAAGGAACGACAAAGCCCTTAACTCATCAGCTGTTTTATTTCGCAATGGATACACTTTTTTAAGTGATAAAAGTGCAGTTACCATATGCTAAGGAGAAAAATGAAAATTACCTGCAATTGCACTCATAACATCTGTATACATTTTATTGGGCTTTCTACATTTTCAAAACATTAACATATGAAACTATATTCAATAAAAGATCAAATTAAAAGATGTGTATAAATATCATAAAATAATATATTTCACTTTTCACTGAGGGGGAAATATGCACAACATGTATCTTTTAAATATAAAATATCTTTAGTTTAAAACATTTCAGAGAAAAAAGCATTAGGATTGGGCATAGGAAAATAATCTAGTTATCATGTATACCTTTCCATGGGGAATGAACTCCTCTGCTAATTTCTTCATTGGAATATCATAATCAATACACATCTGCCCAAGTCTGTGGTACGACTGATCACTGATAAATACATTTTAGAAACAAGTCAGTAAAAAAATAATTTATTTTATTTTCTCTAATTTTGTAAAATATCAATCTGAACTATATAATTAAATAAAACACAATTGTTAATTTTCTTTCCATTTTCAAAATCAAACTACCTCTTCTCATGCACAAATTCATGAGCACTGTTGTAAAGGGCCAGTACTGATTTGCGATCATCAATCTGCATGATCAATATCATGATGGACACATATGTAGTGATAAGATCTAAATAATTTTTTGTCAGGTCATAGTTCAGTGTCTGGAATAAAAAAAATAAAGATATTTTTTTAAAACTGTGGAATCACTCAAAAAAATTATGCCTTCTCCAGCAGAATATACAGTTGTTTTGTTAAAAAACAGAATTTGTCAGCTTTGGAGATGAAAACAATTACTTACTATATCAAAATGAACTTGGCAGGCATCAATGGTAGTCAAAAGTTCAACAATATGATCCTAATTTAAAAAAAAAAGATGAAACTTATAATTATAAAAGCCAGTGTTTTAAAATTAAGTTTATTATTATTTTAATCATTTTAAGTGTGTAAATATTTACTATAATTATTTTTTACATTAAAAAATGTTCAAATGGTGTTTACCTTTAGCATTAATACATCAACGAAGGTGTTATAGAAAACTGACAAAGAGTTTACAATTGCATTTTTCATTTCATTCACGACAGAAAGCTGGGAAATAAATATATTAGGAATTTATGCTTTTTCAAAAAAAAACAACTCTTTATCCTATTTGCTTAAATAATATAAAAGTTTTTCTAAAGCTACATTTACCCATTTAAATTTCATAAGTGATTTCTATTAAGGAAAATTATTGAGGAAGCTAATAAAACATTTAAGGAATGTGTCATACTTACTTGGCTTGCTTTAGTGTCATAAAGGGGGAACTTTTTGAGCAGTACTTTTTCAATGACAGGATTCAATGCTTTGTCTTTCAAGATATCAGGTTTGAGTTCTGGAGTTCCAAGCATCTGTAATTAAAAACTCTCTTATTTATGCACATAATACTATAATTTTATTATTTTAATTTTATAATTCTAAGTTAGTAAGTCAATATCAATATATTATTACGTTACTAATTTTTAAAAAAATGTAGGCCTATTTTTTTTTAGTTACGGTGTCGTTACCTTTTTAATGTTGTAAATCCTAGTGAGCATTCCTATTCCTCTGTCATTAAGAATCGTCAGTTTTTCAGCCAACTTTTGTTGAGATATATTAATGGACTGGGCCATTTTTAAGCCTAGAAGATTTTAGGAACCTCAGTACAGTAAGACTCACACTAACAAGATTTTTACATGCTTCCTATTTTGACGCCAATTTACTTCCTACTTCGAAATAAATAAACAAACCAAGGGGAACTACTATGAAAAATAGTTTTAAGTTGTCTCAGTTGGATTTTACAAGATGGCGTCTGTTTAAGGAAGAGACGACCAAAAATTACTTTTAGTAGATCTATCTTTGGAGTTAAAAATCAGCTTAAGATTTATTTTTTAAAATGTCTCGAAGCATGATGCCGGCTCAGCAAAAGTTGGCTGAAAAGCTGACTATTCTAAATGATCGCGGAATCGGCATGCTCACAAGAATTTATAATATAAAAAAGGTAATGTCGGCAGGTTGAAGTTCGGATCAGGCCAAAAATAAAATTTTAAAATAAAAATGGGCCTACTACACTTAGTCTATAATTAAACTAGACTAGACTAGTCAATAAACCTACATGATTACTGCAGAATAGTTTAGTTTCTAACTATCTAGATCTGCTTTATACTTCCTAATCCATTACATTTAAAACTTTACAGATGCTTGGAAGTCCTGAAAACAAACCAGCATTTTTAAATGATAAATCCTTACAGCCAGCTATAGAAAAAGTGTTGTTGAAAAAGTTTCCTCTTTATGACAGCAAAGCAAGCCAGGTAACCATAGTAATTTTTTCTGATATGTTAATGGCCATTAATGGGTATGTGTATGTAAGTATAATATTTAGGGCCTCGGCCTATAGGTACACCTAATTGATTTTAATTAGGCCCCTAGGCCTAGACTTCTAGAGACTTTCTCTCGAGTTCATTGAAGGACTTCCAGAATAATTTTTCTTGTGTAGATAGTTGAGATTAATGCAATTCATTCTGTTAGGGATTGAAAGATTCAAAATATCTCTATTGTTTTCATTAGCTAGGCCAATGCTGCTGCCGAGAAAATCGGACAAATCGGCTTTTCCCTACCCCCTGCATGTTTAGCTCTGTTTTTTGCATGCTTTTATTGTGTTTATGTTAACATATTATACATCATTCTGTTCGTAATTGAACAACCTTTTTAACTGTATAAGTTTGATTTCTTTATTATTTCAGACGTTGAAGAAATCGCCGATTTAATCGCATTTTTTACCCCCCGCGGCGACGTGCCGATTAGGGGGGAGGCTTTTTCACCTTTTTAAAAGAGGGGTGTTACTTAGAGTCTATAGACTCTTTGAGTTTTCGTACTACAACAGTGAAACTTGGTAGAAGAATAGATTAAAAGTTCACGTATAACGCTCAAGGTTCTTGGGGAAAATATGTTAAATACTTTTGGAGATATCGAACGGCAAAGTTGAACTAAGTTATTTGGGCTATTAATGAACCGATTTTTAATTTGAACCTTGAGCTGTATTCCTGAAATCTCGACGTTTATTAATATGTATGATATGTCATATTAGGCCCTATAATAAGGACGTCTATAGACTTTGAAGTGGACCGAAAATCAAAACATGACGCGCCGACCGCTGTCCGACTGAACCGCTCGGCTGTGCTTCGAATCGCTGCGTTTTAAATATGACGCGCTACAAATTTTTTTTATAGACGTATCGAGTTTACGTACTACAACAATCAAATTTGGCAGACGAACAGATTAAATGTAGACGTACAACGCTCAAGGTTCGTGGTCAAAATAAGTTAAATACTTCGGGAGATATCGGACCGCAAAGTTGAACTAAGTTTCCCGGTCTATTATTTGACCTATTTTACATTTGAACCTTGAGCTGTATTCCTGAAATCCCGCCGATTATTTTAATGTATGACATGTATTATAACACCTCATAATAAAGCCGTCCATACATTTTAAGACGGAACGAAAATAAAAATTAACGCGTCGGCCGCCGTCCGACTGAATCGTGATCTACACATCGTGTAGCACAGCCCAGTGTGTGGTCACGTGACGCTAGGCGGTCGATCCGATTGGATGAGACTATAAACAATTTCTAAAGATAGATACCTGTGTTCCCGTATTTGACTCGTCGGGTATTGCTATTTTATATTTAAGTAGACAGGCATGTTTCATAACTTTGTTTTAAACCATTGAAACGGCAAAAAAAGTCGTAATAGTATTTACTAATCGTCAAAATTAATCTTCTTTAGAAATTAATCCGGATAGCTGCGACCCGACCAAACAATGCTGACGTGATTCGCGTGCCGTAACGTTTCATTATTGTGTACATTACTTTTCCTTAAAAATGGCTTTAACTTTAAAAAATAAATTAAATTTTACCCCGGGCTCTTTTTTCGGTTGACTAAAAATTTTTAAAACCCTTAACAACGTGGAGGTTACTAGCTTGCCAAATCGACCAAAATGGGATGGGGTGGGTATGGGGAGTCACTGACCATCCTACACGGTATGTAACTATTGTAACACCGTATGTAACATCCATAGCCTCACTCCGCCCCCACTACTCCGTGACGCGACAAGCCGACGGTCGGCGCCTTTGATGTTGTATAACACCCATACGGTACCCGAGCGGCTCGCGGTGGTTTCATACCCCACCTCCCTCCCCCTTCACTTTGTGGAGTTGATGTTACTAACCCTCGGGCATAGATCAGGAAATCTTCCCAGACTTTTGTCTCTAAAATTACATAATATTCGTCTGACACGTTCATCGGGTTGGCCGACTAGCCTATCTAGCCTCGTGTTTACGTAATACGGGAATAAAATTCGTTGGTCAGAAAACCTGGTTACCCACGTCTGATTGAACTAAATCTAGGCAAATGCTGATGGTGATAAACGCCTCCGTGTTTAGCTAGACACGGGAAACTTTTTAAAATGCCTAGCATCTACTACACACAGCCAAGCACTCAAACACATGCTTTTTTTCCCCAATGTAATAGGCCTATGGTAGGCCTACAAAATACACAAGCTTACAACTAGCATAAACATTGAGCATATATAAATCTATGTTATAGACCTATAACTTACACTACCTTGTACAAGCTAAAAAAAAAAAATTTCCTCCAATGTTTATGTTATTAAAATTGTAAAAATGAGCAATTTTTTTGTGTTTAAAAATATTACAAAATTGTCATAAAGCACACTGATTCTGATAAGACACATTTGTAACTAGGCTAATTCTATAGAAGAAAGTTGTATCAATGGTATGACATTTAAAGTAACAAGAAATATAAATATAATAAGATATGCCTATATTTTTGGAATAGAGTAGGCCTGTAGGATTGCACATAGATTACATAACATATTTTAAGAAGTTACATCATCACAAATATACTATTGTTATAGCATCCTTCTCTTTGTATTAAAACTGTATTAGTTATCTTTTCTTTAAGTTTCTTTAAGTAGGCTATTCACTTAAGTTAACTGACAATGAGCAAAAGAGATTTTAAAATAAATACATGGTAAATTATGAGCAAAAGGTGCGAATTACATAACCTGACCTTTATAGTTTTGTAATAATGTTCGACCATTTTAAATATCACCATTAGCTTCAGCATATTCAAATGTCATATTATGGTTTAAAACAGTGTTTAATTTAAAGAATGACTTCTTATCACACGTATTATCAGATGTTGTAAAAAAAATTGAAGGGGGGTATTACATAATCCATGAAATAAGTCTGTTATGTAATCAAAAGACACTTTTTAAAATAGCATCATTGGATTCGGCATACACAAATCTACAAAATATCATAAAATGACATCAATTGGTGAAGTCTGCTTGCTTTTATACCACTTTTAGTGAAAAACTCTTTAAAATTTGGTCCATACCCTCCCAGTATTTTTCCTCTTTCAGGGTCTACCCCGGTTGTCTGAAAAAACTGCTGTTTTTTAATGACAAAACAAATCATAACTTTTTTGTTTATGGTCAGATTTTGAAAATTCAAACTGATATGTAATCAGATTGACAGCCCCTATCTAAATATGTAACTATTATATTGTTTTACTGAAATTAAATTTTTGCATTGGCCTAGCTATTTTCATTTAGCCTATTGACCATGATTTATGTATCAGGATATCTAAAACAGACCAGTATTGAGGGGGGGGGGGGGGGGAATGTGACACTCATTCATGGTGAATTTTAACCACCAGGATTTGAATGAATTAACAATTAAATAAATGGTGTTTTGTTTCATGATTAAGATAATAATATACGAGCTGACACGCGACATAGCATACACCGCTATTTAGTTTAATTTCTATTTTACAGTAATTCATAATTTGTGAATTCAACACTACCAATGCTGCTACAAAAAATATTTTGCTTTAAAACACTATCAGTAGTTAGTGAAAGACGATTATCCTCACCCTCTCTTTCCACTCCTCCCCCCCCCCCCCCCCCCCCCACACTCCGCCTCAGTAAAAGCAGCCGTCTGTGACAACAGTTTACAGGGGACAATGAAAAGAGCAAGCGGAACATGTTATTATCTCCCCTTAGTTTCAAATTGTTTAAAAACTAAATTATCTGCCCTTAATAGCTGTCACTACGGTTGTAACAGCTCACCAGTCTGGTGGGGGTGGGGTGGTAGTGTTATAGTCTGTTGAGCTTATGTCTTTGTGTCTCCCGCATGGTCCCAATGAATAGAATCTATATATATAATTCTCTTCTGGGAGCCGTTAGAAAACAAGCTCCTTGCAGTCCCCTCTCTTTCTCTCTATCACTGCCACCCCCACCCCACCCCCACATTGTCTGGTGAGTTGTGGTCACGCTAAATGTTTACAAAGCTAAATGTTTACAAATCGTAGTTTCTATTAGGGGCAGATAATTTAGTTCGATTTTAAACTAAGAAATAACTAAGAGGAGGCTGCTTTCACGGGGGGGGGGGGGGGGGGGGGGGGTGTTTTAAAGCAAATATTTTCAGTGGCTGCATTGGTACTGTCGAATTCACAAATTATGAATTACTGAAAAGTAGAAAATAAAACAACTAAATTATTAAATAGCGGCGTATGATACGCTGCGGGTCGGCTCGTTACATATATATATATATATATATATATAGATTCTACTTTTCAGTAATTCTTATTTTTTAAAATTCAACACTACCAATGCTGCGACTGAAAATATTTTGCTATAAAACACTTTCAGTAGCTCGTTAAGGATGATTATCCTCCCCCTTCCTCCCCCACCCCCTCGTGAAAGCAACCGTCTTTGACGACAGTTTACAGACGACAATGAAAAGATCAAGCATAACTTATAATTACCTCCCCTTAGTTTCAAATTGTTTAAAAACTAATAGCCATCACTTCTATTGTAAACATTGGGGGTGAACCACAGCTCACCTGACAGGTGGGGATGGGTTTGGTAACGATATACCTAGAAAGCGGGGTAGGAACAGCTAAGCTGCGTGGTGTCTTGTATGATTCCCATGAAGAGAATTATATATATAGATACTAGATACAATGTGTAAAGCAACTATAACTGTCTTTGTCTTGTTAGAAATAAGGTAAATAAATCAGCTTAAGTATAAAATATACAAACTATAGTCATAGAGAAAACTTTTTAAAATATATGGAAACAACTTTTAACTACAAACCTTGTTTTTTTTTCAGCTCAATGTAGTTAATCAGATTAAAACTGATATTATCAAGAGCCTTTCTCTTTACTACTACACATTTGTAGATATTTTAACACTAAAGGTAAGTTTATATTACAATAATCTATAATTGTTCTCTGCATGAATATACTTATTTTTCAACTTACTAGCCTCATTAAAATACTTTTACAATTGTCAATTTAAACATGTAACTAAACAACACATGGATTTGTCTGTCATAAAAAATGTGTACAACTGCAACCCACCCATACATATCACACACCACACCTTAACTTTCTTCACTCCATTATTAATTCACTAAGTTAACTCTGGTTACAATGCATCTGCAGTAAACCACACAAAATATTACTCCTCCCCACCCCCAACATTTGTTTTCCCCTCTCCTCTGTCTCCCCAACCCCTTTTATTATTATTTTTTTTATTATTAAGCCTATGTAAATAATGTTTGACTCTAAATGTATTTACACTATCAGGATAGTATTGTTGATCTTCTAACCACCATTGATGCTTGCCAAGTTCAAATGGATATTGTAAGTTTTAGGCTTAAACAGGCCATAAGAAACTTTAAAATACTTGTATTCATATAGATTTGTTTTATTCTTGGTTATTTAGCTTTGAATATTTTTTTTATAAATATTATTTTCAGTTTAAAAAAAAAAAATTCTCTAAATATAATGAACACTATTTTGTATTTCTTTTGAATATTTTTAAACGATAGACTCTTGTTTATATTTTTGTAGACGCTGAACTTTGATCTGACCAAAACCTATCTGGAGCTAATTGCAACTTATGTATCCATAATGATTCTTATGTCAAAAGTTGATGACAGGAAGGCTGTGTTGGCACTCTACAACTGTGCTCATGAATACATGCATGGTAAAAGGTATAAAAGGGCTCTAAGATCCTTTTTATGTTATTTGTCATATTCACATATCAGCTATTAATTACGTTTCTCTCTTAATTTTTTTTTGACATCCTCTGACTATACTTATAATAAAAAAAAAGATAACATATATTAAAATCTTGTTAAAAATGACAACGGGTTGCAGTCATTGATGAGTTTAAAATAAAATCTGTGTTAATTAAGGCTCTTAAACATGGTTTTGTTATAAAAGTTTGTTTCTTAATGCCGTTGTTAGTCAATAATTCACTCAGAATATATTAAAATATTAAACTGATTTTGTTTTTTAAGTGACCAGTCATATCATAGACTTGGACAGATGTGTCTTGAGTATGATCCTCCCATGAAGAAACTAGCTGAAGAATTTGTACCTCATGCTAGGGTAAGTTGACATTATCAGATTTGCAGATTATTGATATTTTTGTCATTTTCTTGTATCTAATTTATTTTAACTTAGTCTTAAACTACTGCTTCTGATATATTAACAAAAAAAATGATTAAAGATCATTATACTTAAACCAGATGTTAAAATATATTAACAAATACTTATGTCTGTGTCTAATTTATTTAAAGCTAGAGCTAACATAAGTTTTGGCATTAAGCTCATAATCTTTTCATATAGTTTGTCAGCATAATAATCAGCTTTTTCTTCTTATTAGTTTAGAATCTAATTCTGTGTGTAAGTTGTATAATATTTCATCAACACATAGTGTCTTTTGTTTTTAGCATTTGATGCCTGCCCTGATGTCCCTTCACAAAGTTTACCCTGTTCGCAATGTACCTGCTGAACTGATGAGAAACAACCAGGTTCTTGCCATTCTCTCTGAGCCAGCTAAAATGGCATCTGTTCCAGTCACTGACATGGTTTGTTCCCTATCTTTTCCTTTGTCAAATTTTATAGACTTTAAAGTATTTTCTTCAATTATCTAAGATATATTATAAAATATTTTGTAATCATCAACTACCATAATCATGGGATTGTTTAAGAAATTGTTGTTCTTGTCTTCCCAGATTCAGTGTGAATACTTATCTCTTGATGCTGTTGAAAGATGGATTATATGTATGTTTGAAAATTTTAAAATATTACATTAGTTATATTTATGTTGTATGCTTTTTTGTTTGATAAGTTCCTCAGTATTAACATTTAAAATCTTAAGGTAAATGCAGTTGTTCTTTAGATGTAGTAGTTGTAGTTAGCATGTTTTTATTGGAACACAGGCTATCAACAATAATTTTCTAAGCAACTGACACGAGCTTATCTCTTTACCTGCTCCCAGGGGTAACCCATCTTTCTCATAACATCCTTCTGGTCAAGCCAGCAAGGTTTTCTTGGTGTTCCTCTCTTAATAAAAATTTCTTTTACACTTATTTCCAGTTGGACTGATGTTGTGCCATCAGAGCCTGGGTGATCCCCTGCCCTGGGACCTGTGGAAGCAGGCACTCCAGGGCAGTTACATCATCACTCTGTGCCGCAACGAGGTCTTGCACACCCACAGCTACATCATCAGTTTCTTTGAGACTCTGAGGGGGTCAGTGTTGTTGTTCATTTTTTAGCTGCACTTTTCATTTTATTTCAAATAGCAAAAATCTTTTTTATGCATTCTACAATTTAAGTTTGTAAATCATTTACTGCAAGTAATTGCATTTTTTAAAAAACTAAAACAACTAAAATATATTACTCTTTAAAAATTATGGTGCTCAGATTTTAAGTAATTGAGAATCTAGTAGTATTAGTAATACTTTCTTGCTCATGCTAAATGAATATAAGCAACAAGATTTTTCATGGTGGAAGTTGCATCATCATAAAATTAAACAAAGTATTAATTTTGTTCTAAAATATTTATAAAATAGTTGTAGTCCTGGACCCACCTTTATAAAATTAAAATATTTATGAAAAATTAACAGGGTATCTATCTATATATATAATTCTCTTCTGGGATCAGTTAGAAAACAAGCTGCAAGCGCGCCTTTGCAGTCCCCTCTCTTCCTCTCTATCTCTATCACTACCACCCCCACCCCACCCCCACATGATCTGGTGAGCGGTGTTCACTCTGTTTACATTTTACAATCATAGAGACGGGTTTGGTGACGGCTATTAGGGGCAGATAATTTAGTTTGAAACGATTTAAACTTAGAGGAGGTAACTAAGAGGAGGCTGTTTTCACGTGGGGGGGGGGGGGGGTTAGTGTTTTTAAGCAAATATTTTCAGTGGCAGCATTGGTACTGTCGAATTCACAAATTATAAATTACTGAAAAGTAGAAAAAAAACAACTAAATAGCGGCGTATGATACGCAGCGGGTCGGCTCGTAACATATATTTTCATATTTTTACAATAATGTTTATTTCTCTTTTAGGCAGCACAAGAGGGTAGCTGAGTTAAAGGAATTCCAGGTTCAAGCTTTGCAAAACTCGTGAGTTCATTATTATAACACAAGGATAATAAATCATTTTTTTAAAAACATTAACCCAACTTAATATAATGTAAACCATTTTAATTGAGAACCATTAATTGCTGTTTTTATTTAAAATGTAGACGGAATTTTGATTTAACCCTTACTAGTAATTTGAGTAATAATTTTTAACTGTCAATGTCTACAATAAGCTAGTTTGGTTTATTTTCACAGGCCAGCACTACACAGAGAAAGGCGGAAGTTTTTACGCAGCACTCTAAGAGATCTGACGCTTGTCTTTACTGAGGAGCCAGGGCTGCTAGGACCAAAGGTAAAACTTTTAATGATGCTGGAACTTTTATTTGCCCTATGCTTGCATTGTATTTAGCCGTACCACTGAACATTATTTAACAAAACACTTAGTGTTAAAATATCAATAAGAGTAGCTTCCCTTTTGTCATGAGTTTTACTCTTTTATTGTCATGATATGTAATTTTATTGTTTTGATACCAACCTTAGTTTACATTAGAAGCAATTTTAAAAAATATTAACATTGATAATTTTTTTAGCAGAGCTAAGCTGGCAGTGCTATTTTTATCTATTTAAGAAGACCCTCTCCTTTGTATTTTGCAGGCTATGTACATCTTTCAAGGTCTGTCTTTAGCCAGAGATGAGGTACTCTGGCTGTTAAGGCATGTAGTCAACCCACCCTCTAAACGGCATAATGTCAAGATGTCTCCTGAGGATTTTTATGATAGGTGGGCACCATATTTTGTTGTGATGGATTTTTTAAATTTGTGGACACACACCAAACTTTTGTATTCAGATAACTATTTTTTGTATAACAAACACATTTTAATACCTCCCAGTGAAATATTTTGATGTAATGTTTAATTATATTTAGGCTTTGTTAAGATACTTTTCCTAATAATTAAAAGATAAATTCTTTACATAGGCAACTTCCTGAGCTACTGTTTTACATGGAGGAGTTAAGGGGTAAGTTTTCAGTTAAACTTTACATAAGCATGTTGGAGTTTAGTTTGACTTAAACTATATTAGAATTTTAGTTTAGAAATTTTATGAATAATAATATTTTACTTAAAAATTATACTTAGGTTTGGTAAAGAAGTATAATGAGGTGATCCAGCGATATTATGTCCAGTACTTATCTGGTTATGATGCTGTCTATCTTAATCAACTTATTCAAGTAAGTTTGCTTCTTTCTAAATGAGAAAAGTTTAGTAGGCTATTCTTAATATATCTTACATTTGTTTATTTTAATTGTTAAGAGGCTTCATTCCCCATGTTATTTATTGAAATTAATTTTTTTTTTTTTTTGCTTTTAAATTGAAGAACATCACAATGTGTCCAGAAGATGAATCAATCATCCTCTCTTCCTTCTACAACAGTATAGCAGCCCTGTCAGTTCGTCAAGGTAAATGATGCATTCACTTAACTGATGCAGATTTTTTATAGCCCTTTTGTGTTTTATTTAACAACAATATCACATAACTTAATCACTCTAAAGTAACAATGTCAATAAAATTTAATGAAGTAGATATTATAAGTTAGAAACTTGAAAGTTTTAAATTTGAAAGATAGACACTGTTACTTATTTTAAAATTGTGTATTTTACCAGTGGAAAAGAATGAGCTATTTGACTTCAGAGGGTTCAGGCTTGACTGGTTTAGATTACAGGTACAGATAACTTTACCACTACTTAGATGAGTGTTTTTTTATCACATTTAGTATATACACTGTTTGGCTTTTTGTGTTAACTTGCCCTATGTCCTTAATAAAATCTGTTATAACTTTGCATATTTTTACTCAATCTTGTTTGACTAAAGCTACCTTTGCATTAAATGTGTTTGTTCAACAAAAGAATAAATGATCCTATTACTAGTTTGGAACTAAGCCAACACCACATTGCTCACTTAACTTAAGATGTATGTTTAGATCTGTAAAAATGTTATAACCTGTCAAATTCTAACCCAGGCATACACCACATACCTCACCTAACTTAAGATCTATTTCTAAATCTGACCACATACCTCACCTAACTTAAGATCTATTTCTAAATCTGACCACATACCTCACCTAACTTAAGATCTATTTCTAAATCTGACCACATACCTCACCTAACTTAAGATCTATTTCTAAATCTGACCACATACCTCACCTAACTTAAGATCTATTTCTAAATCTGACCACATACCTCACCTAACTTAAGATCTATTTCTAAATCTGACCACATACCTCACCTAACTTAAGATCTATTTCTAAATCTGACCACATACCTCACCTAACTTAAGATCTATTTCTAAATCTGACCACATACCTCACCTAACTTAAGATCTATTTCTAAATCTGACCACATACCTCACCTAACTTAAGATCTATTTCTAAATCTGACCACATACCTCACCTAACTTAAGACGTATGTTTAAATCTGACCCAGGCATACACCACATACCTCACCTAACTAAAGTTGTATGTTTAAATCTGACCACATACCTCACCTAACTTAAGACATATGTTTAAATCTGACCACATACCTCACCTAACTTAAGACATATGTTTAAATCTGACCACATACCTCACCTAACTTAAGATGTGTTTAAATCTGACCACATACCTCACCTAAGACATATGTTTACATCTGACCCAGGCATACACCAGTGTCAACAAGGCAGGCCTGGAGCTGAAGAACCACCAGGAGCTGGCCAAGCACATGAACACAGTCGTCTTCCACACCAAGATGGTGGACTACCTGGACGAGATGATCAATGAGACGGGGGATCTGTCCATCTATTGGTGAGAGATGGTCAATGTGGCGTCCTGGTGTTAGGTTCTATAATAAATGATGGAGTGGGTCCACTTAAATGATGGAGTGGGTCCACTTAAATGATGGAATGGGTCCACTTAAATGATGGAATGGGTCCACTTAAATGATGGAATGGGTCCACTTAAATGATGGAATGGGTCCACATAAATGATGTAATGGGTCCACATAAATGATGACTGATGAGACAATTGATCTGGCCATCTATTGGTGAGAGATGGTCAATGTGTTGGGTTCTATAATAAATGATGGAGTGGGTCCACTTAAATGATGGAATGGGTCCACTTAAATGATGGAATGGGTCCACTTAAATGATGGAATGGGTCCACATAAATGATGTAATGGGTCCACATAAATGATGACTGATGAGACAATTGATCTGGCCATCTATTGGTGAGAGATGGTCAATGTGTTGGGTTCTATAATAAATGATGGAGTGGGTCCACTTAAATGATGGAGTGGGTCCACTTAAATGATGGAATGGGTCCACATAAATGATGGAATGGGTCCACATAAATGATGGAATGGGTCCACATAAATGATGGAATGGGTCCACATAAATGATGGAATGGGTCCACATAAATGATAACTGATGAGACAGTTGATCTGGCCATCTATTTGTCAGAGCTGGTTACTGTATTAATCAATTTGGTTATATTTTCTGTTAGTTATAATCAACAAAGGAAGTTGGTCTATAAAAATAGCATTCATAACACAAAATAGCCTTTATACATCTATTGTATTTTTCATGGCATGGATGCAGTATTAAAACCATTGATCAATTGTAAATTGTTTTTTGGAAAAAGTTGCAGAAAAACTCTTTTAAGTTTTTAATGTTTGAATATACATGAGATGCTTGTGCAGCAAAGTGCACAATCAACGACACATAAACCATGAGTTTGATTCCAGACATTATGTACAATTCCCCTAAGTTCATCCAGTTCTAATTGATACCTTTCTTCAGAGAAAACAAAGAATGCTGGGCCTCGCATTAACTCCACTATCCCTTCATGTGCTTAGGTCACTGAATAGTTGAACTCAAATTTATCTTCCCTAATGATTATCATCTCCAAAATCTTGATTGTTTTATGTATGTTCTTCATGTATATCTTAAGACAGCTGATATAGTTATATAGCAGCTCATGCAATTCTGTTTCTGACCATTTTCTACACCATAGTTTTACAGTGGCTCATAATATTCTGTTTCTGATCATTTGCTAAACCATAGTTTTATAGTAGTAAGATTCTGTTTCTGACCATAGTTCTATATTAGCTCATAAGATTCTAATTCTGACCATTTGTTAAACCATAGTTTTATATTACCTCATAAGATTCTATTTCTGACCATTTGTTACATCATAGTTTTATATTAGCTCATAAGATTCTGTTTCTGACAGTTTCTACACCACTTTGTTTGAGCATCAGTTCAAGCAGTGTATGGAGTTTCTGGCCCAGCATCGCTACAGCATTATCTTCCCCATGATCTGCAGTCACTTTATGAATGCCACTCACAGCTTATGTCCTGAGGAGGTAAGCCCAGCAGTGCTGTTTAAATGTGCAGAACACAAAATAAAATAGTTAGATAATAAAACATTTTAAAAACTTCATGCTTGGCTAATTTTATTGATAAAACTAAAAAAAAACCCATTTATTTTGTTTTTAAAACATGGTATATTTCCTCCCATACCTACTTGAACCAACCATAACCCTTGAGTGTGTAAGAGAAATTTAATTAAATGGCAACATTATACTGGTTTACATTTTGTTCCATAAACATTTTCCTGTTAAATTTTTAAGTTTCCCCCTCATCCTTGATGCTTTGCCAACCTAAAATATTTGTTTGTTACAGTTTTAGGCTGTAGTACTCATTATAGTTAACTTAACCTTAAACGCCAGCTCATTGTCATGCTATGCTTATAATTTTTTCCATTAATTGTTATAATAAAATATTGTAGTTTTTACTTAACATTGCGTTAACACAAGCTATATTTTTAGATTAATCATATGTTAAAATGTGATTAAAAAATTGTTGCCATTAATCAACTTTTATAATGTGCACTTTAATTACTTTTGTTAATAAAAATTCACATTAATTATTTAAATTACTTTTTTTTTCTAATCACTTTCATTTCCATATATTCAAACTTCATTCTGAAGAATATCATCCTGCAATAACTTGATTTCTTTACCAGCTTCACATTCATGGTTATCTGCTTAACTATTTAAAAACTATGCCACAGTTTGATGCAATGCTCACTTAATGAAACAATCTGCACAAGTTTCTTTAACAAAATATGTACAGCCACAGCACAAATTCTTGATCCCTTGACTTTCATCCCATTCTCCCCTGTAAATACTAGCGCCATTCCATTGGCACCACGAGCGTGCAGTACGCCCACTGGTTTCTCCGTGAGATGTCTGAGGAAGTTAACCAAGTTATTACCTCCATTTGTGAAGAGCAGTGCATGCTCAATTATAAGGTAACTGGTTTCAACTGGTACTAGAGGCAAGCAGAGAAATCAGCTCAGTAGGAAGAAGGTTGTGTTTAAATTGATGTTTTCTATTCTTCAGTTCTTTCAGTTGTTTTTTTTTTAAAACTATAGGCTTCTACATGTTGTGTATTCTTGTGTTTCTAATACTTTGCTTATTTCTCTTTTGTTTAAAATTTCCATTCCAGACAACTCACTAGTATTTTTAATTTCACAGACTAAAAGATTATCTCCTCTTTAATCTTTATCTTTTCTAATATAAAGATGAATTGTGCATAAGATAAGACAAATCCTGATCCTAGAATGTGTTTTGAAGTACTAATAGCATTAAGAGCAGAAACTGGTGGTGGGGATCAATATACTTCTAGTTGTTTCTTGTAGTTTCAAGCTAATGAATGTTGTAGGCACTATCCCATATCTGCATGCATGTTTAGGGTAGAAACACGTAGTTTTTAATTTAGGTTGATCTCTTTTAAGCATCTTCATAAAAGGGTACCTTCTTCTAGAATTCTTGTGAGTCTGTGATCAGATCTGTTGAAATAAAATTGTGAGTATTTCTGGATTATGAAGTTATATCTTGATCTGATAAGCTATAAGTTAAAAAAGTAAGAAAAATTAAAGCTACCAAGAAAATTATCCAAAAAGTAAGGTAGGTAACCCTCATTTCCCTACCTCCTTTACTTGTACTTGTCTCCCTTGCACAATTTTCTAACTAACATTGCTTGTATTTACATTTTAACAGCTGTGTCAATAATACAATGTATTGTGTAGTTTTTATTATAATAAAAAAGCTTCACTAATCAGTCCTTATTTGATTGACTAAAAAGTTGTATAGCAATTAGAGTACTAATATAATAAATTATTTATTTGAAATAAATATAATGAAAAGCATTTTTGATTATTTGCAAAATGGTAATTGTGAAATGTTTGATAACCATATTGTTCAAGAAAAAATCTTAAATATATGTTAGTAATGAGTATTATAAGAAACAAAATATATTCAAATATTTCAGTCAAATCATTCATTATGTGTGTATGCCTCTGCTTTTACACCATTCTGCATTTTAATTAATTTTTACTGACAAAAATTTTGAACTGCTTTACAAAATGAAAATAGTTTTGAGTTTTTAAAAATAAGTTTTCTTGTCATTATTGGCATTCTTATTTAAAGAAGTATGAAGAATTAAGACTTTTCATAAAGTTTAAAGCTAATTTTTAGATTTCTTATAAAAAAAGTTGCAAAGATTTTAAAGCTCATTTATATTTGATTTCCTATGAGAAAAAGAAACATGTAAAGATGTTATATGAAAATTATTTACTCTTACTGAGATAACGACTATGACTATTTTCTCACAATTAATAATAATAACAAAATAAACAAACACTTTTTATCTCCCATATATATGCTTAATTAACCAGTGCATGGTTTGTGGGTGTGTGTGTAAACCTTTCTATATTTCAATGTTAATGAAGCATGAAGTGTTAGCTAGTGCTAGAACCTGCTTGTGTTACTTGGTTAATGGTGTGATCTCTGATCCTGGGACTTGCTGATGTTTAGCGCATCTCAGTGGGCAGGACAAGTGTGAAGTACGCACACTGGTTCTTGAAGGAGATGTCCGAGGAGGTCAACCAGGTCATCACCAATATCTGTGAGGAGAGTGTGGTCATGGATCATAAGGTAGGAGGAATGGGGAGGGGGGGGGGGCTGGTGTTCATGGATCATAGGTAGAATGGGGAGGGGGGGGGGTGCCTGGTGGTCATGGATCATAAGGTAGGAGGAATGGGGAGGGGGGTGCCTGGTGGTCATGGATCATAGGTAGGAGGAATGGGGAGGGGGGAGCCTGGTGGTCATAGATCATAAGGTAGGAGCAATGGGGAGGGGGGAGCCTGGTGGTCATAGATCATAAGGTAGGAGGAATGGGGAGGGGGGAGCCTGGTGGTCATGGATCATAGGTAGAATGGGGAGGGGGGATGCCTCATGGGAAGGAGAGGGTGAAGGTTTCCAAGGTTTGGGGAGGGGAGATGGATGCCAGGTGAGAAGAGGTGGGATGTAGGATTTCTAAGGTAGGAGGAATGGGGAGGGTTCTTGTGAGGTGTGTGGGGGGATGCTTGGGTAAAATGGATGGGGGGGAAGCTTCAAGTTAGGAGAATAGGGAGTGAGATGGTAAGAAAGGTTGGGGGGCGCCCAAGGTGGGGAGTGGGGGATGCAAGGGTAGAAGGGATTTAAAGGTGGGGAGTCTTCTAAGGTAGGGGGAATCGGGAGGATGAGGAGGAAAGGGCTAGTTTGTTTCCAATATATGAACAAAGGGGAGAGGGATGACTTGATGGTGAAAGGGTTGCCTCCAATTTGAAAGGCACATTGGACAGGTAACCATCAAATCAGGAACTATTTGGAATGGAAAGTGGGCTAATCACCTTGGGGGAGTTGCTTGCCATAGTGGGGACGTTTATCATACACAAAATAACAGAAGGCATTGGGGACAGTTTGTTATACATCAAGTAACAGGAGGCAGTGAGGAAGGTTTATCATACACAGGGTAAATTACAAAGTAAAAAGAATACACGGAAATGCTATAAACAGTTATAATTGTTTTTGTATTTGATATAGAAACTTTACATGCTTTTAATTTCAACTGGTAACTTTTAGGACAGTATAGGGCACAAATAGATCCCACCCAGCACTGACTCAACTGTGAAGTTTATTTGACATTAAATATATTTTAGCTAATTTATCTACATTTTCCTTGTTACCACTGTAGGCTTGTGTATAATAAGTAGATCTGTCTCTATTTTCATTTCACTTGTTTACTTTTTGTGTATCTGTATAACCTCCATGTTTCTTTTTAATCTTCCTACTGAGCTGTATCTATGTTATAGAAATTTTTTATTTTAAATCAGTTTTATTTTAGTAAGTTAGAAACATTTTAAAATTGTATTTTTGTACAGTTTGTATATAACACAGTTAAAATACATAATTTTTTAATTAGCTGTTGCCAAAGCACAGTGTGACAGCTATACTGTCACAAAGACAAAAGGTCAAGGACAAAAAAGAAAAAAAGGTTCAGGAGCCAGAAAAACCTGGCCAAGAGAGTGTGAGAAAAAACAGGGAAAACTTTACTAGGTAAATTAAAACAACAGAAGTTGTGGTGTAAGTGTAACTGCTTTGTGTTCAAAAGTTGCTAAATTTTCTACACAGTTGTACAAAAAGAATTATTTTAGAATTTTATTTTTCTTATTTTTTATTCCATAAAAAGTTTTTTTTTTTTTTTTTTAAATTTGTTTAGTTTTGTCTTTTAAGATCTGCTTTTTTTAATTTTAAAATTTGAAACGGATGATTGTTACAAATTTTCAACTGACCAGAATGGACAAACTCCACATGGCTCTGACTGACCTATGTTACGCCATCAACTACTGCACTGTCATTCAAGTCTGGGATCATGGTTTTGTTCCGCGAGAATTTTTCCTTCAACATTTAGAAACTAGATTCAACAAGTGAGCTCTACTCTTTCTAATGTTCAGTCATCAATTCTTGATTATGTTTCAGTTTTAAAATGAATTCAAGAACTGTAAATTATTATTTAATGATTTTTCTCAATCAATATTTGACTTTGACTAAAAATGTGAGTTTGGGAAAAAATTAATTTTTAAAGTTAATTTTTTAAATTAAATTTTTTAAACAATTTTTTAAAATGTCCATGTTTTTAAAGTGACTGTCTGTTGTCTGCAGGGCTCTAGTGGGTATGATGATGTACAACCCTGAGAACAATGAAATAGCCAAACCATCGGAACTTCTTAATGGTGTCAGGGCCTACATGAATGTTCTACAGAGCATTGAGAATTATGGTAAATAGTAGACAGAATAATTGTATAGAACAGATCTTTCCATTTTGGTTCATTTCCTGTTGTCATATTGATAGTTATCAGATAATCATAATTAAATGCTCTACACCAGGGGTCTCCAAACTTTTCAGTCCGAGGGCCGCATTAACTATCAAATTTCAGTTCGGGGGCCAGTTTCTTCCAGGCATGTCTTTGATTTTTCTGGGAAAAGCTCAGCCATCACCAACAAACGTTTTTTCCGTGCACAAAAAGATCTCCGCGGGCCAGATGAGAGGACATCGGGGCCCGCGGGACGTAGTTTGGAGACCCCTGCTCTACACAATGATATTAATTGTTAGTCTTGATTTATTTATTGGAGAAGAAAAGTTACCTTAGAAATGATGATATGTTAACCACATATTCGAAGCAAAAAATGCACTTCAGTTGGGCAATTAATTAAAAATGACTACTTTATGAAATTTTTTTTTGAAAGTCATTTTTACTTTTCAAACTTTGAAGTGGATAAGCATAAGAACAAATACTTTTATATTATTTTATGCATCAATGTAACTACTAACAACTGCAACTGTTCCATACAAATCAATACACTTTTGTCTACTTGAAAGGGGTTCACTGACCTTGCTATTTTTAATTTTGAAAGGGAGGTAATCCGCATATAATTTTAAAGTTATCTCTCCCATCCACAGTGCACATAGATATAGTGAGAGTGTTCAACAATGTTCTTCCCATGCAGACCCAGCCCACTGATGCTAATGGGGAGAAGACCATCACACACAACTACACCCACTGGTAAATTCTGTCTATAGTCACCCTCTTTTGTTATTTAAATTACATTTTTTTTATAATACCTTTTTATTGGCTACATATTTTACCTAAATGAAACCATAGCACATGATGAGCACGAAAATATCCTTTGCACATCAGAATAGTTGATAAGTATAGTTTACAAGACAGAAAAATCTTACACAAAATCCCAGTACACAAAAACAAAAGTCTACATGGCTGCACTGAATAACAGTGAGATATTTTTTAAAAATCAGGTAATTGAGCTAAACATATCAAACATAGGTCTTCATATAAAGGGTCGGCATGGTCGAGTCGGTAAAGCTCATGGTTGCTAAGTCGAAAAGTCTCGAGTTCGAACTTTCGGGCAGATGAGGCTCATTAGCTGGGGACAGCCACTCTTCAAGGAGAGACAACTCCAAAATTAAACAACTGCTGCTTTGTAGTTTGTTCATGGTTTGACAAAGGCTATGGAAGCAAATCCAAAAAGAAAAGTAGGCTGAAACTGGAGTCAATGGCCTCAATGGCGCATAACGTATCCTTAATTGTGTTGGAGGGGATCCCTTCCAACACTAAAACTAAGAACAAAGAAGAAGAAAAAAGGTCTTCATATAGATACGCCATCAATGATGTTTGTTATTTTCAAAAGCTAGTTAAAATCTTAGAAAGCTAATGGTTTTATCAACTATACAGCCTAACTTGTGACTCTCAGTGACCAGTTTTCAACCAGTTGAAGTAAGAGGGGTTTGTAATGGTGGCTGATGTTTGTATCCCCTGTCTTAGGTGCCTGCAGATGTTGACTAATGTTTGTCTCACCTGTCTCAGGTACCTGGAGGTGCTGCTGATGAGGGTGGCTTGTAATGCTGGCCAGATTGTGTACTCACCCAGCAGGAAGGCTTTTGTGACTGTGTCTCAGGGGGACGGCTCGGCTCTGGCGGCGGAGGAATATGCAGATCTTACAGGTAACTTCCCTTAACACCTGTATTACAGGAAGCTTCCCTTAACACATGTCTTACAGGTAACTTCCCTTAACACCTGTATTACATGTAACTTCCCTTACACCTGTCTTACAGGTAACTTCCCTTACACCTGTCTTACAGGTAACTTCCCTTAACACCTGTATTACATGTAACTTCCCTTACACCTGTCTTACAGGTAACTTCCCTTACACCCGTCTTACAGGTAACTTCCCTTACACCTGTCTTACAGGTAACTTCCCTTACACCTGTCTTACAGGTAACTTCCCTTACACCCATCTTACAGGTAACTTCCCTTACACCTGTCTTACAGGTAACTTCCCTTACACCCATCTTACAGGTAACTTCCCTTACACCTGTCTTACAGGTAACTTCCCTTACACCCATCTTACAGGTAACTTTCCTTACACCCATCTTACAGGTAACTTCCCTTACACCCATCTTACAGGTAACTTCCCTTAACACCTGTCTTACAGGTAACTTTCCTTACACCTGTCTTACAGGTAACTTCCCTTACACCCATCTTACAGGTAACTTCCCTTAACACCTGTCTTACAGGTAACTTTCCTTACACCTGTCTTACAGGTAACTTCCCTTACACCCATCTTACAGGTAACTTCCCTTAACACCTGTCTTACAGGTAACTTTCCTTACACCCATCTTACAGGTAACTTCCCTTACACCTGTCTTACAGGATACTTCCTTACACCTGTCCTTCAGAAAACTTTCATTACACTGATCTTACAGGTAGTGATCATTATACATGTCCTACAGGTAGCAAAAAATCTCTATATTTTTTAAAATCAAGATTTATTATTAAAGTTGAACCATATTGCACCATTCATGCTAAATTAAATCCACCATTCATAAACATATATGCATTTCTAAAATGCAAATGTCAAGTTTCTCTGTGTTTCAGTATAAAAAAAACAATTTGTTTTTATTTTAACTTCATATTTCTTCAACAAAAATAATTTTAAAATAAACATTTAAAAATCTCAGAACTGCGAGCACTTGCTGAATTGATAGGACCATATGGCATGAAGTACTTGGGTGAGAGGCTGATGTTGAATATAGCAGGACAGGTTGATGAAATCAAGGTAAGGGACAGAACCATTTTATCAGTTGTAAGGAACATAACCGTATTATTAGTAGTAAGGGACAAAACCATTTTATCAGTAGTAAGGGACATAAACATTCTCTGTAAATATGGCTACTCATGTTTTTGCTGAAAATAATTAATTTAGCCAGCCTCAATGTTTCAATTTTAATTTATAAATTAAATTAACTTCATTAGAATGTTACTAATAAGACTCAAAAACATAAACAAATTGTGTAATAAACAAGATTAAACTAATCACACTCAATAATTCTAATGTAGAAACTGGTTGTAGCCAATAAGGACACCCTAGTACAGCTGAGAAGTAGCTTTGACAAGCCTGATGTCATGATGGCCTTGACACGCAAGCTTATGAGTGAGTACAGCCTTCTGTCACTTCATTCTACAACCAGCAGCTCTGCTGTCACTTCATCCTACAACCTGCAGCTCTTCTGTCACTTCATTCTACAACCTGCAGCTCTTCTGTCACTTCATTCTACAACCTGCAGCTCTTCTGTCACTTCATTCTACAACCTGCAGCTCTTCTGTCACTTCAACCTACAACCAGCAGCTCTGCTGTCACTTCATTCTACTACCAGCAGCTCTGCTGTCACTTCATAGTTCATACAAAGATTTATCTGTCCTTTTTTTTCAAGTGAATTCTCCTTTCAAATGTTTATAAGTAACAAGGGACACAATTCAGTGTCTTTTAGTGAGACTTGTTAGGTTGTTAGTGCCTTGACTTGAGATGCTCTAGTAGTAGTAACTAACTGCACATGACTCCTAACATAGTAGTTAAATTCTTATGTGCTTGCTAAGGATTGTAACTTTACACAGTAGTACAGCATGCTGAAGGAAACCCGCCCAATGGTTTGGGAATCTCACTAGACTTTTCTTTAGACTTTGATTTTCTTTATTAGATTTACGTTCACAAGACAAACTAGTTATCTTTTTAGATCTACATTGTCAAGACAGTCATCTTATTAGACTTCTATTGATGAGACATTCATCTTATTAGACTTGTATTGACAAGACAGTTATCTTATTTGTCTTCTATTGATGAGACAGTTATCTTATTAGGCTTATATTGAAGAGACAGTTATCTTATTAGGCTTATATTGAAGAGACAGTCATCTTATAAGACTTACATTGTCAAGACAGTCATCTTATTAGACTAGACACCAACTCAGTCATCTCCTTAGAACTCTATAGACATAACTCCTCCCCTGACAAAACTATGACTAAATCAGATACTACTGGTCTCTTTGTTTCTATCATGAAATAGCCTGCACTTGCTTGCTGTAAACATAACAGATGTTGCACTCTAGGAAAGTTTATTTAGAAGCTAATTCGTTTTAACCATCATTTTAATTTTTTCATTTTAAAAAAAAATGTATTAATAAACTATAACTATGCACATACAAGAACCTTATTTAGAACATCAAAATTATTACCTTTATCAAACAATGAAATTATTTATTAAGTTATTTCTTCTCTAAAATTATTTATTCTATAGAACTATACAATTATTTTTAGCACCAAATTAAAGTGACCAAGTTTAGTTTTACTTGTAATTTAAACTCTATTTTTGTGTCTATTAATAACTATAGAATTGGAGTAGCATGTCATAGACTTTGTATGTTGAGCCATATTATTATCTCCTAGAGATGTTGAATAGCAGGGTGGAGGTGTGTTGTAGTTTTGTTTAGTTTGCTACTGGAAGGTGAAAGATATTTACCCAATTTTTTTTTTCAAATTCCCTTGGTAACTACTCTTTTCCCATTAAGTAGTTAAAAAATGTAACCATTGTAGAATCATGGACTATACGAGTATTTCTATGCTGCTTGATCAGGTGGAGATTATTGCTGTTGATTACTAGATGTTGTTAAAAATATAGAGAAGAAAAAGTTGGCTTAAATCATAATTTCACTTTACAAAACAATCTAAAAAACACTAACTAAAAATACAAGTTGAAACATGGTTAAAAATCAGTTTTTCATGTTTCTTTTTGAACATAGACTCCAGCAGGGAAGCAAAAACAATTTTTACAAACAGTAGGCTTGAATAGTAGTGGCTTTATGACTTTAATCATACAACATCTTATGCTTTAATAAAGAATGACCTACACAGATGTATTAAAATCATTCAATTTTAAAATAGTGATTGTTAGATTTTAATAAAATAATGATCATCTCATTTTTAATAGATTGACTCACTGTGCGTTAATAAAATGACCATTTACATTGTAATAAAATGACCTATTTCTTTTACTAAAAAGCCCCTTACAAGAATGCACCTTGTGGTAAGTTCAGCATTGTCTCCCTTACAAATATGCCATTTTTGTTTTGATTACTTCATTTATGGCTTTTAAATCCTCCGTATTTATAATATTAGCTTTACTTTTTTTGTACACTTATATCGCAGTTATATTTGTCTGTTATAAAATTTATTTTGTATTATTTGCTTTGCATTTTTTTCCATTTGGTGTTTTGTTTTCAACATATTACATTTAGCTGTATCATTTTGTAACTTTCTAAATTTTTGAAAAATAAAAGGAAAAGAAAATATTGTCTGCCCCTGAATTGAGAATTGAAGTTTTCTGGTGTGGTTTAGAGTTCCATTATTTCCATTTTTTAAGTGGAAATTTTCATTTAAATAGTTCCTGATCAGACTATTTATTGTGTGTTTTCCATACATTTTGGGACCTTTTACCTGCTTGTCTGACTTACATTTAAAATTATCTGCCCCTATTAGAGCCTTTATAAACATTTTTATTTAGCCTACCTTGCATTGATTGATATAAGGCTTTTCTCCAATATATTCATGTTGTTAGCTGCATTGTAAAATTAATTCTTTATAACATAAACTCTTTGTCTCTGTTTTTATTCTTCTCTTTTGATGGGATTACATTTTGTGGTATTTAATCATTCTGTAGTGATAAATCTTTTCAATCTATTTTTGTCTCACCAGCCATTATTTATTGAATGATAAGATAACTCCGCCATCTTACTTTTAAAAAAAATGCAACATTTATGCTAAAAATGCATGTTTATATTATCATGCTGTACGGGAAAGTTGAATCTTAAAATGTATTGATGATTTGATCATTGATCTCAAGTGGGAAAAAATGGGAAAACAGAGACATTGAGCTCAGTCTTTTAATTATGACTAATTAAAATTTTAAAATAGTTGCTTTGCTTAACATTTATTTTTTTGGTGTTTGCTTCTAATATTTTAAACAAAAAAAAATTGTTCAGTTTGTCTTTTAATTATAACTTTATTTAATTGCCTAAATTATGCATGCAATTTATTAAAAGCTAAATAAAACAGAAATTTGCCCCTGAGCCATATCGTTTACACACCTGTGATATTTATAAGTCACCTCAGCCACCCAGCTGACCTGTCTTATGTAGTTGACCTGACTCATTCAGTCAATTTTGAACTTGTAGAACTAGTAGGCACATGCGTAGCTAGTAAAATAGTCTTAGTGTTCATAAGCAACTGTAAGTAATTAAATTGGGCACAGCTTGAGTGATTTTCACACAAGTAACTAACTGACTGCCTTTAAATAAACTTTTTAAAAACTACATAATTGTAATATTAATTAAGGTAAATATTTTAAAATTATTTTCTAATGTAATCAATTGTTTGAATCAATATTTGGCTACTTTAAGAAATGCATTTACTTTATACAAATTCTAAAATTATTTTTCCATCACCTGCTGAAGGTTCCCTGTAATTTAAAAATTAACCACTCATATTCCAGTGCGATGTTTGTTCTTTAACTTTCTAACCAGTAAATTGTGTATCTTTATGAACAGATGCTGATGTCTTGTTACTTAGAATGACCAGAATTGGAGTTTTGCTTGCATTCAGGTCTTTGGCTCAAGAAGCACTAAATGATGTAAGATGGGCAGAGTTTTACTTTTCTCAAAACATTTGCTTATTTTAATGACATAATAAAATTTAAAACAAAACTTGGCTTAGTTTATATTAAAACAGTAGACTTGATCACATGACCTACTGCAGGTTCTCTAAATTCCCTGGTTATTGTTTTTATTTTGCCAGGTGTTGGAGCAGAGAATCCCATTCTTGATGGGATTCATTCGTGACATCCAGCACCACGTCCCCAACACTAAAGATTCCATGGTGAGTACTCACAGCATGTTGACTCACATCAACATTTTTTACTCTGGTGTAAGCCATCTTTTTTTATGGGGTCTCGGAGGATGGGTACTAATTCAAAACTGTATGGTTTATTTATTGTGTCATGTTTCTGGTTTACAATACATCACTACAGGTGAATGACGACAATTAATATGTGGTTAATTGAGTTAATTAAAGTCTTTTTAAAAAGGTCAGGTCACTGATTAAGCCCTTAAAACAAGAACATATGGCTTAGGTTAACTTCCTAAAAATAGGTCAATGATGTAAAAGAAAAAAAAATGATATTTACCAAACATTTTATTTTGTTTCTATGATAGACTACTAAACAATATAATTTCTGTATTTGCGCTTGACATGTATTGTTAGTTTCAGCCATTTCTGTTAAGCTTTAGAGTTCATGCAGATACTTACAAATGTTTAATGTTTAAAGTTAAGCTTCAAATGATACATGCTGAGTATATGAGTTTTTTACAAGTTTAAGTATTCATAAAGAGTTTCTTATAGCCCTTTTAAAAAATTGAACCCTTACAATTTTACCATATATTTAAACAGATTTTTTACTGCGATTATATTTAGTGATCTTACACTTGTTCTTCCATTGTTAACTTCAACTAACCGACTTGTCTGCTGTTCTTGTATTTGTATAGACATTGATGGTCTGATTACAGTTGTATTCTGTTGTGTGTAAGAATTTATTGACTACATCTAACCAAATAAAAACTTATTTTTGAGACCAAATCTTGGCATCACTGAAAGCATCTTGAATCCACAATTTTGAAAAACCTGATGATGAATTCTTTGTACCTTGGTTTTAAACATTTTTAAAAAATCACTTTTATTTCTACTATTTTAAACTATGCATGAACTCTAATTAAAATACTGGTGTGGTTTTACCTGTTGGTTTTTTATTTATTATTTGAATTTTCCTTTTTTTTTTCTACGAAAATTGCGTAATGAAATTGTGTAAAGAAAGAAAAAAAAATGTTTTGTACATGTTGATGTCCGTAATGACTTGAATTCAATATTTTAAAAATCAATTGTTTCTAATGTACAAAAACCTCACTTTTCTCATCACTTATATTGTATGAAACAAAAAAAAGTTTTTATGCTATCTTAAATGTTTGATTTCACTTCTCCTGTACACAATGTATTTCTTCAGAGGAAAAAAAGCAAGCTGGTAAGAGAGTATATGAATGGTGTACATTGGTGACTTTATTTAGTTATAAATCTCATTCAACTCTACTGTCTGCTCATGTTAAATGAAATCTTTTCTAAACCTTTTTGCTAGGAGAGCTATGAATTTCAGAAGAAACTTTTATTTTTTCTTTATACTTAGAGCCAGGAGAATTTGGGGAGTAGATTCCCCTTCTCCTCTGGGTTTAGCTGTTAACTAGATTAGCCTCTTTTGAGTAGTTTTAATCCCAGCATGCTATAAAATGGTTGAAATGAAAAGAAATGAAAAAACCTTGATTGCTTGTTACCCTAACCATTTCCCCCCATCATTCTGTTGTTGAAATCACAAATCTATCCAATGTTTTATGAAAAAATATATTTTAAAAATTTTTTATAAGAAATAATTATCCTAATCTTTTCTACTAAACATATTTTTGAAACATTATTTAAAGGTACACAAAGCGGTAATTTTTATTTTTTTTTATCTTCTGTTTATACACAAAATATAATTGAAATTAACAAATTAATTTTCTCAAAAGGATCAAAAATATTCTATAATCCTAATAAAATTTTTGTGCCTTAATTCTGTTGATGTGTCATGTATCCAATAACATTGTCTACCTTCTCATACTGAAACTTCTCTTTGTCATGCCAGCCAGTGTCACTCAAACAACAGGTTTGTAAGCCAAACTGGCACATATGATATACCTTGGTGTTTTCTGTTTTTAATGTGCCACTTTTAAAGTTTCAACTTTTCTTTGTAAGCCTAACTGGCACAAACATTTGTGTTTTCTATTTTTAATATGCCAAAGTTTCATTCTACAATTTAAAGCTCATTTCAGTGGAGCCAGATGTTAATTTTGTTAAAAAATAAATTTCTCTTGAATTTAAATTTTAAAAATACTGGAAAATTTTTGCTTTAAAAATTGTGAATATTATTTTAGTTATAATTCATTCATTTAGTTAATTTTTTTTAAAGTAACATTTCATTTTAAATTTGACTACAACCACCAAGCTAAATTTTATAGTTGATGAAATTATTGAAGTTAATGTATGATTAATTAGTCCTTAGTTTGAAACCCTTAAAACGGATTGTAAAAGCACTGCTGGTTTCCCCCTCCAGCTTAAATTACCGTAGGCTGTTTAGTTTAATGATTTAACTCTACTGCTTATACTTAGATGCTGATGCTTTTAGCAGTTGTTTTCTCTTTTGTTTTTAATGGCGTACAGTATATTATTTTTTAAAAAGTAGTTCTAGTTTTCTTTTACTTTAGTTCTTTTTCTGTACTGGTCTTTTGTTTTATAAAAATAGATGTTTGAACATTAAATGTATATTCCAATCTACAGAAGTATCACAGTATTTAAATACTCTTGTCCCTCTAATTGAACAGAGATGTTTACTTCCCTCACTCTGGAGCCACATGAAGATTTATATTGTTATTTAATCTAATTCTCTGTGTTGTCACTATACCAGTTTCCTGATTATATTTTTTGCCAGTTTGTCCTGATTCCTTTTGTTGCCAGTTTGTCCTGATTCATATTTTTGCCAGTTTGTCCTGATAATACTTTTTCCCCAATTGAACTACTCAGAGTTTTGCCTGTTTTGACCAAATAACTTTGGATTCAGATTACTTAGACTATAAGTACAAATAAGTGTTTGACTGGGCAAATATGCACTAACATTGGAAGCAGTTTGTCCTCTTCTTTTTTTGGAATCAAGTTTTGTCTGTTTCTATGATTGTCACTGCTCAATTATCTCTATGTCCTCATAAAATAATTATATGGCATTAACGAACACGTTTTTTTCTTCCTGTTAATAAATTATAGAGAAAACTGGTACGTTTCACTATTATAGAAGTGGTTAATTTTTCTATTCCCTCATCTCATCTTTTACATACATAAATGGATGTAACATTTGCCTATTAGTTTTTACAGTTTAAAAAATGCGAAAGAATTTTTTAAAATGCTGGCTTATGCTACCCAGGCTATTTTTAGCGACCAAACTGGCCATTGAAAATATTAATGTAATTCTGCTGGATAGGTTTTTAAAAATAATTTTAAAAATAAGTTGGCTTTTATGTTCTGCTAAATAAATAAAATGTCATGAAAATATGTTGATTAGAATCATTTGTAGTAGCTAATACTAATACAGTTGGTGAAAAAATTAATGGGAAGTTACTCTTACAAGCAGTAATTTAGAGTTGTGTGCACAAGTCAGCAGCTTACTCTTGACAAACTTTATTTGCAAATACAGTGAACTGATGGTACTGTGTATAGTATTCTGGGTAATGTTCAATGAATTGTGGGAACAGTTGCTGTTTGGTCAATTTGTTAAAAAATGGACCCCATTCAATAAGTGTTATCTATCAGTTTTATCATCTAAATTTACCACTTTTCACTGTATTTGTAATTGTTTTAATTGATTAATTAACACCACCATTTTTCTTCTTTACCAGTCACTACACATTTACAATTTTTTAAACATTTTTTTTTACAAAAATGCAATCTTTTTAAAATTAATTTCCTTAATTTTTTATGGTTAATCTCTTTTAAAAATATACCTACAAAATCACAACTCTTAATTTTTTATTATTTGTCCTTAAGAAATAGGTTTACTAATTAATTTTATTAACATTCATATTATTTTTAGAATCCAAATATAAATATTTCACAATTTTAACTTTAAGAAAAGTTCATCTGCCATTAAAAATTGAAATAAATAAATTAACAATTAAATAATGAGTGCTCTTCAAAAGTTAACACCTGATGTAATGTGGTTTCAAACAATCCTGCAGGTGGTCAATGAGTTAGCATCTTCAGCTGGTGAAAAGTGTAGCGTGGATCCTACTCTGTGTAATGCATTGCGCACACTCAAAAGTGGTGAGTTGCTTGTTTTATTTAGTAGTCTGCTGTAGTAATGTCATAGAATAAATATGCCAAATATTTTTTTATATTTTAAAATGAGATGCCAAAAATTACATTTCTGTCCCATTAGCCTATAGTAACTTTATTTATTTTGTTTCAGTAAAGTTTGCTACATTTTGTTACTGGAAATTTTAATACAATTTGCCACAGTCCCATCAGCCTAAAATTAAATATGGATACATTTTGTTCTTGTAAATTTTGATACATTTTGTTACTCTCCCATCAGCCTATGCTGAAGACGAGTACACCATTGCCTGCCTGCTGTTTGTTTTTGTTGCTGTTTCAATTCCAAAACTGGCACGCACTGACCTGTCCACATTCAAGGCTTCCATAGAAGGTAATCATAGACATTGTAACAAGGTAATCATAGCCATTGGTGCAAGGTAATCTTAGCCATTGGTACAAGGTAATGTTAGCCATTGGTACAAGGTAATCTTAACCATTGTAACAAGGTAATCTTAGACCTTGTAACAAGGTAATCTTAGCCATTCTTAAAAGGCAATCTTAGCCATTGTAACTTTCTCAAAGTTAAGTTAGTCATTATAACTTTTCAAAGTAATGTTAGCCATTATAAGAAGGTAATATTAGTCATAATTATGTTGACTGTGTGTACTCTGATGTTGATTGAGTGTACCTGGAAGTTGATTGAGTGTACCTGGAAGTTGACTGAGTGTACATGGATGTTGACTGAAGTAGCCTCCTGTATTGGCCTTGCCTCATGTTGCCTATGCTGGAATATTTCCACAGGTCACCAGAACAACAGCCACTGTCTGGCCAAGAGCATCAATGGTTTGGCTGGGGCATTGTTTTCACTGTATGGCCCTGGTGATACAGATTTGAGACTACAGGAGTTCTTAGCTGTAAGCTTTAGTTTGTATTGGACCCTACTGTTGCTTTATTCAAGTCGCACCAATAGCTACACAAATAAGTTGATCTGGCTAGATGTGTTGATATTAGAAGTGATAGATATACAAAAAATAAATCTGACTAACCAACACGTTTATGGTTTTGTTAATTTCCACCTGTAAATTTACAATTTTCACTGCCTTTATATGACTTTCTAAATTACCATCATTTAAATGGGACTAACAAATATATTTTCTTACAAGCATGATATCCTTAAAACCATGCGTGTCTTGTGAAATGTTAAATTTTTCTTGTAGCTGGCATCCTCAAGTCTTCTGCGTCTGGGTTTTGAGAACGACAGAGAGGCTGTGAAAAACAGAGAGTCTGTCTACTTGCTGCTTGACCAGGTAACATTTATTGCCTTGTTTGTTTCGTTTGTTGGATTGATTATTTTTATTTAACCTTGTTGGAATATTGTCCTTATCCCAAAATAGAAAACTAACCGTTAATGTCTCTAAATCTATGAGGTTTACCAAACTTAGATATGGAATTGATGTTTTTAACAGTTGTAGTTGGGGAAAATGCTTGTCAACCCTTTACTGGCAGACATTAAAATATTTTTCCTTCCCATAAGCCAAGCCAAATAACAACTTTCATTTCAATAACCTTATTTTATTTACATTATAATTGGAGCATGATTTGTCAGCAGAAACATTTAAAATTGATTAGTGTCAAAAAAACTTTTTAGATTTTAAAAACGTGATCAAAAATATTTCATAATACCTCTCAGCATAGTAAATTTACCATAATAAACAATAATGATGACGGTTTTTAATCAAAATTAAAAGCTTCAGTTTTAAAACAGAATTTTTAAAATAAAAATGCCTCAACTTAGATCAAATGTATTTCCACAATAATAATAAACTACCTGTCTTTCTTCACCCGTGACAGATTGTTCAAGAATCTCCGTTCCTCACGATGGATCTGCTGGAGTTCTGTTTCCCTTACGCTCTGCTGCGCAATGCCTACCACAGTGTGTATAAGGCCTCTGCCACTGATATGTGATGGCACTGACTTGTAGAGTAGGACTTGTAGAGTTAGGTTAGTGATCTGATCCTCTAAGGTTTTCATAATTTTAATGAAAACTTTATAGAATTATTATAATCATTTTACACAGAAAAATATGGCAAATTGTGAACTTGAAAGTCTTTTACTACATTAAATATTCATTGTAAAAAATTGATTTTACAAAATTAAATTTAAAACCTGCTCAGATTTTAAAATGAAGTTGTCAGTTTATCAGTGAAAATGTAGTAGAGTTGTTAAAAACCAAGATTAGCAGTTTAAAATTTTTTGTTGCTAAACCAAGCAAGGATAGTTTAAGCTTGGCATTGTTGTGAGTAGATGGAGCTGCCCTTAGAATAACTGAATTTATTCCAGTGTTGCAGCTGGATCACTTTGTTGCCCCACACATTAGTAGTCATGGAGCCAGAAACAACATTTTACAGTGCAATCAGTTTTTTTATATCTTAAGATAATGATTTTTTTTTTACATTGTTACATTTTTGTTTTAATAAAAAAAAATTATTTTTTATCCGCTTAACAGATAAATTTATGTACATTTAATTAATAGTTAGGTTAATTTTAATGGTCAATTTATTTGTAAATAGACAACAAAAAAGGTAGTGTCAGTTTTTTAAATTATCTGTGGAGTGGTTTTTTTTTTAATTTAAAAAAAAATTTCAGTAATAAATATATGCGAAAGATTTTAAAATGTTATTTTAATGACCTTGTAAATGCATCAAGTTCTTGGTATTGGCTTAGTGAGAGCTGTTCCTGTACACAGTGTAAATATTAATCCATGTTTTTAATTAACTTATAATCTGTACAGCATTAGCTGCACTGGTTGATTTTTTTTAACTAGATCTAATTAACCTCTTTGTGATGTGTATGCCATGTATTTTCCAGTTGGTTTTTTTCTTCTTGCTCTGGTCTATTTGATTATGATACATTAGGAAAATGAAACCGAAAAATTATTTTGGATTTTTTTTTATAAACATTTTGTAAAAAAAAAATTGTTAATGTTTTTTTTAAAATCATTTTAAAATCAAGTTTTTTTTTTTTTTTTTTTTTTTTTTTTTTTTTTTTTTTTTTTTTTTAGAAAATGTTAACTACCCCTACATTGTTTGATATTATGGGTGTTCCTTTTGGATTAGTGTAAACTGATATATTTGGAAAAATTTAGTGTTTAAGAGTTCCTTGTCTTCTGTTCAACCACCAAGTAAATTTTCAACACTATTCTACAAACAGCATTATGTAACAATGTTAGTCTATGATTGTAGGTCTGGCTTATCAAATATCAATAAAAGACATAACAGTAGTTCTATTTCCAAACATTGTCCCATTTAATTAGCCATATTTATAATTAACTGATTACATCCACTTAATATTAAAATTGAGTTAGACTTAATTAAGTACTTACCAATAAAAACATTAAAACCAGTCTCTACTGGTTGTGCAGTTGTTGAAAATACATTATTTAATAGATAGTTTGAAGTATCAAGCAAGTTTAAAACACATTATTTAATAGATAGTTTGAAGTATCAAGCAAGTTGAAAACACATTATTTTATAGATAGTTTGAAGTATCAAGCAAGTTGAAAACACATTATTTTATAGATAGTTTGAAGTATCAAGCAAGTTAAAACACATTATGTAAGAGATAGATTGAAGTATCAAGCAAGTTGAAAACACATTATGTAAGAGCTAGTTTGAAGTATTGTTCAAGTGTAAAACCTGTTCAAAAGTTAAATTCCATTTCCATTTACTTCATGAATATCACTTGCATGTTGATCAAAGCTACCGCATTTATTTCACATCTTTTTACAGACGTTTGTCTAGTGTTATTTAATATTGCAGCAATTTTTTTTCAAATATTAAATCATCCCTTTATCTTAATGTCTAATTCTGAAGTTTAATGTGTTTTACAACACATTTTTTTTTGTTTCATCATGAATCAACTATTAATAAAGATTCCAAATTTTTTGTTACATGAATAAAATGTCCATTTTAAAGCTTAATTTAGCTATCATCAAGTGAATCGTTTTTAATATAAATTTGCTTAGGTTATAAAAAAAGTATTTGGATTTTTAAAAAATGAGATATTGTGTGCCTCTACCAGTTACTGCAGAGGAGAGTAATTTTATTAGCTTTCTTCTTACCTTTTCTCTAAGGATTTTCTCCCTTTGCATGATCTTAGTGTGAAATTATTATACTGAATGTTTTTTTAGAATTAATTATTACACTTTAAAAACTTTTTTTTTACTGCAATACTAAACTTTCAAATACTTAAAATAAGTGATTACCTAGTAAAGTTTTAAAAGCAAAATGTATTTTGTGTTGAGAACATTGTTTATTTTTTCATGAATTTAATTTTTACAGTTTTAAACTTTAAAAACTAATGTACATTTTTTGTAGGTGATTGAAACATCAAAATTTAGAATTGAAAGACGATAAACATTTGTCTTGAAGAATTATTTCATGCTTGAAAATAGAAACTGGCAATTTTAATTGTACCGCAACACAAATAGTAATGTATAGAACTCATTTAGTCATTCAAATGTAATACTTCTGATTTAAAATGACCAATTAAATGTAATTAAAATTAAAGAGTTGTTTTGCTTTAATTAAGCCTCAGTGCCAGAAAGAGGAATACTTGTACAATGTTTATGGTTGGTCACTTCAGCTTTTGTTTTAAATGTTAGCATTGGATTTAAAGCTACTTAATTAAGGAATATTTTAAACTATGGCACTGATCTGTGGTAAAGGCAGGGATTAGTTGTGTGCTTGTATGTGTATGTGTGGGGTGGGGGTTTCAATTCCCGTGTGTGTCTGTGTCACTGTGTGTGTATGTAAGTATGTATGTAAAGTTACCTTGTTATCAGTGTTTCTTCCAGACTTTTTTCTCCGGGGGGGCACTTGAAATTTTCGGGGGGGCGGTAAACTTTCTTCGGGGGGGCGGACACTGTGAAAAGTATATATTTTCTATATAAATTATATAAATTTCATTTCGTTCGGGGGGGCGGTAAAAAATTTTCGGGGGGGCTTCGCCCCCCCGAAGAGATGCCTGGAAGAAACTCTGCTTGTTATGCCTCATGGTCCATGGGGCAGATGAAATAGGGTTCAGCTGTTTCTGTGACCTCGGCATATGAAGAAATAGAATTGTAAGCACTATGCCCAGCTGCCTTTACTTTCCCTAACATGAGTCAGATACCCAATTAGAGCTAGGTGAACTCAAGGACATTCTACAAACTCAAGCCCAGGATTCAAACCCAAGAATTTTGGATTAGCAGTCATATACCCTACTACACAACCGCATTTTCATGACATTTGAAATTTTAAATATAAAGCACACTGTGACTAACTACTATAAATACATTGTGAGATAACTTTCCGTTAGAGCAGTGGTTTCATATGCACATTCAACACCCATGTCTTAATAGTTCTATTGTCCACAATGACAAAATCCTAACGTGAATCATATGAGTCGGGTAAATGTATTGATCACTTCTGAACCCCTAAGGCTGACTCACCAAACCTTGGGGTTCAATAGAATCCAGGTTAAGAACCACTGATTTTAAGGTTTGAATGAGAAGATCTGACACCCTGGTTTTAGCCGATGTCTCCACAGGTATCCTCTGCTTTAGACTATGGCACCAAGTTGTCAGCAGATTGGAATTTCTACAAAAAACTCACCCTTCACCAAACACCTGTTCTCCAAATATTTACCATCAAGTTAGTTTAGTTATTAGTTATGTTTAGTACCTTGGATATGATGCTACTATCACAATTAGTTTAGTAACTTGCATATGATGCTGCAACATATTAATACAAGAAATATGAAATCCCACCAATCATTCGTACAACTGTACAAGTAATGAACTAGCAACTACCATGAAAATAGTTAATGGAAGGTGGGTTATGGTAATAAACGGAGATCTCGAATAATCAACATTTTTTAAAGGGACGCAATGAAGTGGTGTTTAAAAACAACTAGATCTAATAATCGTTATCTCCCATTTCAACTCGGATTGCATATTATGTGTAAATATAATTAAAATCAGTAACATTGTAATATGCTTACAATTTATCTTATTATTATAGATTCTAATACCTAAATCTGTTTCTCAAATTCATTGTATTAGTGATAATATTACTTATTTCAGATATTTTGTTCACCTTTCTTTTAAGTAGTGAATTTTAAAACTCGGTTACCTTTCTTACCTGACGCATGCGTAACAACAATTTTACCTGTGCAAGTTCCGGGTATGGTTTTGTTTTGTATGTAATAAAGGGGTCAAACAAGCAGGTATGATATAAAATTCACGTTTCTCATTTATGGTAAAGTGAATTCTTCTCTTACTGTACTATAGTGACGTTGAAAAGTTTAAAACCACCTTAATTTAATCATTACAACATAGATTCTGGTACGAATGTGAACCTCACAACTTGAGATAAAACCACCAAAAATACAAACAAATCAACTGCACTTCCGCCTTTGGCTGTCATAGAATACTAGATCTAGATCTAGATACTAGATCTAGATCTAAATCTAGATTCTAGATCTACTTTTAATATAGATCTAACAAACTAGTTTAGTGATCTGATTCTCTAATGCTAATGTTGTGTAAAATTGTCTTTACACTTGACTCGATTTTAAAACACTAGCTGGATTCTAGTTCTGGTCTAGGTAGTTAATAAATCATTAAATGAAGTTTAAAGTTTAAATGTGTGTAGACTACACTCAACTACACTGTACTACTGTAGGTAGAGCTGCTTATTAATATTACTGTCTCATCGACATTCCAACAAAAGAAGGCTGTGAGTTGCTTGCAGTCTTGGCCCTTAATTTAGCCCAGGCTACACAACACATGATTAACACACTCAAGTCTCTCTGGCTCTGTAGCCAACTCCAGTGAATGAGTGACAGTTATGAGTTAGCTTCACCAGTTGGTACTGTCTGTTAAAGTAACTGTTTTAACATAGGCCTATATATTAAATAGGCATATAGTTGATATAGACTATTCACTATTGTATTATTATAAACGTGGCTAGGGAGTAGAGCATTCATCTGCTAACCCAAAAGTCCTGATTTCTGTGTCATCTCACCCAGCCCACACGACTCAGGTTAAAGAAGTGTAAAGGTGGCTGGGCATAGTGCTGACCACATGATCCCTTCATAATTCATGTCATGGGTGTTAAGCCGCTAAAGGTGGAAATGATAGTATACTGGTAACAGTAGCAAAATTAGTTAGTTGCTAGTTGCTACTATTACTATACGTACTGGTTCCTCAACCATTTTTTTTACAAGTCTCTTATTGATATATAGTTTTAATCAATATGACAATTACAAAGTTATTTCAAAACCTAGCCTGATAGTACAACCATGATTTCTCCTGTTGAAATTAATAATAAAATCTTGTTTTATTTTTTACCATTACTATTACTTCTCTTGTGAGGAAGAGTTTAATAAAATATTTTTTTTAACTATACAACAATGACTTAAATTAAAAAAATTTTTATAACCAGACAGCCATGACTACTCCTGTGGAAAATGATGTTTATCGCACCACTTCCAAGCAGATCCTTGTCTCCAGAGATCCCATCTATGTCCACCCAGAGATTATCCGTGGCCAGTACATTGGCAGAGAGCCTCACACTTACCTCCCCTTTGCTATAATGGTGACCATCATCAACCCTATTCTGGGACCTATTGCTATTTTATTTGCTTGTAAGTTTTACTTTGTTGTAGATACCATGGCTATCCTTTGATGTGGGTTTACATTTTATTTAGCATGCATTGAATATTGTTCAGGGTTGCCTACTATTAAGAGACTTGGTCTTCAAAATCACTAAAATTTTATCCACCTTTCTGAAGCATTCCACGAGAATAATTTGGTAATGATATATAACATTTCTAAATTAATATACTTGGGGGTGATTATCGGAAATTTGATATAAATCTCTTGTGATATGGGCAAGTGACCAGACCAAACATTTTATTTTAGTTACATTATAATTTATATGTGCCGAGCCCTAACAGAAAGTAATTGTTTTCAGTCATGTCAAAGAGGTCATACAGAGATGGGGATCTGAACTACGCCTACAAGTGGAGCAACTACGCCTTCCTAGCAGGCATGATCACAATAGTTGCATCCAGTGTGTTTTACATCGCAATAGGTTTTGCTCTCTCAGGGCCTGGCTTACGAGGTGGACACTCGTACTAAAGAGAGTTGGTGTTGTGGGGTGGGGGTTTTTAGCATCATTCTAGGGTCAGGGAATTCGCAGTGTGTAACCAATAAAATATTAACTGCTGTTGGTTTGTTTTTATATGTTGGCCATTATCCCTGTTTAAAAATAATTTAATCATGTTGTCTATTTATACTTTGGCAAGATTATTTTCAGAAAGTCGTATATTAAATCTTTTTTATAACTACAAAGGCCAAACCCTGATTATTTTCACTGACATTGTATATATCTTAATCATTCATTTGTATAAGCCAGCCTTACCTAGCAAGTTCACAGATATTCATTTAAATCAGTTCTGTCCATTGAAGTTTCAAAAATATAAAATATATTTCAGTAAACTGTAATTTATTTTGAAGCCATGTATGGAGTCAGTTTTTCCATCGATAGAATAAATTTTGGCCCTAATTATAAGATTTTTATTCAAAGTTTTCTAGGAGATTTCAAACATTGAAATAACTTCTGTAAATAAAATTATTCATTCATAAAAAATATGGTGAGCAGTACAAGCCACTATACATGTAAATATTTATATATATATCAACCAGTTGAATTACTCTTGAAATTTGTCAGCCCACAATAACAGTTTAGTTTTGATAAACAGATAAAGTTTCAAACATTCCTCAATTTAACACAACAGATCTTACATATTATTTTAATAATCTTATGTACATTATTGTCAAACTGGCAGCATATTCCAATGTTTTCAGTTGAAGCAATTTTTTTTTACTGAGTGCTAATCAATACATTTGTAATTTATACTGTTAAGTGTATTTTGTCATGCACATTTTACAGAATGTTAAACAAAATTTTCTGAGTACATTCCAGGAAAGTGTGACTATACTTTTATTACTGATGTGTTGATTTGAGTTCTTACTAAGTGTTGCCTTAGCAAATTCTAAGATGTGGTTGATTGGTTTATATTACCTAATTAAAGCAAAGTTGTTCAAAAATGTCTACTGTTTATTCAGTTTATTAAATTTTCTAAGGATTTACTGCCTTACTTTCTTTACACTACTGTTAATTAGCAGTACAATTGACGATAAATTACAACATGCATTATGTTATTAAACAGAATACAAATAGAAAAGCATACAAAATTTTAACTTGCCTAAACTCTTGAAAACACAGCGTACAGACAAATCCAAAGGAATGACTGACTCAATAAATGTAATAATGGGTAGAATTTCTGGGAGGGGAGACAGTTTGGGGACATGGGAGGAGGTTATTTTTCATGTCCTACAAAAGAGTTTCCAGTTTTACATTGCCCTAGCGGACCGGGCTGCGGTTACAGAGGTAAGGTATTCTTTGTTGAATTAAATTGGGAAAAAACTAAAGGTCAAAGTTCACCATTGTTGATTGTTATAACTAAGGCCACGGTTGATGTGAGAGAGTTATCTAGTGTCACACCTCGATGTGTGCAGGGAAAAGTTGTACAGGGTCGACTGGTAAATGTTTGAAATGGGTGGACTTGGGTGAGCCACCCCACCCACCTTAAGCCTGTATGTAAATTTCGGAAAACACGTAATGTGATACTTTACTGTATTCGGAATAATGTAGGGTTTTTTTTATGCCTGTAGTAGTTACGGACCTTAGAAATGCTTGTCTTGTACGTTGAAGTAGTCGGATACGTAGCAATAAAGCGTCTCGTTTTGGTACAAAAAAACAACTCGATACATTGAGAAAATATCGATACTAGTCACAGAGAATAGCGATTTCTGCTTTTGCGATTTGTCGATGTTTCACGTTGTGACTATTCTATTAACCTGTGGAATATTTCATTGAACTTTTGTATTGCTAAAGACACAACAGGCAAAGATATTTAGCTTGACTGCCAGCAGCATTCGAGAAATATGGCTTAGAGATTGGTGAATGTCGAGTTCAGGGATAAGCTAATATGAAAGGAAAACGATATAATTATATTAATGCGCTTTGAGAAGAAGAAACACTACTGTGACGTCATTTTAGAGGGGGGTCTGGCTTTTTGTGACATCGTCAAAAAAAGCGTGACGTCATTTATGGATGACCCCTTTAGTATATTAATTTAATACATCAAAATAAATAAAGGATGCCCCTAAAATTTATAAAAAAACAATATGAGTTTAATTCCTCTGCAAATGCCCTTAAATTTTACACAGATTTCCCACTTATTTATTTTTTAACTTGAAAGTTATGATGGGTATAATTACTGTATGGATGCCCTTCAAATATATTATATGAATATAAGCATACTTACTTCAAAGATGGCCCTGCATTGTATATAAATAAATATGGACATAATTACTCTACGGATCTCCTTGAAAAGTAGTATAATGAATATAAGCATAATTACTTCACTTTAAAGATGCCCCTACAGTGCATAGGAATTAATGGGCAAAAGTATTCTAAAAGATGCCCCTACACTGTACTAAACAAATATCAGAAACACACTTTAATATAAAGATCGTATTTATTAAAGAAACATTAATGACTATATCTATACCAAAGCCCTCTTTTTTCATAAAAGTTGTGCTATACAGACAGTGATAGACGATTGAGTATTACAATTTGTTTTGGGTGAGATTAGTAGATAAATAAATCAGCCAGCAGTCAGTGTTGAGACAGATGAAAACTTACACAATGACACAACATACAGCAACTTTATTCAATTGCAAAAAAAAAAAATAAAAAAAATAAAAAAAAATCACCCCCATCGGAGGCCCATTTGAAGTGGATGCCCGGTGCCTAGGCCCCGTCCGCCCCCCCCCCCCCCCCACCTCCTCTCTGCACGCCACTGCATAGAGCCACGTAATTGCAACTAGATCTAGATCTACTACGATAACTTTGTTCCCTAACACTGATAATTATCAGTTGCAATATCCATTAAATCAAAAGTATTAATTACGTTTTGCTTATAAAGTTTATAGATCTAAACCATTTGGCTACTTTCTTAGATGCACCACAAGTTGAATGCACATTTCAACAGCATTTTAAAAAATGGATCTGGCAAATAGGAAGGCGGGTCTTTATAAAATATAAATAAATACTAAATACATAGGCCTACTGCTACTTTTATTATTGCTAATCAAAAATATCTACTGACGTTAGATGCCTTGTTAAAAAAAAATGAATAACATCACCAAAGGCAGAATGAAAAAGGAGCTTGAGATGTTTTTAAACTCGCCGCCCTCTGGAATATCATGTGTCCCAGTAAACGATCAACTAGATAATCTGTCAGCTCGTAAGTCGTGAGTGGAGTGGGTACTGTACTGTAACTGTCACTGTCTACAGAGACTGACAAGATCACTAATAATATTCTCACTAGATAATCTAAGTATTCACTAGTCTAGTCTAGATCTAGTCTAGATATAGATTCTAGATATACTGAGTAGTAGACTATTGGCCTAAAAATTGATAAATTAATAATTACTAGGCATTTCGACTTCCGCTGTTTCGATTCGGTAAGACCACATCCTGACTTTTTCATCGTACTTGTTGAAATTCGCCATTTTTTAACATGTTAATTCTCGCCATCGGAATCGAAGAATAAAATGTATTCGGTGTGAATATTTGAGTTGAATTTCATCTTTTATACATACTAATAAATGAATTAGCTCCCGTTTTACATTGTCCAATACCGAAAGCGATCACCGATAATAGCAAATATTTGTCGAAATGCCGACGCTACCGAACTGGCGCATTGACAACTAAATTTCAGATATAAATAATCCTTTAAGTTGCATGAAAATAGGCTTAAATAGCATGCCAACCATTTGGATAAATAGAAATGTCGATTTGAAGGGTTTTTAAGCACGGGCCGATGAGGAGTAGCGCGATAAAACTCGTAGGGGTAGGAACGAGAAAGCATGCGTAATTTCATAATGGCGGCCGGGCTACGAGATATTAATAGATATGCGCATACGATGTTTTTTAATAGCTGTTTGTTTTTAAATGGACTGTTACAATAAAATGGGCTTTAAAATAAATATACTGTAGATCTAAATTATTAGATTAAAAATGGAAAGAATGTAATTAGGCCTAATTGCTGCCTAAATAAATTATAAAATTTTAAATTAGCCAGATTTTTATTAACCTTCTTAATACCAGGTTAACTAGATCTAGCAAACTAGCATTAACGAATTGCAGATACATAGATTATAAAGGCATTTTCAAGTAGAAAAAAATCTATATTTACTGTAAACAGTTTTAAAAAAAAATAGAATCTAAATCTAAATGGAAATGAAAACACTAAAACAATAATGGGTCTAGAGATGTGTAATAATATATATAATATATATATAGGCCTATATATATATATATAAACTATTAGGCCTTAATGTAAATACTGACAGGCCTATCTGTAGTATCTAGATCTATAAAGTACTATAAAGGGCCTAAATTAAAAATAATAATGCCCAATTTTATAAGCTGCACTGCATTACAGTTTTAGTTATTATAGGCAACTATAATAGAAAGAAAACATGAACACTTTAATTAATGTCATTTAAGAATTTATCAAAGGATACGTCAACTTCACTAAACATTTTATAAATAAGAATACTGTGAAATGTCAATCTTTGAGTTTTAGCACACCTCAACACTTTTCATCAGAAACATTACAAGAACCAAAATTTTCTAAATTAATAATAACATTTTTACCATGTTATACACTGACACAAATCCAATGTTTATGGCAAATCGTTAAGTATCTTGATCATATTGTGCTGTATTTGAATTGTAAGTTCTAACTCTATACATTACCTGTACAATATGTATACTAGCATTCTTATTACTAACACCAGAATCAATATGTAAAGTTTAATCTTTATTTTTATAGTAGCAACAAAGAAGTGTAACATATTAGCCTGTAGTTAATCATCATAGTCTAATTGCGCTGTACCATATTCAAGTTCACTATTTATAGTTTTCCTCTAGCTATGTTTATTTTACTTGCATGATTGTATTTTTTACATGCTCTAGTCCTAATATATAAAGTTTCATGATGGTATATGGAATAGCAACCTAGCTGTGCAGTCTGGAAATCCTCTTATGGCAGTCACTATAGAACAGTGCCACACCCCTTAATTTAACTTCATTATTTCTAGTTACCTCTTTTCTAATTTTTATTTTATTTGTAGACTTCTATTGCCTATATCATTGAGTACAAATGTGCAAAGTTTTATCATTATATCTTTAATAGCAACATTGGTATGCAAGTTTAAAGCCAATCACACGTCTGGAATGCAGGTTACAATGAAACATAACAAGTTAAACACATAACTTTGAAAATTCATATAAAAAAAACTATTAGGCCTAGAATGATAAATTTGATATTTTTATCAATGGGGTATATTATAGGATTAATCTGGGTCCATTTTATCATTCTATGATAATTAGGAAAAATTTCCCAATAGGCCTAATAATTACTAATTAGACCTGAGTGATATTAATTAATATTAAAATAATATAATATATAAATATAGGCCTACTATTACTATAATAAATAATAATATTAATAATAGGCAGTAGGCCTAATGAAATGAGTAGGGTAGGGCCAAGGCCCCTATTGGCCTATATAAAATAATTATTATTAATTAGCCTATAGGCCATAGGGCTAGGGGCTAGGCCGTACTAAATTTAAAATAATAATTTAATATAAGACAAGTAGGGCCTATTATATTATAATTCTTGTCTTATACTAAATTAATTACTAAACATACCACTAGTATTCACTCATTAATTAAATCATTTATCCTCTGCATTGACAAAATATGATCATGAATAGTATGAGTCCGGTGTGTATCCTGACCTCCGCCGAACCCATGAGAGTTGACTGAGACTGACTCACTGAACCCCTGGGGTTTGATCGAACCCAGGTTAAGAACCACTATATGCTTTAGTTTTAATAGAAATGAGTATCTGTTTTAATAGAAATGAGAATAAGACTTATTCTTTTAAGGGCTTGTTTTAATGTTTAAGCTTAAAAGTTAAGGGGTTATCCATTTAATTTAAGACATTCAAATCTCTTTCCCCCTCCCAGCACATGTCCAAAAAACAATTTTGGTCAATATCCCCTGACTGTCCCCATTTTTGATGCAACAACAATGACAAATTTTACTACCTGCAATGGTCTAATACAGAGATGTCGATGTTTCCTGATATCTTCTCTCTGCTACATTTTTAATACAAGCTTTGTTCAGTAAAAAACTTAAAACTCAAGCTTCATTTTTGTTACAGAGATCATTGGTGCCTCTGGAACTCCTTTTGAGGGTGGAGTATTTCATCTTGAAATCCAAATTCCAGAGAGGTTAATATCATTGATATAAAATAGTTGTTACAATATATAAAATTTTAATGTTACTATCATAAGTATGTGATCATTTGTAAATTGAATTAATAGTCTTCTGTTTTTTTTATGCCTAGAGCAGAAAAATAACTTTATGCTAACTTTAAATAAGTATTGCAGGTTATGCTCACTGTTATTTATGTATTTGATTAATATAAAATTCATGGATAAGTTTATACCACACATAGTTAGGAACTGTAAGTCAAGATTGCAAAAAAAAAAAAACAAAAAAAAAAAAACAACCATGGTTTAAAAAAAATGTTTTTATGTTTTTGCAGGTACCCCTTTGATCCACCAAGAATACGGTTTCTTACCCCTATCTATCACCCTAATATAGACACAAGTGGTAGGATTTGCCTAGATACTCTCAAACTTCCACCAAAGGTAATATTTTAATATACATGATGTGGATATTACTTTAAAAAAAATTGTTTAATTTTATCAAGTCCTGAGTTGTATATGTATAACAGTGTTGGACTAAAAATAGAATACATTTTGTTTTAAACCTGCTGGATTAGGATATTGATACTTCCTAAAAAGAACCTTACATCTAACAGTTAACTTTGTTGTTGAATAATTTTCTATTAACTAACCGGCAACTTAAACCTGGTTTTATGTTACTAAAATACTTTTTAAAAAACTTCTTGGAGTTATTTTATAAAGATTTCTTGCATTCTTCATTTTTCCTTCATTGAAAACTACTAAATCAAACCTCTTATAAGACAATGGTAGTGTACTTAACTTAGTGAGAATGTTTGCTATTTCATTACAATTTGTTTTATTCACTGTTTTATTTTGTTTGACAAAATATATCAAATGTGCTGGTGCTAATCAGTTTTGATGTTACAAACTATTTAAATTTATTTGACAGGGAACATGGCGCCCCTGCCTTAATATATCAACTGTGCTGATGATGATCAGAGTTTTGATGTTACAAACTATTTAATTTTATTTGACAGGGAACATGGCGCCCCTGCCTTAATATATCAACTGTGCTGATGATGATCAGAGTTTTGATGTCGGAGCCTGGGTCTGAGGATCCCCTCATGACTGAAATAGTGCGTTTCCATTTGTTTTAAATTAACTCAAGTTTTTTTTTTGTAGAAGCAATATCAGTTGTCTCAGTACTTTTATTTCAAATTTCCACCACAGTGGCAAGAATTTAAGTATGATTACACAACCTACGCAGAAAAAGCAAAACAAATGACTCAGCTCAATGCAATGAATAACAACATCTGCAAAGAAAATGTATGTATTATGTTATATGAGTTTGGTATACTTTCATTTCCAAAAAGCAACCTTTTAAATGTTCTTTTCCTCTATCACATTGTAGAGGTAATGTAGATTAATGTTGATTAAATTTATGATATTTGGAAAGCCAATGCCAGAAGGTAGAGCACCTGACTGTTAACTGGAAAGTCTGAAAGTGTAACATAACTTTGTTCTATGCTATTAACTTTTGATTATTAAACATTATTTAGCGTAATGCAATTTATCCAATTTATCTGATGACAATTTATGATAACTGTCTGTCCATAGACACACCTGAATAAAAGAGACAAAGAAGACACCAGCAGCCATGTTAAAAGTGTACTGGACAATACACAGAGCAACAAACGACCTGTAGAGTTCACAGAACAGCTGGAGAATATACAAAACCCTGAGGATGTTTGTAAAAAGAAATCAAAGTTGGCGAGGAAAGTAAAGAAATGATGGTTATGGTTATCAGATCTATTTTGTTGTCAAACACAGCTCAGAGCAAACTTGAAATATTTTCATGGGGATGAAATTTTAAATCCTGGACAGTCTAACTCGAAGCCCTGCAGTGCTGTGCTAGTTGTTAACCATGCATTAATCTATTTAATTTGGTGAATTTTTTGTACATTTTCATACCTTGTTTAAAATGTTCTTGTATTTGTATATGAATAAACTAATGTACCACTATTACTACAAGGATGTTTTTTCATTATACTATACCCATGAATTTAATACAAAATGTTAATTTTAAATTTAGTTGCTTAGATCAACATGAATCCACAATTTTTAATAAGTGCAGTACACTTCACATAGGTGGCTTTAAAAAAAAATCTGAATTGCTACCAAAATTAAAAGCCTTTACAATGTTCACAGAATAAACTTATGATTTTTATGTTCTTGGGCACAGGTCTGACCACATTAGCAAACAAGAATACATATGTCCATATGATGATCCATGACAGGCACAACATTGGTTTAAAAATGTGAAAGGCAGAGCTATAATAAATTTGGTTTTATTTATTTCATCATAGTCAATAGAAGGAAATATTTCAAACATTTATATACATATTGTAGTATTCTAGTATTTCAATTTTTTTTTTCACAGGGAGTGAAAAGAAATCACAACTCTTATTAGTTCAATCTTAAACACATTAGAGGATTTAACACAGAAATGATCTGAAACACCCAGAAAGCTTTAAAGTTATTCAATGTTTTAGCAAAACAGACAATTAAAAAGGGAGTGGGGGAAGGTGAGTATAAAACCAATCAGCTGTTCAGTGAGCTAACGATGTGCAACTGGAGAAGATAAATTTGCCTGATCTACAACAGCCATTTAAAAAAATTGCTAAAATAAACTTTCCTTTCTTTCAAAATTGCTCACCCACTCTACACAATTTCTTAGGCTGACTATACATTTTTTAAAGAAACGTTCAGCATTTATCTAACAAATTTCTACCTACAAATCAACCCTTACACCAAGGCACAAAATGGCACAAAAGAAATGTGTATAGCATCATTTTGCTGCAGTATTTGCATCACATAGTTGCCTTCTAGTACAGGTATTTTAGTGCATGAGGAATCCAATCAAGAAACAAAATGTTGGTCAAAGCTGGAATTTTAAAATAAGTTTCTCTCATACCCTTGTACCGTTTTAATCAAATAAGTGATTGATTAAGACAAATGGTTTTTAACTTGTTAGAATTATCAAAATGGCAAACATTGAGATAATAAATGATAAAACCTAAGTTAAAGAGAAAACATTTGTAACTGCCAACACCAGTTAACTGACTATACCATATGTAAATAATGGTAAGGAACATAGTGAAATAATTTTTTTGGTTTGAAAACTTTTTTAAGTACAATGGTTCTCAGCTAGTGATGACAGCTGTAAAATTTTTGGTAAAATAAAAAACAAAACATACCCACTCACAAACTGGTGCTTTAACAAGGATCAGTGTATACAAGAAAACTTGCGGTTATAATGATGAATAAAATGTGTGGAATTTTAACTTGTGACATGCAACTGTTTTGAATAATTCTCTAATCTATGATTCAACCTAAGTATAATTTAAGTTAAAATGAATACAAGCAGCTCAGGTGCAACTATTATTTCATGCAGTCAAATGGGGACTGTTACAAGTTCACACCTCAATGTTTTACTCTCAGTAAAAGTTACATTTGTTCTTGGTAAATTTTCAACCATGCAAAGAGCCAAGTACAACCTGCACATTTTTTCTTATGTTTCAAGAAAACTTTTCTTGCATCCAATGATGTGAACTGGTAGTATGTTCTAGAACATATACTTACCTTATGACTAATACATTACATGAATGAAGACATCTGTATTAATGATAATTCTTGTGCATATTTTCAGAAAATGAATTATTAAAAATATCTCAAACTAAAAACAACAGTAAGGAGAAACACAAGACCCTAAGAATTGAAACCCCCAGTAGAATACAATTTCACAAAAAAAAAAACACAATTTTGTTGCTAAGGCCTTTCACAACTGGAGAAGTTGTCACTGGCAAAGACATGTGATTATCAAAGCTTTATACACAGACGTGATTATCAAAGCTTTAAACACAGGCATGTGATTATCAAAGCTTTAAACACGTCCAAACTCAAATAATAAAAAATGATACATGTCGAATCAAAGAATACTGTTTAACTGGTTACAATTACGTTTATCAATTGAGTTAAATTCGAACAACGTAATTTGGAAAATAGAATTAGTGAAATGTTCCAATGAATCCGGCTTTTAACAGGTAGGTTGTGTTGTAGTATCTAGATAGACTTACATTAAAAAAATACCATGACAAATTCTAGTGAGACTAGAAAAATCAATGACTAAATGTAAACAGACTGGTAATAGAACTGAAGAATAACACGGAACAGGAGAATTCAAAAAACTGTTTGAAAAAATGCATAAATTAAAAGTGTACTTCATATATAATGAACTGAATTAAAATTTAAAAAAAACATCTGCCTATTTGTCATGCATTATTAGAAAATTTTAAACATAGCTACACATCTGTTCCGTTATAGTAACCCTCCTCACAATGAGTGATATTAAATTAGAAATAAAAATTATGCATAGATTTTTACAAATGATCTCATCAAAATTATGTTATATATTCTTACAGTCTGAGTACCACCTAGACAAAAAATTTGTTCTCGTGCAGATGTTGTATTTGAAACATTTGGGCTTTAGTTAACATCTATCAACAGCTCAACAATGTAAAAATTGGTTAAAACTTTTTCACTGGCATAATCATTTGTACACATTTTATATACAGGTCAGCTGTACACAACAATAATCTCAAACCCTAATCTCTGGGGAATATTTCTTATTTAATCCACTAGCTGTGCGCCACCTATATATTCTTATAACTGGAGTCTGCCATATCTATACTTTAACAAAGACCTTAAAGGATAAGGCTTATGAATAGGGCAGTTTATAAGTCTGGGTAAAACTAATAGTATCAATACTGAAAACACTAGATATAGGAATATATAGGCCAAGATGTCTGGCAGGGGCAACAACTTTCAAGTTGTTTAAAAATTTATTATTTTGATCAGGAAAGATAAGCGATATGAAGACCTGCATCAATGCATTTATCTCCTTATACAGGCAACAACTTTTCTCTTTAACTACAATAAAAAAAAGCCACTACTTCTACAGCTGAGGGAAAAGTTCTGTATTGCAATAGTTCAATGCTGCCTTCCAATGTTGCTACTTAGCCAAAAGCCATGCACTACCAGATGAGAAGTATCTACATTATTCCATGATATTATGTGAGTAAAGGTGATGGTGAGAGAACAACATATCTTTTCCTTACATAGTGAAACCACAAACCATTCCTGGGTACATTTTTTTCATATGAAAATAGGTGTCTCTATTTCAATGGTCGAACTTAGAATGGTAGGAATTGGCCGGAATTCACATTTGTAATAAACAAGCTGGGCTTCAATAAATACCAATATCATTTCATTCAGCAAATGGAGCAGACAGGTAATATTTTATTCATAACTTTGAAAGTGTGCCTGAAAAAGATCAATAATGAAATATATTAACACACAATGTTATTCAATGTAATCTTAATCCACCAGTCTAATCTGCAATGTAGTGAATGTGTCAAATTTAAGCTATCATCTAAATTGAGGCATGTAGCAGAAAGCTGACTAAATATTTTATATGCTCTGGTAGGTGTTAATGTTACGAGCATAGGGATATTAAGATATTCTAAGCTTACTTTATGGCATTGCAAAATGTAAAGGACATTTTTAGGGATCTAAAAAGATATTTTTGTCTCAATTTTTTAAAAATTTAGTTTCTTGAAATATATTAACACTATACAATAAATGATCATCTTAAATATAATTTAAAAAAAATTATTATTTGTTGTTTTAATGTGAGTTAAGTCCCCTGTTCCTTGGTTTAGCTGTGTATTTTAAAAATATTTTCCAAGGATCTTCAAAGTGCAAGTATAAAGCAAACTTTTCAAGAATTTTATTTCTAACAAAATAATTGTAACAAAATATTATTTTAGAAAACATAAAATGAAACAAAAAACCTACATCATGAATAGCTAATTGTTCCGCTGTAGTGCCTGTAGGCATACCATCTCTTGATGGGTCGTCATCGTCATCAGATGAGTCCTCTCCTGAAGAATTGCGGTTGTCCCCAGTGGCTATTACAGAGTCTGGTTAAAGAAGTGTAAAATGTTTAACATCATACTGGATAATAACAAAGATCAACAACATTCATAACGTGAGAGAATCTGACATAAGCTTCCAATTAGTTTTTAAAAAAAATTGTAATATGGCAGCCTTAATTAATAAAACAAATTTTAAAATGTGTAATTTCTATATCACAGTATATGGCAAGAGTAAGTAGCAGTCAATATTTTTATTATCTTTACTAATAAAAAATGTAACTACAATTGACTGATTATTGTAATGGTGTGTTGTGTATTACCTATGATTTTATGTATGACACAAATTTGTGTAAGCCCAATATGGTGTGTAAGCACCAGGAATTGTGGAAGCCACATGATATATGTAAGCCCCATGATATATGTAAGCACTAAGACTTACATTTCCGACCTATGTTGTCCTCTGAAGCTTCCTTGGATAGTTTCTGATAGCAGGTAAGGCAGACTCTAATGGGTTTAGAACTCTGTTGAGGCAGCAACCAACGCTTGCTTGTGCATGGGTTACAGGCCACAATACCACAGTGACGGCAGTGATGCTACACAAGTTCATATAGGACAAATATAAGTTTTCATGGTTTTTCTAGTTTAATATTTTACAAAACTATATTAGAAAAAGTTACAGGATATGTTAACATTTTAAATACTGCATCAAATTGAAGTTAAACATTGTTTGTGACAGGGAAAGAGAATCAGTTCTGACTCACCCTTCTGTTGACTATTGTGAACTCAGAAATCCTACAGTGCATGCAAGTCTTGGCCTCAGAGTCAGGCACCCAGACAGGTGAATCACTTGTTGTGCTTTGTTGAATGCCCCCTGAGAACAGAGACAACACCAGCTACCAATGGAGTAACCACACCGGCTACAGCAGCAGTAACACGCCGGCTACAACAGCAGTAACACAACGGCTACAACAGCAGTAACCACACCGGCTACAACAGCAGTAACACACCGGCTACAACAGCAGTAACACAATGGCTACAACAGCCGTACCACAACAGCTACAACAGCAGTAACAACACCAGTAACACATGATACATACAGTTCTCACAGTTGGGAATGTTAAATGAACACAGATGATCTACAAGAAAAGATTCTCAGCACTAAGGAGGACGACATACAATTGAAAACAGATTAAAAATACAGACAGGACAGTACCACAAAGAGTTTATTTTTCTACATTTGGGTCTGGGTTGAATAAGGGATGGACTTGGTTTAAAGGTCTAGATTAGAGGTTAGGCAAAGATACTAGCAAAAAAAAAAAATAATAAAAAAACCAATATCATCTAAAAATTTCAGAAAACTTTTGATCAAGTTGAAAACTATCCATACAACTTACTTGATGCTAAAATGTCGTTGACACACTTTCGTATATGGGCCATCCACTCCTTCTTCTCTGTGGCTGTGGCTGCATACACCACAAAGGACTTGCTGGGGCTGATGATCTTCCAGCCATTCCTTAAGTCTGGTGACATAGGGGGAAACTTGCTTTAACACAAGTACAGCAATGGTTTAACATGGGCGGTAGAGTAGAGTTCTATAGATACTGGTTTAACACAAGTAGAGCAATGGTTTAATGCAGGCAGTAGAGTTTAAAGGTTTAACACAGGCATGTATGGTAGAGTTCTATAAATACTGGTTTAACACAGAGTTGTTCAATGGTTTAATACAGGCAAGTAGAGTTTAATGGGTTAACACAGGCAACTATAGTAGAGTTCTATAGATACTGGTTTAACACAAGTAGAGCAATGGTTTAATGCAGGCAGTAGAGTTTAAAGGTTTAACACAGGCAACTATAGTAGAGTTCTATAGATACTGGTTTAACACAAGTAGAGCAATGTTTTAATGCAGGCGGTAGAGTTTAAAGGTTTAACACAGGCAACTATAGTAGAGTTCTATAGATACTGGTTTAACACAAGTAGAGCAATGTTTTAATGCAGGCGGTAGAGTTTAAAGCAGGCATGTATGGTAGAGTTCTATTGATACGGGTTAACACAAGTAGAGTTGAGTTCTATGGTTTAATAGAGGTAAGTAGAGTTTAATGGTTTAACACAAGCAAGTAGAGTTCAATATATTCTGGTTTAACACAAGTAAGTTTACAACTAAGAGTAAGATATACAACAACAACAGAAACTACATTTAGTAATCCAACCAATGTAATTATAAAACCACATGGCTGGGCTAATTAAGTAAATTAATATTTTAATTGACCTACTTCCTTCATCGTTAACATTCTCCAATTTGACATCCTCTAGAGGTAATATGTGTTGTTTGTTGTACTGTAACAGAGAAAAAAACACAGTTAACGTATGGCACACATTTTAACTACATATAGTTTATTATGGTGTAACATAGAAAATAACACAATAAATGTATGGCACACATTTAAACTATAAATTGTTTGCTATAATGTACATTTAATGTATGGGACAAAAGTCTTGAAATCTTTCCATGCTAATACAAGCTGTTATTCCTGCACAAGTGTTTCATGGCAGCTATAAATTTTAATAGCCTTCCTTATCATAGTGTAGCACGACTTTGTAATCCAGCCACTTGGTTAAGGTTTGTTTTAATAGTTTTAAGCCTAGGTGTATTGAAAAACAACAACCAATTGCACTTTAAAGTAATATAACAAAATGATTATTTTTACATTTAAAATATTAATAGCAAGCTTGTAAATGTATTTTAAAAAATATTCTGTTGATATTAGTAAAAGCATTGGTTGCTCATAAAATATGTAACACAATTCAGCAACTTACACTAAATTGGAAAAGCGTCAAAATCGAGTTTTAGGATTTGACACTGAAAATTAATTTTTTCAAATAAAACTAAGGAAAATTTGTTTTCTTTTTAATGTGTTTTATAACTTGTTACAGAGGTATTTTAATTGTTTTATTTTTTTTTACATTTTACTAATATAAAGATGAGAGTTAGTCACTATTTAAGTTTTGAAAACATTGATTATCATATTTACTCTTTTGATTCAGTTCATTCTTAAGTTGACACCCCATTATAAAGAGATCTATGTGCTTTAAAAACTAATTAGTAGAAACAATCCGCATGTAAGAGTGTGTGCTCTGGTCTAAGATTTGAAGACATCCATGAACACACAGCATACCTGACTGAACACTACTGCAAAATCTTGTAACTTAATGATGTAATCTTTAAACTAATTTTTCGTGTCTAACTTAATAACCAACTGGATTGAAAATAAAATTTTCTATAAATTTATCAGTAAGTGTGAGTGGCATTGCTGCATTAGAAATAGGAGATCAGGGGTTGCTGATAGATGATGTCACACAATTTTTACTCACCACCACCCTCATCTTACATAATGCACCAGACCTCCCCACCTGATGGCGGAACATTGATACCTACCCCCACCCACCCACCTCATATCAAGTATAGAAGATTAACATTAATTTCATTATTTTTATTTTTAAGAAATGAATCATCCCCCCCCCCCCCCATAATGTACACCACAGCTTGTACATGATTGGATACTGCCTTAAACACAACTGAAGGGTTAATAACCAGATGACAAAGGTTAATTACACACAGTTTACTGTAAACATGTCATCAAAGGTCAGGATCCAAAGGGCAACTCACCTTCTTTTTGTGAATGATAATATTCCCATAGACCAGAGCATCGTTGAAGAGGAAAAACTGCCTGGGCTTTGGTTTTTTGCGACAAATTTTTGTTAAGACACCCTCACCCACCAACACTCTCCCTGGGATCCCGAGGGGCTGTAGAAGGAAATTATCTCAGGGTTACAAAACAGGGATGGAAGAGATTAAGGCTGAAATCTGTGTACTAAAATACACAATTATTATTTATCACATATACATAACTTGGAGTTAACTGCACAAAAGACAAGACACAAACAAAAGTACATCTCATTACATGCCCTGAAGACAAGACACAAACAAAATTACATCTCATTACCTGCCCTGAGGAACCAAAACACTGCTCAACATTGTTGATCCTTCTGGCGTTAGCCTCTGAATTTACTGGGGAAGGGAAATAAATGCAATAAAAATATAAGTAACTCTTATTTTAGTCACACACTGCTTTACATTCTATCACAGATTGTGGCCAAATTCTATAGGTGATTGTGGGTGACATTTATCACTGATTGTGGCATTATTCCATTACTGATTGTTGTCATAATCTATCAAAGATTGTAGCCACATTCTAAAACTGTTTTAGTTACATTCTACCTATGACAACTGTTAAATTCACAACAAAATTATACACTCTAATAAAATTTTTTTAATCACAAACACATTGATAAGAATTCTCCTCCCAATCTGTATTGACCAGTGTTGAAAGTTGAATAAGGAAGTGAAGAATGAAAGCAGAGGGCATAAATCACGCTAGCCAAGGAAGTTTAAACAGTCCCTATGAGGTATGGGCTAAAAATCACTTACAATAAGACTTTAAAGACCTGGTTAGTGGTTTAACTCATGAGAATAAAATAAGGATACAACAGGTTTTTGGGAATAATTGCACAATATTTTTTTTTCATTGGCAGAACAGAGAAGTAGAACTATTTTTAGCCAGCATAGTCATGTCACTGTTATTTTTAAACATAACTTAATTACTATATCATTTATTTTGTTGACATTTTTAGAACAAAGCTTATAATAAAATGTACCAAAAAGTGGTGTGTGATATCCACATCAGATTTAACACACATAGTGGAGGTGTTTGGCTACCCCTACATCTACCTACACTTACGTCCCACTAATTTATTACATGTTTAAGCGTAGGTAGTGGGATGTATGTCCACAAAATGTTTGCTTTCAGCATAATAGTGGGACAACAGAAAGTTGAAACGCCCTGGAGATAAAAGTCTACAGGTAAGTATGACTCCTTGAATCTATGTACCTTGTCCTACTTGCTGGTGTCAAGTTCGACCATCAATTTACGGGCCATCCATAAATGACGTCGAGCTTTTTCTGATGATTTTTACCACCCCCCTCCCACTCATAACACTGTCACAAAATTACAGACCCCCCCCCCCTCCCCCTACGAGTGTGACGTCATTTATGGACGACCCCTTATAAGTTTTAAAAAAATCTCTATCACCTAGATTATAATTTAGAGAAAATATATTGCTATCTACATACAACAACCAAACTCACATAAAACATAAGGGATCATTGAAAACCCCTCTCCCCAGGCTCCTCTATATCCCCCTTCATCCACATCCCCACACCATACAAAAAGCAGTCCATCATTCATCAATAAACAAGACTATCATGGTTGTATTCTTAAAAGGTTTAACATTTTCATAAACAAGAAATCCCTGCTTGGGTTGGATTTGAAGTGTAACTATTTATAGTCCTCAGAGTGGGCAGATAGCTGACAATGAGATAAGACAAAGAAGATCAAGTGAGGGAGGACTGCTACAATTGACATCAGGACTGGGTAGCCACTCCTCACTGTGGGCTCATTAAGATTAGGTGACGGATTAATTAAGACTAGTTTATGGACACATTCAGATGAAATGGGGGCCAAATTCAGATTAGATGGTGGCCAAATTGAGATTAGATGGTGGCCAAATTCAGAATAGATGTTGGCCAAATTCAGAAGGGATGGTGGCCAAATAAAAATTAGATGGTAACCAAATTGATATTAGATGGTAACCAAATTCAGATTGGTGGCCAAATTAAAATTAGATGGTAACCAAATTCAGATTAAATGGAGGCCAAATGAAATGTATCAGCAGGGGAAGGAGTTATCAGTGAACTCCTCTAGCCCTGAAGCTGCCACTTGGGGTTGTCAAGTTGTTACAGATAGTGAAACTATTCAACTCAACCATCCTTAATGTCTCTATTGACTTGAGTGGTACTAGCAAAAGTCACAGATTTAATCTTTTTAAAGTGCATTGAGCAGTGCTGATGAATTCCTGACAAACAACTCTAAAAGGCTTGAGAATATGAAGTATATTATTAGAAAAACTATTTTATATAATAAATAAAGAGCTTTGATTAAGAGAATAAATGTCACTTTTTTGCTTTCAATAATGATCCAACATTAAATACAACCTACTGCAAGCAGATTTATCTTAACACTACCTGACTACTGACTTTTGAAGAAATAAGAGAGCTGGGCTATAAAATGGTTTCCTTACAATATCAGGGTAGGTTAAGGGATTATGGTTAGGGCTGACAGTATCTTGTGGCCTGTAATCAGTGTTTCTTGCTGCCATTTTTCTCCCAGGGGAACTTGAAACTTTGGGGGGAAGGGAAGGGGGGGGGGAATGAGGACACTTGTTGAAGTAACCTATACCATTTGTATACAATATCCATTTTATAAATAGTGTCTGAAAGAAACTCTGCCTGTAATTTCTAACATACTCTTTTAAAAAAGAAGAATCCAATTTTAGATCCAGTCCCACCCTCTCACTATTAGACAATAGGTTGAAAAAGCACACAGCTAGATATCTATAATAAAAAAAACATTCCAACTACTAAGGCTAAGGGTATTAATATTATGGCCTAAATATTGATTGATTCTAGTTAAACCAATGGTCTTCCTACCATCTCACCCACGTGTGAGGGTGAAGGTCATAGCATTGCCACTACGATGTTTACCTTCATCGTCGCTATCCTCATCATCATACAGCATCAAACACCTGCCGGACTGAATCATCCTCGCCACATAAGCCAAGCGGAACACATGAAAGTTGCCCAACGCTTCGTGCCCCAATTACATGCCAATCATTGACGCCTGCACTTGACGGCTTCAAGCCAATACAAGCGTCAGATAACGTCCTGGCTATACTATTGTATTGTTCTCTCCAAATCTTTCAGATAACACAAGGAGTTTTTGTATCGATACACTCCTAGTCACTCCAAGTATTTTCTAGCGGAAATAATGTTCATCTATCCCTAACACAAATTGACAAACAGCAACAGAAATGCGACACTACCAATCCACGTGCAGAATACTTGAAGTATTGTGACTATAAAATATCTACCACAAATAACACATCAATTTTAATTAATTAGTAATACGAGCTAATTACGAATTTAGCATTACGAAACCTCAGACACTAAGATGAACACGGTTTGTTTCGTCATTGACACGACAGAATTATGTCCCATCGCTCGTGTGTAGGCCTACACATCCATTAGAGAAAATAAACAACAGTAGCCAATACTTGAGTTAAGTAAACATCCAATCGTCTACCACAACGCCGTGTTCAATACTTCACTTAGTAATGGCCGCGTCTGTCGTCTGCTGGCCTTCTAGCGAGTCTTGACACGAAGTGAGAGATAACACAGGAGCCATTAAAAAAGTGGTCTAATGTGTTCGATTGACAACATCATGTTTTGTCAACACTCCACCTTTGGCCCTTCACGCCGCTCCTACCCCGCTTGTTCAGGTGATCTGCGTCCTATGTCGAGGTGTAGGATTGGCCACTGCTACATGCGCGAGTCCACGGCCGAGGGATGAGATTTAGGTTACCCAGACTCTACTTTCGAATAACTATGGAAATGTTTTACTATAGCTAAAAACAACACAGGTAGAGATTATCGTACAAGAAATACTCGGATGGGTTACATTAAAACTTTAGAAGAGGGTGCTATGACTCAGACAGAAAACTATAGTGCACTCAAAGTTTCTAACAAATCAAAACATGCAACAAGTGTACTTCAACACATCTAAACGAAAACACAGCATAAGAGACTTTAGTAATCGCCACATTATTAAAACAAATTTATATAAAAAAATAGTTTAGGATATTCTCCTCCAAACGGACAAAATATTTTTTTAAAAGCGCAAGATATTTTTATCCTAACTAAAAAAAAAAAATACCCCCCCCCCCCATCTACACAGGAATATACAAAACAATGTTTACTACTGAATCAATAAGTCGGTATATAAACATCCCGGTAATACAAGAAGAAATAGAATGAAGGATAATTCGTAGGTTCCCAGTTTACCAGAAAAAGACGACAATTCTTAAATCGACAATTACGCAATCGTTCTATCCTATTGAGCCAGCAAAAATCCCAGAATTTCACAACGTCCTTTCTGGAGCAACCAAACAGTTGTCAACGATCAGCTAACAATGTGACGTCTGAGTCACGTCGGCTAGGGCCACATTTCCGATGACATTTCTTCACGGAAATAACACGGATTTCCTCCTGTGGGGGGGGGGGGGGGGGGGACCCTTACAGTTCAATTACTTGCTTTATTCAATCGTGGTGAGGAGGGGAGGCACCTTACAGTTTAATTACTTCATTCACGAGATGACTAAGACCCGAACAGAGAGAAGGTCTTTGTAGTTCGTTCAAACAAGTTCTATCGACGTCTCACTGGGATACGGTCATGAAAATATCGCGTCTAAATAACACAGCCCCCCCCCCACCTAATATTTCTCGTCTATATCAACACAGCCCCAATACATATTGTCTAGATCAACACAGTCCCAAAACATCTTGCCCTAATCAACACAGTCCCAATACATTTTGTCTAGATCAGGGGTCTCCAAACTTTTCAGCCCGAGGGCCGCATTAACTATCAAAAATCAGTCCGGGGGCCAGAGTTTTTTTCCAGGCATCTCTTCAGGGTTGTAGAGCCCCTCAGCCCCCGAAAATGTCTGCCCCCCCCACGAAATATAAATTATATACAAATATATACAAATTTCAAGTGTCGTCGTCAACCCCCCACCCCCGGAGAAAAAAAGTCTGAAAGAAACACTGTCGGGGGCCAACAACACACTCCAGGTCCGATTTGTTCTCAAATTGTTCTTCGCGTATTTCATTTTTGAAAATGTTTGTTAAACCAGGTATGATATGTTGTTGCAAAATTTGATACTTTGATGCAAGTTTTAGAAAAGTCTTCCTTGGTCAAAAACGTATTTTAAAAAACCCACCCGTCCTTCTTTGAACTAGTCTCTAAAGAGGTCATTTGCTTGCAATTCAATGACCTCCAGCTGTAGTTCATCTGGGCAACTGGCTACATTTTCTTCAAATGGGTTTTGAAACAGTCTCAGTTCTTCTGCCTTTGAATCCAAGTCCGAAAATCCCTACTGAAACTGCAGCTGGAGGTCTTTGATGATCATGAGCGGGGGGGGGGGGGGGGGGGGGGGGGAAAGGGGGGGGGAAAGAACAGCTTTTGCTTACGCCTTGAAGACCTATATGAAGTTATAATCAGCAAATGTTTTTTTCAACGCATTGAATATATCATCTCCGGTAACAGTGCTATACATGTTATGTAGGGAAGCCAGCTCTTGTGTTATGTTCATGTCTTCATCCACACTTCTAATAAACACAAGCAGTTGAGAGGTGGAACGTCTGTCCAGCGACTCATCCATTACAATTGAAAAATTGCGAAACTTGCTTGCATTTTTCGCCACTTGAGTCAACATGTTTTCACCAATGTCTGCAACACGGTGGGCAACGGTAGTTGTACCAAAAGCTACATTTTGTAATTGTTTTGAAATTTCTGGGCAAAGTTCCTCAGCCACCTCCAACAAACATTTGTGTCCGTGGACAAAAAGATCTCCGCGGGCCGGATGAGAGGACCTCGCGGGCCGCATCCGGCCCGCGGGCCGTAGTTTGGAGACCCCTGGTCTAGATCAACACAGTCCCAATACATCTAGTCTAGATCAACACAGTCCCAATACATCTAGTCTAGATCAACACAGCCCCAATACATTTTGTCTAGATCAACACAGTCCCAATACATTTTGTCTAGATCAGGGGTCTCCAAACTTTTCAGCCCGAGGGCCGCATTGACTATCAAAGTTCAGTTCGGGGGCCAGTTTCTTCCAGGCAAAGTTCCTCTGCTATCACCCACAAACGTTTTTTCCGTGGACAAAGGGATCTCCGCGGGCCGGATGAGAGGACCTCGCGGGCCGCATCCGGCCCGCGGGCCGTAGTTTGGAGACCCCTGGTCTAGATCAACACAGTCCCAAAACATCTTGTCCTAATCAACACAGTCCCAATACATTTTGTCTAGATCAGGGGTCTCCAAACTTTTCAGCCCGAGGGCCGCATTGACTATCAAAGTTCAGTTCGGGGGCCAGTTTCTTCCAGGCAAAGTTCCTCTGCTATCACCCACAAACGTTTTTTCCGTGGACAAAGGGATCTCCGCGGGCCGGATGAGAGGACCTCGCGGGCCGCATCCGGCCCGCGGGCCGTAGTTTGGAGACCCCTGGTCTAGATCAACACAGTCCCAAAACATCTTGTCCTAATCAACACAGTCCCAATACATTTTGTCTAGATCAACACAGTCCCAATACATCTTGTCTAGATCAACACAGTCCCAATACATCTTGTCTATATCAACACAGTCCCAATACATTTTGTCTAGATCAACACAGTCCCAATACATTTTGTCTAGATCAACACAGCCCCAATACATTTTGTCTAGATCAACACAGTCCCAATACATTTTGTCTAGATCAACACAGTCCCAATACATCTTGTCTAGATCAACACAGTCCCAATACATTTTGTCTAGATCAACACAGTCCCAATACATCTTGTCTAGATCAACACAGTCCCAATACATCTTGTCCTAATCAACACAGTCCCAATACATCTTGTCCTAATCAACACAGTCCCAAAACATCTTGTCTAGATCAACACGGTCCCAATACATCTAGTCTAGATCAACACAGTCCCAATACATCTAGTCTAGATCAACACAGTCCCAAAACATCTTGTCTATATCAACACAGTCCCAATACATCTAGTCTAGATCAACACAGTCCCAATACATCTAGTCTAGATCAACACAGTCCCAAAACATCTAGTCCTAACCAACACAGTCCCAAAACAGCTAGTCCTAACCAACACAGTCTCAAAACATCTTGTCCTAATCAACACAGTCCCAATACATCTTGTCTAGATCAACACAGCCCCAATACATCTAGTCTAGATCAACACAGTCCCAATACATCTTGTCTAGATCAACACAGTCCCAATACATCTAGTCTAGATCAACACAGTCCCAATACATCTTGTCTAGATCAACACAGTCCCAAAACATCTAGTCCTAATCAACACAGTCCCAATACATTTTGTCTAGATCAACACAGTCCCAATACATCTTGTCTAGATCAACACAGTCCCAAAACATCTAGTCCTAACCAACACAGTCCCAAAACATCTTGTCCTAATCAACACAGTCCCAATACATCTTGTCTAGATCAACACAGTCCCAAAACATCTTGTCCTAATCAACACAGTCCCAATACATCTTGTCCTAATCAACACAGTCCCAATACATTTTGCCTTGATCAACACAGTCCCAATAAAACATAAGTCGATCCCAACATATCTTGTCTAACTATATCTACATTTTAAACAACTGATAATTTGTGTACATTATCTTAACAAGTATACATAGCATGGCTTATATTAGACGCCAGCTTTAAACAATGGCGAGACTAATCCATCTCAAGCCACCTTACATTAAATCGCTTGAGAAAATTCAAGCCTTACAAGCACACACACACAAACACTGGGTCGGCTAAATGTAGACCCGCCCTGGGCGTCAATTAACAAGCAAGTAATCAGCTGTTGGTGTCCACCATCGCAGAACCAGTGGGGGTATTGAAGGGACACGAGTGAAATAAATACACAGCTCACTCGTGGGAATGGTGTACAAATAGGTCTAAATGTAGCACTCATTCAAGGACCTAATACTTCCTGAATGAGACGAGGCCACCACTACTTCCTTAATAAATGACGCGGTGCGTTCAATACATGACGCCAGACACGCTACATTCAAGAGACGGAGCCAATCCTGCCACATTGAATAGCACTACCCGGAAGGTGTTTGTTTAGGGTACTGACCCAAGGTCAGAACGTGGTGACACATTTCTTTCGGTTTCTAAAGCCTTCCCGATGAATGGGCTGTAATGGAGATGGGAGTCAATATAATTGACCGGCGATACTAAATGGCCTAGAGGCCGCTATAGAACAGTTGGCCGGTCTTAGCTGCTGAATACCAGCTGCTGTGGTGTTAGGTGTGTAAGCTGCTGGCTACCACAACTGCTGGATTTGTAAGCTATGGTTTTTCTCGACTGAGAACACGTTCCGTGCTTATAAACAAAGAACAAAACTCACAGTGCCGAGTACTTAAAAACATGTTTCTGTTTTTTAAAAGTCCGCGTTAAGACAAAAATCAATAAATCAATCGGGCTCAAGTAAACTGGCTGAGGACTCTAGGACTACATTATTTACAGCCTCAGTATTTTAAGTCGTAGCCAGAAAAGGTTGGCGTGGTCAGCGTTATGTCCAGCACCCACTTGAAAGCACTAGAGCTGACCACAACAAGGTAACTAGTGGTCAC